CTTCGCGTAGAGGGGTGACAAGGTCTGATGTGTGCTAAAAAGGGGTTCTCTGGCTTTCGCATTAGGACTGAAGAAGGCACGGACAAAAGCAGGGACACTAGTCCGGAGCAGTCTCGTCGCCGACCAGTCGATAGAGATGAAAGCAGATGTTGTCTGGCACTGGGGGTGGGTGGGAGGAGTAAATGGAATCTTCCCGGGTGGCAAAGACATTCGCAAACTAGATTGTGGTGGCGTTATGCAACGTGTCCAATTTGAAAAGCCACTGAACTGTCGCTTTAAATGGGGGGATTTAATGGTATATAAATGATACCTCAACAAAGTTGTCTAAAAATATATCTCTGTGGCTGATATAAGGGACATTCACTCAGGGAACCAAGAGTGGCAGCAGGCGACAAGTCAGCAAGAATTTCCAAAGCCCAGAGAAGAAAGACCAACCTTGACCTTGGGCGGTACAAGCAGGAGTCTGTGCAGGTTCTTCTAGGCCAGGGGTTGGCACACTTTCGCCGTAAAGGGCCAGAGAGTCGTTATCTCGAGCTCTGTGGGCCAGAGATAGGGTCTCTGTCCCAGCTACCCCTCTCGGCCGCGGTAGCACACACAGCCTTGGTGTGCAGATGAGTGAGCATGGCGACGTTCCAATAAAACTGTATTTGTACATGTGGAAATCTGAATTTTCTATCTTTTTGTTGTTGTTGTTCATCTTCACCTGAGGATATTTTCTCCACTGATTTTTAGAGAGAGTAGAAGGAAGAAAGGGAAGGAAGGAAGGCGAGAGAAAGAGAGAGAAACGTTGATGTGAGAGAGACATATCAATTGGTTGCCTCCCTCACGCTCCCAACCAGGGCCAGAGCTCGAACCTGCCACCCAGGTACATGCCCTTGCCCGGGTATGGAAACCGCAACCCTTTGGTGTGTGGGCCGCGGCTCTAACCACTGAACCACACCAGCCAGGGCAAATTTCATATCATTTTTATGTGCCATGACATACTGTCCTTCTTTCCATTTTTTCTACCCTCTGAGTCATGAAAATAGGCAGCGGGGGCCAGGCTCGCCTCCCCTGCTCTGGGCACCTGCTGAAAGGGACGAGCAGGGACGAGCAGGGCCCGCAGGCCAGGTGACGCTTGGCTCCCAGCCCTGTGCGGCAGGAAGGGGAAATCATCACCTAGTGGCCTGTCTGCTCCTTCAACACACATAATTACCGGCAGAGGAGCGTCCCCCCCGCGCTGAACCGCGGCTTTGTCGTCCGCTCGCGGTTCCATTCAGCGCACAGCGCCGGCCTTTTTCTCCGATGGAGTCGATCCTGTTTCACCGCCCGAGTCCTTGGTGGGATTAGTATTCCATTTTTTCCTCCCAGAGGATTTGGAGCAAAGTTATCAAGCCTCTCCCCGCTCCCACCCTCCGTGTCTTTCACTAAGAGCTCATATAAAGCCCACCGCTCCGACTTAGCCGGTAATCTCTCTGCTGCTTAAATGCTCTGAGGTCCTTTATCCTGCTCAGGAGACAGGTAAGTCTTAGACTGTCGATACTTTAAAACCCTTTGCTCCCTCTTCTCCCCAAAGCATGGAGCCAGCTAAGAACGCACCTGCTGTTGGTCCCAAGCTTTGGGCTCCTGGAGGTAGAAAGAGATAAGTAGAAGGAATCTGGGCTCCTCTGTCCTCCACCTGCGTGGCACTTGGGCTGAGATTCACTTGTCTGAGCCGCAAACTATAAAATAAGAATCATCACAACTATGCAGTGTTGCTTCGAGGACCAGTGGGTGACCTCATGGAAAACCCCTGGCATACGTTAGACGCTCGAGAAATATTAGTCTTCATCTCCTTTTCTGCATTAACTGTTGTTTTGTTGTTATTAATCCTCACCCGAGAATATTTTTCCATTGATTTTTAGAGAGAGTGGAAGGGAGAGAGAGAGGGGGAGAGAGAGAAACATTGATGTGAAAGAGACACATCGATTGGTTGCCTCCTGCACAAGCCCCGACTGGGGCTGGGAATCAAACCTGTAACCCAGGCCTGTGCCCTTGACCGGAAATCAAAGCCATGACCCTTCGGTGCACAGGCCTATGTTCTAACCACTGAGCACACCAGCCAGGGCCTGCATTAACTCCTTTTGAAAAGGCAGAACTATTACCAGAAAGGGGTCTAGGCCCGGAATGGATCTGCCTCGGGCCAGCCGGTAGCGTGTGGGTTCTTGACTTCGCGCGGGGAAGATCTCATAACGCGAGTCCGGGTGACTTTGAGAGGACGTCTACTAAAGCTGGGGAGCGTGCAGCAAGGAAGGGCCCCGGCTAGAAGCAGCCCCAGGAGAGACTGGGCAGGGCTGCTTGGGTCTCTGATAATAGAACAGGAGTGAACTGGGCAGAGCTGCTTGGGCTCACTGGGAAGTCGGGGAAAGGGGGCCTTGGGGTCAGCTTCAGGGGCCGCCTGGGATGAGCTGCCACTACCCACTGCTCCCCTGGTTGCAAGTCTCGTGGGGACCCTTCGGGTTTAGGAGCCGCACACCTGTGGGGGAGAGAGGGGGTGAGAGCGAGCTGAGTCCTCTGGCCTAAGGGATCACCTCTCCACTGAGCCTTGAGATCGGTCCAACCGGGCACCCGCCCTGTGCCTGCCCAGGGCAGTGAGGAAGGCAGGCACCCTTGGCTGGCTAACCCAGCCGTGGTTGATTGCTGAGCCCCGGTCATTGGACATAACACAGTGTTTAATTAAGGCCCCAGAAGATGTGTCCTTACCATTCACACCCCCAGCTCCAGGGCTGTTGCCAATAAACACGGACATATGGTGAGTTCATCTCACAAGCCTCTCGGACAGATTCTCAGCTCGTCGGTCACAACAGCACTTCTGGGAGTGTGACGGAATCGCTGACTCCTTCCGTCCACCAACATGCTTTGCGATAATCTGTTCTGTTTGCTTTCAACATCAGACCCGTCTGTGGCCGGCGAGGACAGTATGTGGATGGCCAGGGCAATAGAGTAAGATGTGGTGAAAACGGCCCAGACTTTAGTGTCTGAGGGACCACAGTTCAAATCCCAGTTTCACACTTAGGAGCCGTGTGACCATGAACAGGGGGCTTCACCTCTGGTCTCCGGGTTCTTCTCTGTAATCGGAATATTGGTGTCTCTTTAAAAGGGTGATTGAGAAGGTAAAATAAAAGAGATAATTAAAAAAAAAAAAAAAGAAAATAATAGATGATTTCTAAAAATAAAGGCTAAACATTATACTGTTGGAGAGTTTTCTCTACACTCATGTTCAGGGACCGGGGCCTGCAAATTTAACTGGCAAAAACAGGCTTACAGAACAAAAATACGTAAAACCCTTGCTCCCTTGTAAGGCCTGTCTCTGTCCAGTGTGGCATCCAGAAGAAACACCACTCACTATCTACCAGTAATTAAAAAGCAATTTAAATGTTTACCAAGCTCTTCCAGTAAAATTCCAAAGGTGGGTCCATGTCACGTGGGCAGCAGAGCTGCTTACAATAGTTTGCCATGAAGATGCGCGCTTCCTGAGACGTTTTCCTCAGCCCTACTTTCTCTTGACTTTTCTCCCCCTCCCCAGTTCACCTCCCAGCTCTGTTTAATTCTCTGCCAATGGCAAATTCCTGCTGTTTTCAAATCAAGTGTGTGCAGCCTGTATGTTAAGTGGGACTTGCATTAATAGCGACACATAGAGATGCTGTGGTTCTAAAGTGATAATATGCGTCAGACAGCATTTTGTGTGGTGCCTGGCACTCAGAAAGCACTCAGTAAATTGTCACCATTATTCGTGTAAGTCTCAGCTTTGCAGCTTTGACTGTCACGCGAATTCTGCACAGCAAATCCCCAGGAGAATTACTGGGACACAATGCAGAGAAGGAAAGAAAATGTAAACACTCACATACACTCATATATTAATTTTTTTCCTAAGCAGCTACGACGCTGTATTTGGAGGGTATTTCCCAAGTAAACAGCCAGAAGAAAACATGGAAGTGGCATGATTCTCCCTGAATAGGCGTGCAGCCCCTCTCCTGCTCCCAGACCCCCTGCATTATGCGGGGCCACATAAGTAATTCTGGCATGAGCTGTAATTAAAAGTGAGTGTGTCACTTCCTGCCAGAACATTTAAGAGTTGGTACATAGTTTTCCAGCTTTCTCCTTGTCACTGTCCAATAGATCAATGACTAAGGAGACCACAAAGAGCAGATGGAAAACTACAAGACAGTGGAGCCTCCATTAGCCAGGGTCCCTGAGTGGCTGTGTGGAGCAGAGTTTCTCACCAGTATGGATTACAAATAAGAAATCAACTTTTGTTTTGTTGGTTTTTTTTTTATCCTCACCCGAGGACATTTTTTCATTTTTTACTCAGATAGAGCGGGAAGGAGAGAGAGGAAGAGAGAGAAACATTGATGTGAAAGGGACACATCGAGTGGCCGCCACCCACATGACCCAACTAGGGCCGGGGACAAACTGCAGCCAAGGTACATGCCCTTAGCGGAAACTGAACCCGGGTCTCTGTGGACTGCAGGCTGACGCTCTAACCGCTGAGCCAAACCGGCCAGGGCTTTGGTTTTTTTTTTTATCCTCACCCGAGAACAGTTTTCCATTTTTTGTTCAGATAGAGTGGGAGGGAAAGAGAGGAAGAGGGAGAGAGAGAAACATCGACGTGAAAGGGACACATCGAGTGGCTGCCACCCACACAACCCAACCAGGGCCGGGAACAAATTGCAACCAAGGTAGGTGCCCTTAGCGGGAACCGAACCTGGGTCTCTCTGGACCGCAGGCTGATGCTCTAACCACTGAGCCAAACCGGCCAGGGCAAGAAATCAACTTTTGTTGTTGAATTAAGCCAATGAGATCATGGAGTTAATTTGTTACCTCCACAGAACCTAACTTATCCTAACGATACAGAGCCTTTACAGAACATATTTCTAATGATGCCCCATGCAGGGTTCCCAAGGATATTTTGAATCAGTGTGGACAGTGATCCAGCCTGTTTTCTCCAATGTTTGTTTCCAGGTGGGCAGGATATCACGAACATGCCGGGCTTCCTGGTACACGGTGCTCCGGCGAGGCTGTGCGTGGGCCTTGCGTGTGTTCTGTCCCTTTGGAACACAGGTGGGTCTGGTCGGAGTTCAAGAAGTGTCTGTTCTATACACTGAGTGTGGCTATTCCTTGTGCTTCAGAGACTGGCAGCAGCCATCATTTCAGGCCAGAATCCTAAACGAGTGTGACAAAACTGGCAATGAAAGTCTCCATTCCTGGCTTTGTCCCTTGACTTTTTGCAAGTGAGTGCCATTCATGCAGCAGAATTGTGCTCACCTTCACTGTTGCCACCCTCGTCCACACCATCACCTTCTCTCTCCTGGACCTCTGTATCAACTCCCTGCTTCTCCTCTTGTCTCTCCACGATCCATTCTCCACTCACCAGCCTGACTGGTCTTTTTACCAGTCTCATTATGTGACCTTCCAAGTTCCTCTCTCATTTCCACGCCCTCCCAAAGGATCCATTGACTCTCTACTTCTTTTGGATAGTATTCCAAGTCCTTTACCTTATCGATATGACCCTGCCCATCTCGTCACGACCACCTCCTGGTCCCTGTGTTCCATCACAGTTGGCCTCTGTCACTTCTTTACAGTCATATTCATGCCCCTCTCAGCCCCTGGCACATGCTAGCTGTACACTGAATAACCCCACAGCCAGCTAACCTACTAAAATACCATTCAACCTTCAGATCTCAGCTGAATGCCACCTCCCAGGGGAAGGTTTCAGGTCACTGAGATGGTATCTGGCTGTTATACGCTCTCAAAGTGCCCTTCAAAGTATCTAACATTGTTCGTAATAATATCCTGAGTTTTTATTTTCTTGACTTCTGCCTTCCCACCTAGAATATGAGCTCCATAATGATGGAGTCTGAATCCATTTATCATCATACTATCTTGGCATCTAACACACACAATGCCTATTGAAGTCTAGGTGCTGAATAACATTATCAATCATTACTATTATCCTAGTTGGTCCATAAATACATGTATGATGACTAAATGATTGCAGGAATGAACGAACTGTGTGTGGGATTTTCAGCAAGTTGCTTCACCATTCCAGCTCATAATTTTCTCATCTTTAACATGAGCACTTCGGATTAATTCTCTCTGAGGTCATGTCTAGGTTATAATTTTTCTGATGAAAACTTCTTTATTTTTTATTTTAGTGTCCGCTTTTAAAGGAGAAGGCAAGAAGGAAAAGGTCACGACCTTCCTACCCACAACAGGTAAATGGGCAAGTGCTCCTCCCTAGCTCACTCTGTCTTGGGCAAATTCCTTGGCTCCTTTGAGCCTCACTTTCTCCATCTGTAAAATGGGGATTGTATCTATATCTCAAGCTCTAACAGTCATAGTTACAGTTTTATGAGTTGTTCGTTGCTTTATGGTCCATGGAACTCCTGGATTCTTGAGATCTTATAAACCCACAAAGACTGTACCACGCTATTAGCGATGGGAGGTTTCATAATGGGAGGTATTGTTATATGCCGCCATCATCACCCTGGTCATAATTTCATCTTTCTTTGTTTTTTTTTTTTTTTTCCTTTTTGATGGTCTGGAATTGGCCGGGCAGCAAGATGGGGGATGCGTTCCGACATAAAGGACACTTAGGAGTCAGGGCTGGGCTCTGTTCCTCAGTTTTTGCTAAACACACAGGGTAATTTTTTGTATGCCTTTGCTTCTGGGAAGTGAGATAGGGATTAGTCTTTTTTTATTTTATTTTATTCACTTGTAATTAGTACAGTCCTGTGGTTCAAAATGCCAAGGGTACAAAGCGTATAAAGTGAAAGGCTCCCCCAGCCCACCCCTCCCTGCCCCCCAGAGCAGCAGTTGCCCGGTTTCTTGGGTCTAAGCAGACCCGTCTCGGTACATATCTCCCCTATTGGAGCCTCCAGTGTTCTCCTGTTTCAGTGATAACAAGTGTTCTGCTCTACAGGTAATCAAAGGAGAACAGGTGATAAAAACACAAAGCATAAATAAGTTTGAAAAAATGCCAATACTTTCTATTTTAAAGTTACTACAATGATGGTCTTTTTATCCAAAAAGAGAGCAATAGTTTTAGATGATCTGTCTAAAAATGTATTTGGAAAAATGCTTCTGTCTAGCATCGTGTTCAAAAATCCCTGCTTCAGGGGTGTTTGATTCACACTTCAAATATTGTTACCAAAGTCCACCCACGTGTTTGTAAGTATAAATATTTTGGGGGGAGAAAGAACGATGCTTCCGAAAAGTTCTTAGTTAGAAAGATGGCGCAGGGCCCGTCATTCTGGCTGGACAGGTGTCGGGGTCCTGCAAGCCCAGCAGCTGGAGCATCCCCATAGCCCGGAGATCCCGACCCCAGGGGACCTAGCCCCTCCCCTGTGTGGGGACTCTGCTCCCCAACCAGGGACCAGCCAGGCTGCTCAGTGCCTCCCGAAGGCTCCGCGGGGCTGCTGCGGCGCCCAGGGCTCAGGCGGGTGTCACTCCGCCGCCGCGAGGGGGAGCCGGACTCTCCAGCCGAAGACGAGCCGTCTGCAAGCTCTCGCCGGCTTGACCGTGTGTCACAGCCTCCTTTCGTTGTGACATAACCAGCACGCCCCCCTCCACAGCCGTATTGTAGGGCCGGGGATCCATAGCGCCCACCTACCCCTAATCCCAAACTCCGATATTTAATCAAAAAGCCTGATGAAAGGCCACAGTGGCTGGACCTGATTTCGACAGGGTCCTTGGAAGGCAGGGGACCACCTAAGTGCCCGTTCACAGAGGAATGGAGAGAGAGGGTGGTATTCGCACACCGTGGACTATTACTCAGCCCGAAACAAGAAAGCAATGTGCGTGCACCTGGCGGGCCCTGAGCCGAGTGAAGTAAGTCAGACACAGAAGGACAAACACCGCGGAGATTACTTCTAGGAGGAATGGGAAACAGTCAAACTCGTGGGAGCAGAAAGAGGAAAGGTGACTGCAGGGCTGAGGGACGGGAACAGGGCCACCAGCCAGCTGTGGGAGTCAGGGTCATTGCTCCCCTTTCCGGGCCTCGGGTTCCCCGCCCATCCGAGGGAGTGTGGCCGGCTGGCTTGGAGGGATGTTCTATTGTGTGAGGTGTCACGGGAACTTGTATTGCAGTGCTGGGAAGCGGAGACACTGAGAAGGGAAGAGCTGGGGCTGTCCTCGCTGCCACAGGTACGTGGGTCCCGCTGTGTCACTGCCACTCGGGAACACACCTCTCGGCCTCTCCGGGCCTTGGTGTGTCCATCTGTGGAATGGGCATAAAGCACTTTCTCCGCGGGAAGGCGCCATAAAAACAGTCATTGCAGCTAGAGCGGCAACAAACGCTGCATGGCGTCCCACCCAAAAGAGTGACTCCTTCAGATCTCGGCTTGACGTCACTTGCACGAGGGCCTTGTCCATCCACCCCCCGACCAGCTTAGAGCCCTGACGAGGTGCTCACATCATTGTTCCCTACTGGATGACCCTCACGTGCAATTACATGTGACTCCCCCTCCTCCCACCCGACCCGCAGAGGTGGAGGCCTGGTCCTTCCCCTTGACCTCTTTACGGCCAACACCTAGCCCAGTGCTTGACCCCCAGTGGGTATTTGTTGAATGAATAAAGAATGACGGAAGGCCATTGGCATTTCAAAATTTCCTTTGACATTTTCTTCTCTGAGGCCACGAACTTTGCCGCGTGATATTTCAGAAGGGCCAGGGCTCGGTTGCACAAATTTAGACAAGTTTCTTTTTCTCTCTGCGTCCTCGTTTCCCGACCTAGTAAAGGGGTGGGGTCGATGAGCCCCCCGCATTGGAATCACCTGCCTGTTTATAAAAATGTGCATTTCAAGACCACACGTGGTCCAAGGACACGAGAATCCCGAGCAGGGACTTGTATCTGCCTTTTCACATTGTCCCCAGTGATTGTCACGGTCACAGGCCTGAGGACCAAGCAGTGGAGGCCTCCCAGGCCTCTCCAGCAACGTGGGGCCAGGGCTGGAGGCTCCCATTTCTCCCCTGAAGCCTTTTCTCTTCCCAATGTCTGGTCTTAGAGGGGAGGAGAGGAAGGAAGGGGGGGTGGCTTTCTGGACACCACAGGTGAGTCCCCCTCCATCCCCGAGGGTTCCATGGGTGGCCTGGGCTACTGAGAAAACTCCCCTGCTTCTCTGGACCCTACTCCACCCCCACAGCGGGGTAACAGCATCTCCCCAATCTTCACATCGCTTTAGCCACGACGTTATCTGATCATTAAGTAAAAGTCCTTGTTTTCACAGCTGGAAGAAGGCACATTTTAACCCACCAGCCTCTCTCCACCCAGCCGCACACTACCAATATCTGGGTAGTGACTGATATTGATTGATTGATTGATTGATTGATTGATTTTGGTTCCGATATCTGGGCCACATCCCAGTCCTGTTAAAACTGAATCTCTGCGGATGGAGCCCAAGCGTCGGAACTGTGGTATGAAAAACAAATCTCTCCAGTGACGCCAGTGCCCAGCAGCATCTGAGATTCTCTGTCCTCTGGTGGTTCCTTCCAAATCCAGTGTGTGGGGAGCTTGGCCCGTTGCCTCCAGCTTCTCATTGTACATATAGAAGCATTTCCCGCCGATCTCTCCTCTCCCCAGTGCAGAGATAAAACAGTCTCTAAAACAGCGTTCCTTGTGCTGCACCCTGACTTCGCCTCTCTACTCTAGCTGGTCACAGTGTATGCTGTCGGCCGCCCCTGCCGGGCACTTAGCACTCTTGGTGCATGGGAGGGGCGGGGCAGCTCAGTAACTGTCCACAGGAGGCACATCGGCAGAACCCTGGAAATGAGAGACGATTTCTCTTCCAGAGCTGCCTGCGAGGCTGGTCGATCTGTCCGCACTTAACCTGACAGAGGTGGTGAACGGGATGCTGAGCAGAGCTTTGAAAGGTAACCTTTTCTTAAGAGCACAATCCAGGCACCTTTGGGCCTTGGACCAGCTTCGCGTCTAGACTCTCTGTGACCCGGGTTCCCTGTGTTCTGAGTGGGGGTGTGTTGTCCTGCCTGTCTCACGACCAGGAGGGCACAGCCCAGGGAGGCAGGCTTGTCCTGAGAGCGAGCTGTGTTCCGGCCACGCCGCAGCGCCGGCATTTCTCGGCGTCACTGTGGAGAGAATGCAGGGGCTCAGGGGGGTCAGGAAGGATGGCCCAGTGACCTGTGTGTTTGCACTTTTTGATTTGCTTTTACTATTTTCGAAATGTATTCATTGTTTCATTACGTGTTTGTTGTATTATTTATTTCTAGTCTCTGTTTACAAATTTGTTGTTATTTATTTATTATTGTTAGTAGGCATTTGTCTGCTTCTTTGTTTCGATGTCGTTGGCAGATAGCAAGAAATTCTTCTCCCTGCTCAGCATCACTTCCTATAGTTCCTTCGCCTTCCACAAGTTTTCTGTGGCCATTTACAACAGTAAGTGCCCCTTGGTGACGAGGATGGGGAGCGGTGGGCCCCGGGGTGGGCTGTGTGGCAGGACTGCTGAGTGGACCGGTTCTCTTCCCAGTTTCCAACCTGAAGGCGGTGGACCAGGCCAAGTTCCCCACGCGGTACTGCTACTGCTTGAGCAATCGGACCAATGGCCTCTCAGGTGGGCGGGGTGACCCATGGCGCTTGCGCTCTCTCAGACAAGTTCGAATTAATTTTTTCTTCTTAGCGTAAGATAGGAAAATGCAGTGATATCTATCACACTTAAATATGAGCAGGTAAGCCAGGGCAGAGAGTCGTGGGAAGTGAGCTTAGAATTGTGGGGTGAGCCAAGAAGGGTATTGCAGAGTAGGTAGAAGTTTATAGGATAGCAGGGAAAACCAATCAGAAAAACCGTTATTTATCAATATGGACTTACACAGCTGTTTGGGGTTGGCAGAAAGGATTTAGGGGGAGAGGACAATGGGGGAGAAAGGGAGTTATAATGATGTGTCCAAAAGTTTTCTGCCTACTTGAAATTAAGACTTAAAAAAATAATAATTAGTGGTATTTTTCTATATGATTGTTTATATTCCTCAAATCACTGAACTGAATCACTGAACTAATCACTGCACTAATCTACTCTGACATATCCCAGTGCAATATATACTTTCTTTCTCAGGTCTCTGAAATTTAAATCAAGTCTCAAAAACGTAAACCTCCTCATCTGTCTTGCAGACTTCACAGCCCTGCTGGTGGACGTCATTGGGAACTCTACCAGCTACCTCACGGAGATTTTCAAGTCTACCTCCATCCTCTCGGGTGTGTTTACCCTGCAAACGCTAGGCAAATCTGAGATTTGGTATCTTCCATGGAGTATATTCAAACCCAGTGGACTGCCAACCCCTACCCCAGGCCAGGCTGTCAGCAACGTTAGCATAAGTTTTATTTAGACCGTCAGTGTGTCCACTTTTACCACCTGTATCAGAAGGTTCCACCTTCCCATCAGAGCTTTTCCTGGTGTCCTGAACATTGGAGGGAGAATCCAAGACTCCTAGTTGGAGGAAATCTAGGCAGACTCAAGAAAACAGCTTCTGATGGACAGCTATGCCCCCATTTTAAAGATGAGAAAACTGAGGTTCACAGAGGTTCAATATGTTGCTCAAGGTGGTTCAGAATTCAGTTTGAGATCTACATGGAGCCCAAGCCCATGTCTGACGTACAACTGAGAAAGACGTGCCTCATTTATAAGGTGGCTTCATATACCCTCTAGGCGATTCCCCTGGGGACCCACTTTGCAAAGCACAGATCTGTTTAACAGCCCAACACTTGGCCTCATCAGAAGAATGGTTTGCTACACTGTGGAGAAACTACTGTTTTAGAAAAAGGGAGATAGGGAGGAAGAGAAACAATAGTAGGTGTCATTAGGCAGCAGGGAGTTTTCTAAGGGTTCGAATCTAAGAGCTGACCGTGTATTCCCTCAGGCCTCCTCACCACCCTTGCTGGGGAGCTGCTGTATTTATCACCACTTGACAGGCGAGGAAACTGTGGCCCAGGGAGGTTAAATATCCTGCCCAAGGTCATTCTGCAGAGAGAGAATTCTGACCCCGGAGCTCTGGGTCTGAAGGTCATGCTCTTGGTCACTATGCTAATTCATATGATGATAGTAGCACATGAGCAACAACAATAATTAGTATTATAACTCTTTATTGAGCCCTTCTATCTGCCAGGCACCATACTTAGAGCTTCATGCCCATCTCACGGGACCATCACAGCCATCCTCCCAGGGACATGTGACCACACATCCACAGTCCCTCCAGGGGCAAGTATATTTAGGGATTCAGACGTTCTCAGACCTTTGAAAGTCTAACAGGGCGTCTGCACCATCCGAGGTAGCACCATCTGGGACCTGCAGGAGCATTCAGGGCAGCCTGCTGCCATCGGAGACACCTGTATTCACTTAGCAGAAGGGCTGGCCCTTCACACCATGCGGGAAAGATAGACTGTGGTGAGCTTCACACCCGGCGCGTCAGGTTTGGCCACCAAATGAGTTTTCGTACCAAAATGACACAAAACTCCCCCTCTTACAGAGATTTGGGGATTTGGAAATTGCAAATGAGGAACTGTGGGATGAGAATTTTACTATTTTCAAGATGGGTAAACTGAGTCCTAGAGAGGTCAAGCAGCTCACCCTTGTCCGCGTAGCTAGTAAGTGGCAGAGCTGATGTAGGCGGGAAGCGGACCCCAGAGGGTATACCCTTAGCCGTTACCTGATACTGCATCCCACCCCCAAGCCCCAGAAAATCAAGGCAGCCTTCAAAGTAAATAGTCAGCCTTATTTTCCCACAGCACCCTGCGCTAGGCCTTTCTGGCTTAATTTTCATTTCGGCTGAAGACTTCACAGCTCCAGAGCCGCTCAGTCTTGTGTGGTTGCCTTACAGTGAGTCAGAGGAATGACTCCGACTGCGTCTTCATCTGCGTGATGACGGGACAGTCAGGTGAGCCCCAGCCAGCCCTGGCCAGCCTCTGACTGGGAACAACGCAGCCGCCGGCAGGTGGGCCCAGATGGAACCGGTGGGGGGGATCTTTGCAGGAAGGAACCTTTCTGACTTCTGGGAGATGGCGGAGAAATCGCCGGTTGTCAATTACACGTTTACCAGCAGCCTGTCTGGTGTTCCGGGTGAGTAAACCTCCCAACTCCGCTCTAGTCTCCAGACTATCTATCTATCTATCTATCATCTATCTATCTATCTATCTATCTATCTATCTATCTATCTATATTTATATTTATTTATTTATTTTTGCAAAAGATCTGGCAGCCCTGGATCTCCCCCCCCCCCCGCCCATGGCAACACGCGCCTGGTGTTGAGTAGCTGCCCCACCCCTCCCACTCCCAAAGGGAAAGGGGGGCGGGGGAGGCATGAGAGGGCGAAGGGGGATAAATGGTGACGGCAGAGACATGACTTGGGGTGGTGAACACTCAATACAATGCACAAGTGACGTACTACATCTCAAACCTATATAATTTAATTAACCAATGTAACTCCAATAAATTCAATGAGGAAACAAAACAAAACACACATGTCCTCCATATTCCCTTAGACAGCCGTAGATAACATGACAGGCAACAGCTGGGCGGGACAATTTTGCAACAGGCAGCTACTATCATGAGAGACAGACCTCATGGTGAGAGGCAGCTCCAGGGGCCGGACCCTAAGGGGGAAATACAAGATGGTCTCCGACGGGGAAAAGAAGGGCCAGGCAGCAGGGAAGAAGGGTGGGAAAAGGAATCACCGTCATTAACTAGAGAAGTCCTTAGTACAGTAGCCATCATGATGCACAAAACTAGAACCTTACGATATCATAAAGATGTGGTTGCTGGTGGCAGGAGAAATGGTCACATACCTAGCAGGGTCCTAGCAGAAGTGCTGGCTTTATGTAGGAAAAGCTACAAAACTCGAGCGGAGGTAACAGAAGCATAATGAAATACATGAAGCAATACACCGTTTTCTGAATAAGAAATCTGAATATTTTGACGATGATGCTGTTCTCAACTTATAGGTTTAAAACCCTCCCTGAGGATTCGTTCTGTAAAACTTGAAAACATGAGTTTTAATTCCTACCATGGGAATGAACAAATGAGAATCCCCAGCAGCTCTTTGACAGACCAATGAGGGACGATTTGTCTTAATGACAACCCTGCGATACTGTAGGGTATTATCGTTATTATCTCCATTTCAATGATAAAACTAGAGTTCAGTAACTCGCCCCCAAGTTAGGAAGCAGGAGCAGAATTCACCTCTCCAGGTCCCCTCACCTCAACCCCATAACCTTTCCACTGTGACACATGCTTAGAGATAATGTTGAGAGAGTCCACTGTTCCAAAAACACATCCCAGCTGATGGCTTGGGTGTCTCAGGGATTTGGAGATTTTTTAAAAATTAGTAGTTAGGAAAATAACATTTAGTTTGGTCCATTTATTCCAGCTCTTGGTAATATTTAAGTGCCTAGATTGTCTATATTATGCATGCACATTGATTTACCCTGTGATTACATTTCAGTATCTTATCAATTTTACATCCAAATCAAAGTGGTCAAGCATCTAAATGCCCTGTCACTGCCCCTCGTGCAGCTGCCAGGACGGTGGCCGGAACTCCATGGGCGACAGCCAGCAGACAGGCCTGGGCTCCCACACGGCCTGTGCCCTGGGCTCAGACCACTGGTGAGGAAACAGCTGGGGGGCCCCCCTGGGAAACACTCTCCTCCACAGTGGTGTCCCTGGCAGAGGCCGAGGACTCCGGGACGGACACTGGGACCACAGGGAGCCCTTCGGAGCCTCCTGCGGGGACACACGGCAGCCCATCCCAGACCAGACCAGCCTCAGGTAAGAGGGCATGTTCTCTCCCAAGTCCCCCACATTCGAACTAAATTGAGCGTTGTCTGATTTTAAAACCTTTTCTAAATTTCGAGACTATAATACACACACAGAGCAGGGATGAAGCATGAGTTAGCAACACAATTAAAAACTCGAAGTGAACTCTGTCTTCCTTTCTTCACCCCATCCCTTTCTTCCCACCTTTGAATGAACAAGTGAGTGAATGGATGAAAACTCCCTCTTCCCTCTGTTAGGTACCCTCCTCCAACTTTCTCTCCTTCCCCCTTTTCACTGTCATTAACCAAGAGGCCACCAGAAGCCAACAGTGTTCACTCCAGACAATTCAGCTGTCTTTTTGGCATAGTATTAATATAAATTAATGTTGTTATGTTAACTACATATCCATCATGTATACGCAGTATAGTATAGCATACACATTAATTACATCCATAAATATAATTAGTATTAATATATAATCATGTAATATGGAGAAGGTCTAAGCTCTAAAAGTCACTTAAAAAATTATCAAGTGTGATTCTACTCTAGCATGTATATGCATTTATGTGTGTGTGCGTGTGTGTGTAATAAAAATACATAGAAAATAGAACATAAAAGAAAACTAAAAAGAAATTCATAACTTATTAACCAATGCTGTGAATTTTTCATTTTTTCTAATCCTATAATTAGATCAAAAAACATTTACTTATTTTAAAAATCACTTCCTCTGATACCTGCAGCCAGAGGCCCTCCTTCCATGCGCACCAGTTAATGGATGGTTACAGTGATCATTGCTGGGCTGTTAGTGTCCATGAACTTGGCCTCCTCTCCTGTGGGCCTTCCTCTCCTCAAGGGTCTGTTCCTTAAGCTCCCGCCCTCTGGAACACAGTAGGCTTCCTTACAGTGTGTCTATCTCCCGTCCCCTGGAACACAGTAGGCTTCCTTAACAGTGTGTTTATCTCCCGTCCCCTGGAACACAGTAGGCTTCCTTAACAGTGTGTTTATCTCCCGTCCCCTGGAACACAGTAGGCTTCCTTACAGTGTGTTTATCTCCCGTCCCCTGGAACACAGTAGGCTTCCTTACAGTGTGTCTATCTCCCGCCCCCTGGAACACAGTAGGCTTCCTTACAGTGTGTTTATCTCCCGTCCCCTGGAACACAGTAGGCTTCCTTACAGTGTGTTTATCTCCCGTCCCCTGGAACACAGTAGGCTTCCTTAACAGTGTGTTTATCTCCCGTCCCCTGGAACACAGTAGGCTTCCTTACAGTGTGTTTATCTCCCGTCCCCTGGAACACAGTAGGGCTTCCTTACAGTGTGTATATCTCCCGCCCCCTGGAACACAGTAGGGCTTCCTTACAGTGTGTTTATCTCCCGTCCCCTGGAACACAGTAGGCTTCCTTAACAGTGTGTTTATCTCCCGTCCCCTGGAACACAGTAGGCTTCCTTAACAGTGTGTTTATCTCCCGTCCCCTGGAACACAGTAGGCTTCCTTAACAGTGTGTTTATCTCCCGCCCCCTGGAACACAGTAGGCTTCCTTACAGTGTGTCTATCTCCCGTCCCCTGGAACACAGTAGGCTTCCTTACAGTGTGTTTATCTCCCGCCCCCTGGAACACAGTAGGCTTCCTTACAGTGTGTTTATCTCCCGTCCCCTGGAACACAGTAGGCTTCCTTACAGTGTGTTTATCTCCCGTCCCCTGGAACACAGTAGGCTTCCTTACAGTGTGTCTATCTCCCGTCCCCTGGAACACAGTAGGCTTCCTTACAGTGTGTCTATCTCCCGTCCCCTGGAACACAGTAGGCTTCCTTACAGTGTGTCTATCTCCCGTCCCCTGGAACACAGTAGGCTTCCTTACAGTGTGTTTATCTCCCGCCCCCTGGAACACAGTAGGCTTCCTTACAGTGTGTTTATCTCCCGTCCCCTGGAACACAGTAGGCTTCCTTACAGTGTGTCTATCTCCCGTCCCCTGGAACACAGTAGGCTTCCTTACAGTGTGTCTATCTCCCGCCCCCTGGAACACAGTAGGCTTCCTTACAGTGTGTTTATCTCCCGTCCCCTGGAACACAGTAGGCTTCCTTACAGTGTGTCTATCTCCCGTCCCCTGGAACACAGTAGGCTTCCTTACAGTGTGTTTATCTCCCGCCCCCTGGAACACAGTAGGCTTCCTTACAGTGTGTTTATCTCCCGCCCCCTGGAACACAGTAGGCTTCCTTAACAGTGTGTTTATCTCCCGCCCCCTGGAACACAGTAGGCTTCCTTACAGTGTGTTTATCTCCCGCCCCCTGGAACACAGTAGGCTTCCTTACAGTGTGTCTATCTCCCGTCCCCTGGAACACAGTAGGCTTCCTTAATAGTGTGTTTATCTCCCGCCCCCTGGAACACAGTAGGCTTCCTTAATAGTGTGTTTATCTCCCGCCCCCTGGAACACAGTAGGCTTCCTTAACAATGTATTTATCTCCCGTCCCCTGGAACACAGTAGGCTTCCTTACAGTGTGTTTTTTCTCTGCCTTATTCCCTATAAAGAGGCTACTTATCTAGTTTTTCCAAAGACCAGAATCTTGACAGCAAGGGTCATACCCCGGGGCCCTTTACCCAGGACTTTATAGTCAACGGAATTGTCGCAGTGAGCCGTGCTCTGTCATGAACACAGGCTTGATGCGGTGGCGGTGGGGTGGATGTGTGCCAAGGCTCAGGTGAATGAGAACGTACCATTTTCTCTTTGCCGAGGAGCCCGTGCTTGGACACTGCCTGGGCTAAACCCGTGGTCGGTTTTAGCGGGTTTCCAACGGCACTGTCACACTGTATCAGTTCCGTTGGGACGTGCCATTTCCTCTCCCCACTGGGCGCGCCTCCTCCGTGGGTCCACCTTCCTCCTCCTTTCTGCACCCTCTGTACCTGGCTTGACAACCGACCTTGGATGCACAGGGCAGGACTGGGAGCCCGGGACCCCTGCTCCACTCAGGATCCTGAGACGGGCAGGTCACCTGTCTCTCCTCTCATCCCAGGAACACTCACCCCCAGCACACAGACTCCAAGTCCAACCAAGGCACCGGCCCCTAGACATCCACAGACAGGTAAGACGTGCTCTGGAAAGAGAAACCCAAACCCACCAGCAGGAAATAGCTTAGGGACAGGGCCGCGGCGGGGCGGGGTGCCAGTGGGCAGGCTGAGCTGGCTGTTGTACTCCGTTGGTTCTAGCAGGAGAACTAGGTTTGCTCTGCCGTTAAATTGCCCAGTGAGCTTGGATCGGTCACTTCTTTGCACTCTTTCTTGGCTTCAGTTTTCCCGTAGATTTCAAGAACTCTTTATCCTGGAGGTGCTATGATTCTCTGGTTGTGTGGGCAACCCAAGGCCACTTCGTTTGGATTTTTCACGCCATTCTTGCTCCCTGCAGGTGACCTCCCGTGGTCCTTTACCCCTGGAGAAGAGCCAGCCCTGGTCCCTGGAACCCACCAAGTTCAAGCTTCAAGTATGTACCAGCACCCTGTCGCCCCCCACTGCCCTTGTTTGTGTTGGATGAGGGTGTGCAGTACAATAAAAAGAGGTGTGTTTGAGCCTTTCGAGCCAGACTGCTGAGACTCAGATCCTACATCTACCAGTTACTGGTGAGGTGGCCCCAGCACCCGGCTTCCAGAATTCGGTGTCCTCAGCTGGAGAGCAAGAATAATAACAATTACTATGGGCACTAAAAATGTCCTTTTCCCCACAGGGTTGTGTAGGAAACCAGGTAATGTGCACGGAAGTGATCTGGAGCTAAAGAGCTCCATGTAATTTAATCCAGTGAACGTTTATCACGCGAACGCCTAGCGAGGACACGCTGTGTACTTTGCAAATGGACGTTGTTCTTCTAATGGGTGTGATGTTAGCGGAAGGAGAAGGAGTACTGAATGGCTGCAGAATGCAACCCCCCTTTTCTGGGTGCGATTTACTGTTTTTCCGTTGTAAAGGACACCCTGCCTCCCCCACACCCGCACACTGAATTCTCATGGACGTGTAGAGGAAACCCCTTCCCGGGCGGGGATCTGGGTTGGCAGAGGCTCAGGGCCTCCACGTTCTGAGGTTGGTGCTGTTGGAAATTCCCCTGCTGCTGGTATCTCCCTCTCCTCTTCCCGCTCCGCCAGTTTCCACAGGGGAGAAACCCACCCGCTGTGAGTCCCCAGAGCCGGCTGAGCCACCGGGCCCCTCCCGGCCCTGGCTGCCTTTCTACACTGGCTTCCTGAAGGTCCGCCGTCGTGTGTCAATAGGGCCTTATTAAGTTGCTGGGGCACGCACAGTCTCCCTTTCATGTCGCCCCAGATCTGCCCCCGCCCGCTCGCAGCCTGCAGTGAATGCCCTTCCGCACAAAGACGAGATTATGCTGCCCTAGGAAATCAGAGCCCCTTCGTCCCCCAGGGATTCAACAGAAACTGGCCAGCAGTGCAGAGGGGCAGCTGTCAGACTGCCTTTGAGGAAGCAAGGTGGCTGCGTCTGTATCTCTGTTGTCGCGTGCCACTGAGTCGGCTCCGACTCCTGGCGACCCCATGAGTGAGCGATGTCCCCGTGTCCTGTCTTCACAGCCCCGTGCGGCTCCTGTAGGCGCCTGCCGAGGACCCCACCCAGCTCCTGTCTGGTGTTCCCCTTTTCCTGCTGCCGTCAATTTTTCCCAGCATTAATATGTTTTCCAAAGAACCTTACCTTCTATATCTACCTGTATCTATATCTATATCCATATTTAAATCTATAGCTATATATCTATATTTACTTATATAGCTCTATCTATCTATCTATCTATCTACATCTATCCATCCATCCATCCATCCACCCACCCACCCACCCATTCCTCCATCCATCTAATGAGAAATATAAGTATAAAATAACAGGGTTTTGACATCTTCTAGTAAATTATTTTGCCTATTCACAAAGTATGCCACAAAGCTTTTGACATTCACCCATATCCAAAATATATAAAGTACTCATACAGCTCAAGTCAGTAATTTGTTGAGTTCCTACTGTGTGCCAGGCACTGGGTTAGTCCCAGTTTTGCATTTTCTTTCAGTGACTCTGCAGGGGAGGTGATGTTGTCTTTGGGAACTTTAGTGAGTTCTACCTACTAAAAAGTGGCTCAGTTTTGAGCCCAGATCTATCTGATTCCAAAGCCGGTTCAATGTTTTAGGTCTAGTTGAATATTGACCCTTCAGTAAAACCATCTCCGATCTCCTCCAGAACTGGACCCCAGTTGTCCTCCCTCCAGTCTCTCGGACCTGTCGCAGCAGCTGGGCTGGGGGTGGGGAAGCCACGCATGTTCACCTGTCTGTCTCCGAGCCACTGGAGATCAGGGCGGGACCATATTCACCCAGCGCAGTGTCTCAAAGGGACGATCCTTGTCAAGTTTCATTGACTTGCGTGGTCTGCGATTGTGTCCTTAGGGTGTCCTCAGCAGCTCCTCAGAGAAGGGCCGGTAACAGCCGCTCCTCCCCGCCTGGCCACCCAGAAACTCAACATTTGCCTGATGGAGCTGTGCCGATTTTTCCAGCAATGCCTCTGCGGGAACCAGAGGAGGGACCCCGGGACGGAGGCCGGGAGGTAACCAGGGCCGGGGGCTGCTTTTCCAGTGTTTTTTCACTGTCTATTCTGCATGGCTTCTCTGCAGGCCACGGGGACCAGGCATTAACTAAGCTACAGACAGGAAACAGGGACACCCCCAGGAACGGACTCTCCAGTGAGTTCTCTGCTAGACTGTCATCTTCTGGAGAGCCAGGGTGGAACCTCATTCATTTCTGGGTCCCTGGAACCAAGTGCAGAGCCGGTCATAATAAGTACAGTCACGTCAAGTCAATGGAATTGAATCGGACTGTCTCACATCTGGTGGAATGATTACAGAGGACTTTGGTCCTGGAGCCCGAATGCCCTCAGCCTGGTGAAATTTGCCAGAACATAATAATCATAGGATGTGTCCATCTAAATTCAGTTCTTTCATAAATCCTTAGCGGTCATTTTCAGGCCAAATGAAAAGGTTGTACAAAGAAAATTAGAAGGCAGACCCTGTTTTCTGTTAAGAAGGTCTAGGTGTGGACAGTTCCTGCCCTGGAATGCTGACAGACTAAGCTGCCTTCAGAAATTCCTTCTCGGCTGTAAACTCGGAGCCAAACCCTGTAGATAGATAGTTGTGCTCCGTGGTCTGAGGCCAGTCTCCCAGGTCGTCAATGTCAATGTTATTGTCAAAGTCTACTCATTGTGCCCTGGTCAGTTTGGCTCAGCGGTTAGAGCGTCGGCCTGCGGTCCGGAGAGACCCGGATTCGGTTCCCGCTAAGGGCGTGTACTTCGGTTGCAGTTTGTCCCCGGCCCTGGTTGGTCATGCGGGTGGCAGCCACTCGATGTGTCCCTTCACGTCAATGTTTCTCTCTCTCTCTCTTCCTTCCTCTCTCTCCCTCCCACTCTATCTGTAAAAAAAAAAAAAGTCTACTCATTGTGCCCCTCAGCTTTTCTGACCTGCTTTATCCGTGGGCTCTGAGCCTCTGGTCGGGTTTGCAGCTGGTTTCTCGTCACCACTTTCTGGCCTTGGTCTTGGATTCCTTCATGAGTGTGGCTGTTTCCTCCCCCCAGAGAAGGCAATAAGCAAGATCCACAGGCCCAAGGTGTTAGCAAGCAAGGTGAAGGTGCTACATTCATGTAGAAGGCTGGCAGCCTTCTTGCCTGTATTGCCAGGGTGTATGAGCAGGAGTTGAAATGAAATGAAATTATGCATTGAGTCATTTCTGCAACACCTGGGAAGCTGCACTCACGGTGGCTGATTGGTGAAGATACACGCGTGGTTGTCAGGGCCTTGCTCCCTTATCCACTCTCATTGCCAAGTTTGAACCCACCTCTAGCATCTTTGATACATTTTAGCTGTGACAACCAATTCCCAGTGGCCATGTCAGCTGTTGACCAAGCTTGACATGTGAAGGCTGTTGACCGAAGTTCTGAGATGTCACCTTGAGAGCATGAGGTCACACGCTAGCAGCAGAAGTAGCCCTGGCGGTGGTCATAATTCCACTGGACTCTGAGAGCCACTCTGTTTTTTCTCCAGTCTGCTCTGCATGCGTGGGTGGGGGTGGGGCTGGCTGGTACAGTCCCTGTCTCCGGAAAACCTTTCCAGCCGTTTCCTGTAGATTCATTCAAAGGAAGGTACTAGCAGAAGATTGGGGGACAGGAGAAAGGGGAAGTCAAGGCCTCCCTCCCCCTATTTCTACTTTAAACAATATTCCCCTGTTGGTTTGGTCTAACATCTTTGTCTGTTAGAATACTTCTAACCCCTGTATAATTAACTCCGACTATTAAATTCCCTCTCTAGAACCACCTGGGTTACGTTTCCTCCTAGCTGGGTCCCGACTCAGATCGTTTCATTGCCCAGGAGAAGGGCAGTGTGTTCCGGCATGGGCTGGGTTCCCTGCGTTAAAACCCAGCTCTGTCACTTGAGCAAATCCATTGATCTCCGGGCCTCAGTTTCCTTGGTTTTAAATTGAGGGTGATAGAACCTGGGAAATCTTTACAGAGAACTTTCTGGAGTGGTGAGTGGCTCCCCAGAGTCTGCTAGAATCGCGGAATGATGTCAATGGAAGAGAAATGAGAGAATGTTGTCCCCACACGGCTCATATAGCAGGTGAGGGATCGAAAAGGCAGTGAACCCAGAGTCCTACAGTGAGCGAGTCACCAGCCTGCCCCGAGAACCTCCATCCTGATAATGTCATCAGCGGTCTTCTCCCTGCGACTCTACGAAGCAATTGTGCGGATGCCAGCCGAGGGCAGGGGTCATTCTGCAAACATTTGCTGCGTTGTTAAGTGTAGCAGCACTACACTCTCACTGTGTCTCACACACGCATAGGGAGATGGACACCACCACTCACTGAGCGCGTGTCACAAGCCTGGCCCTGTTCAGGAACCTTGCAAACGTGCTCTCATTTAATCCCCACGAGGGTAGGTTCTATTACTGCTTCCCATTTAGAGATGGAATAGCTACAGCCCAGAGAATTAAGTCATCTGCCTGAGGTCACACACCCTAGTAAGTGTGGTGCTAGCACTAAAACAAGTCTTTCTGACTCCAAAATATAAGTGTTTCCCAATCATTTGGTCCCTCTCCTCCCACACACTGTAGAGATGGAGAGGGGGTCTCTTGCTCTGAAGAATTGCTCATTATGACTTAAAAAAATTTTTTATTGATATTTAGAGAGAGAGGAAGGGAGAGGGAGAGACTTAGAAACATCAATGAGAGGGAACATCGATTGGCCGCCTCCTGCATGTCCCCCTCCGCGGATTGGGCTCACAACCTGGGCATGTGCCCTGACCGGGAATCGAACCGGTGACTTCTTGGTGCCTGGGTCAATGCTCAACCACTGAGCCACACCGGCTAGGCCATTATGACTTTTTAAAATTCTGGTTGTCTCCTAACCACCACAAAAGATAATGATTGCTCTCAACTCTGACTTAAATCTTTAGGCACTGTCTTGAGTACTATTCCTGGTTTCTGAAAGGTGCGACATCCCTCTGTCAGAAGGCGAGGAGGCTGTCCCACTCACACAGTAAGTGCACAGCTGGCCAGTGTGCTCACTTGGCAACACATGCCTCTGTGAGAGTTCTGGAGCTCTGGGTGAGCTTCCTGCCGCAGCAGCAGCCCAGTAACTCATCGGCTCTTCACTCATTCTAGATAGAGAGAGTCTAGGGTGTTACTGACTCACCTGTACCTAACTGATGTTTGCAACAAAGTATTTTAAAAAAGCAGGAGTCAGCCAGACCAAACATTGTTGCTGCTTCTGTGCCTGACTTGATCCTTCCTCAGTCCCATGCAAACTAAAAATCCAAACAAAGAAGGAAAAGCCAAACAGAAGACAACCCCAAAGAAACACTCGAGTTCCTGACCACAGCAAATGTTTCCAACGGGTTCGAGAAGAAGGCAGCATGAGCCGCTGGCGTGGGGTGTGGACCTCTCCCCCTCGGCCTAACGGCGCCAGGGCCCCTGTGCGCTCAGGGATGCCAGGCTCCAGCCTTATTCTCCCTTCCTGCGGACAGAGTGGCCGAGCTGGTCTGTCTCGTCCGAAAGCCACGGTGCCAGCTGCCGGAACCATCTGGTCAAGGGTCTCCGCTTTCCTAAACGTCATGGAACTCGCCCTGGCCGGTTTGGCTCAGTGGTTGGAGCATCAGCCCATGAACCAAAGAGTCGCAGGTTCGATTCCAGTCAAGGGGACGCACCTAGGTTGTGATTCAGTCCCTGTCCCTGGTCAGGGTTGTGCGGGAAGCAGCCAGTTGATGTGTCTCTCTCACGTCGATGTTTCTCTCTCTCTCTCTCCCTCCCACTCTATCTGAACAAAAATGGAAAAATATTTTCTGGTGAGGATAAAAAAAAAAAGAAAAATTCAGCCACTCAATCCTTCCTTGTGGCTTTTAAGGAAATCAGATAAATACCATGGCAACCCTTCCTAGATGCTCCCTGTCCCCTCCCCACGCCACTATCGCTCCCTCCCCCGAGCTCCCATCTTACAGCCTCTATCTGAGCTTCACTTTCCCACTGACCGCTCAGCACCTCTCCTGAAATCAAGCTCTCGGCTCTGCTTTGTCTCCAGGAGGCTCCTTTGTTTATCTCCAGTCCCTGTTGCCCAGTACGTTCCTCCCTCTCAAACACATTCCCTTATTTCCTCTGCAAACCTATCTCCCCACCTGTCCGGTCTTCTCTTTCTATCATCAGCTTTTTCCCTGCGGCACAAAAGCCAAGCCCTGGGAGTGGGGCGTGGGGCTCAGGAGTCAACGGAGACGTTCCTTCAGCTGGTGCAGGAACTGGGGAATCTTGCCAGCTACTTATAATTCAATAGTTCCCCTTTTGTCCTTATCACATCAAATCGCCACACAAACAGATTACATCTGCTGAACAGCACAGTAATGCGTTTAGATTAGTTTTATGCAACCTGGGGAGATAAGGTAGGTACAACCAAGTATTAGAGAAACATCACTGAACAGAGAGAGGGAGCCGAGGGCTGCTGTTTCTTTTTATCCTCGGGTGAGGATATTTTTCTGTTTATCTTCAGATAGAGTGGGAGGGAGGGGGGGAGAGAGAAACATTGATGCGAGAGAGACATCGATTGGTTGCCTCCTGCACGATCCTGAGACCGCAACCAAGGTACGTGCCCTTGACCGGAATCGAACCCGAGACTCTGGTGTGCAGGCCGACGCTCTAACCACTGAGCAACCGACCAGGGCACGAGGGCTGCTTTTGACTGGACTTTGCTGCTAACAAGCAAGGGGGCCCCGCCCACATTCTTCCTCACTGTGCAGGGGCAGGGCTGACTGGGTAGCTCTGTCCAGGGCACTGCCACGCGCTTGCCCCCTGGGGGAGGCTGGTGCTGTCAGAATGTACTTCTCTGTGGCGTTTTCTTCTCAGTACTGGAGTTCCCTCTTGTAGTTTTTGTTTTTTGTTTTTTTCAGCCTTAAAACAAAGATGCCTTGAAAATATCTGCAAGTCTGTGTGAGGCCTTGAAAAAACAGTGGGACCTAACAGTAGATTGGGCGACATCTCTGCACCCGCCGGCTCAGCGGGCTGCATTGGCAGCGACCCCGGGCTCCAGCTGGGTCCTCGGGCACCGAAAGCCACATTTCTTTCCCTCCTGTGACTCTGTGCGATGCTGAAGGCCAAGGCCACCGTCAGAAGCCTCACAGTCGGTGCAGCCACGCCACCTCTGCCTGCCCGAGGTCCAGGACAACCATTGTTCAAAGAAACCCTTCAGTGGACTCTGTAAGGGCTCCGCTCCCCCTCGGTTTCAAGTGGGACGAGCCCTGGTTCTCCAGGAGGCTGGCAGACGGAACCGGCCCCGGGTTCGCAGCCAGGCTGACCTGAGAGCCAGGCATGGTCCCAGCACGTGGGCTGGGACAAACGCCTCCACCTCCATGCCACCGTGTGTCCTGTCTGTAAATTGGAGCTGTGGGGATGGTAAGCACAAAGTCCATAAAAAAGTCCTATCGTGGTATGTGATAGATAATACAGGTTAGTTCTCCTTGTTAAAATCTGGGAAGGTCACAGTTCTCAAGGGGACGATGAAGAGGAGGAGGAACTAAGACGTAATGAGCCCCACTATTCCCCACACACTTCACCTGGCTCACCTCGTGCTCACCATCCTAGTGGGACTGTCCCCTTGAAAGGATTCGGGAGCCGAGACTGAGCAGTGACGCTCAGTGTCCCCCAGGTAATGAGTCACCAGGCTGGCGCCGGAACCCAGGATATCTGGTTAAAAAGCCCCTTTCTGCTCTACCCTACAGCGGGGGCAGAAAATCCCTAAAGGAGAGAGGATCAAACCCCCAGGCCCGAGGCCAGGAACATATAAGAACCATCCCCGAGGTCTTCTTGCTGAAGGATTAACTAGACAAAGCCAGCCCTCTTCCTGCAGGAGAACCCATGTGACTCCCCCCATCTTTCATTTCCCAGAGTTCCCCTGACGACCCCGAGACGTAATCCCTGGGCCTCCAAGCCTTGGAGGTGGGTGAGGGGTGCAGAACAGGGGAGCCTTTGTTCTCTAATTAGAGCCTGGGTCTCCCTGAGGCTCAGGATGGGGCCTCTTACTGTGGAGCCTGCACCTGCTTGGATCAGCTTATGAGGCCTCACCCCGTCAGAGGCCGCCCACCTGTCGATGTTCATGAGAGGCTGTCCTCTTGATGAGAGGGGAGGGGGTCACATGACCTAGGGTGTTTCCTTGGGTATAAAGACCCGGTCCCCTTCTTGTTCAAAGCCGAGGATTATTCATCCAGCTTCGTTCCAGTGGGACCTGCACGGTAGGCACCCCTTCTCCTGATGGGGGGCAAGGAGGTGGGAGTATGAGGTAGAACTGGATGATAAAAGAGGGAGTAAGGAGAGAGGGGGGGGAAAGAGAGAGGAAGGGCAGGATGGAGGAATGGATAGAGAAAGGGGAGGGAGGAGATGCTCTCAAGGGGTGCCTGAGCCCTGCCGCTCCGGGATGTACCAGCAACCCAAGGCCCCCTGATCCCTGCCGCTCCAGGACGTACTAGCAACCCAAGACCCCCTGAGCCCTGCTGCCGCTCCGGGATGTACCAGCAACCCAAGGCCCCCTGAGCCCATCTGCCGCTCCAGGACGTAGCTAGCAACCCAAGGCCCCCTGATCCCTGCCGCTCCAGGATGTACTAGCAACCCAAGACCCCCTGATCCCTGCTGCCGCTCCAGGACGTACTAGCAACCCAAGGCCCCCTGAGCCAGCAACCCAAGGCCCCCTGAGCCTGCCGCTCCAGGACGTACTAGCAACCCAAGGCCCCCTGAGCCAGCAACCCAAGGCCCCCTGAGCTAGCAACCCAAGGCCCCCTGAGCCAGCAACCCAAGGCCCCCTGAGCCTGCCGCTCCAGCACGTACTAGCAACCCAAGGCCCCCTGAGCCCTGGTATGAGGAGAGGCAAGGCCAGAGCAACAACACCTGGTGAGTTTACCAGGAAAAAAATCCACCCGCAAGGGTCTTGCAAACCTGTGTGGTCCAGTGGCTCTCCCCAGGGCACCTGGTGGAAACACAGCTGTCGTTCACTGAGGCTGGTCTCACTGAGCACCTTCCCCACGCCAGGCTCGGCACCCCACATTTACAGGGATTACCCACTAACCCTCCTGATGCCCCGTGAGCACCCGCCATTTGGGCATCTCTCCGCCCATAAAAGGAGTCCCAGGCAGCGTCAGTGCCCGGCCCAGGGCACTCAGGTGAGCGGAGAGCCCGAGCCCCCAGCCCAGCAGCTGTGCCCAGCGAGGAAGGCCTCGCTCGCAGGCAGTTCCCACGCTGCGCGGAACCGACCATCAGGAGGTAGCTGGGTGGACCAGGACTCCAGTGTATGCAGACCACGGTGACGCCTGGGGACCCCTCAGTCCCACAAGACAACACTGACAGCCCTGTGGCTTCCCTGGGCAAACAAGGAAAAGGTGTTTTTTCTCCGGGTGGACACAGCCCTGCACCCGAGGGCGCCTGCCTTGGCCAGCAGAAGGTGCTGAATTTCAGCAGCAACCCTGGCCGTCCCACCCCCAGACCCTAGTGTGCATGTCCCCAGTCGGGGTCTCCCTCACCACTGCTCAGGGCTGCACCCTGATTTCCCTTTCTTAGCTCTCAGCAGGGGTCACCGAGAGCGGTGATGGTTGCACAGAATGACGAGGCTGCTGGCTTTGGATTTGATGGTCAGCAGGGCCAGGTTATATCGGTAACGAGGTCCCTTTTGCTCATTTGCATTCTAATAAATATAAGCTTGAAAAGCCAATAAGTATACTTGCAATCCAACGAACATCACTCCCAGCCTGTCTTCTCTGTGCATCAGGACAACCCAGGGGAGCGTCCCCTGAATGAGTGTCACATGAGGAAAAACAATATCCACCCCACTAAACCGACCACCCTCCTCCGGTCACCAAACAGGGGCCACGACGCAAGCCGGGAAGGGGGGGCTTTCTTGTCATAGCTCCTATTTGTGGAGCCCCTCCTGACCCAGACCAGTGGGTGTAATTACTGATGTTTTCGAGCCGTTTCTCTCCACTGGGGCCCGTTGTAAATGTCCTGCTTAGATGAACCCATTGAGCCCTCACAACAGCCTAGTGGGCGGGTACCGACCTCAAAATGGGCACTGGCCCTGGGAAGTGGCACATTTTAACCTAAATTGCTCGTCTCTGCGCCCAGTGTTCCCATCTGTGGAATGAGTTTGCACTAGGGGAGTCCAATGCCCCAATGAGCTTGGACATTCTGGCTTCTCGTGTGATGCTAACAATAAAAAACCGGACTTAGTGCCAGGTGGTGACATTAGCCTCAGCCTGGTGGGTGTGGCTTCTGTGGGGTCCTCTGGAATGCCGCCAGCTCCTGGCCCACAGGCTTTCCGGGGCATGTCCCTTTCCATCTGGAGATGTTGCAGGCCTCGCCCTGAATTTTCAGTCCGGGTTCACGGCTATGGCAAAGAGTCGCCAAATCTGAATATGCGCAGAACAGGGGGCCTGTCTAACCTTGAAAGTTAGAATTCGCGCGGCTGAGAAAGGTCAGATGCAGAGCATCATGCAGAGCAAAGTCAGTGACTAACCAGAATGTTAGAGAAGGCTGGAGCTGAGCGAGAATCCCAAAGAACTCACGCCTCCCCTTTGCCATTCATTCAACAAACCTTCAGTTTACCGCCACCAGAGGCTGAGCTAAGCCCTGGGGTAGGTTCGAGAGTAGTGATCCCACAGTCTGCAATGTCTTCTCTGAAACACCTTCCTCAGGACCAAGCCCTGCCCACCAGGTAGAGTGGCCCACCTAGTCCTGGGTACCTGTGCTGGACCATTAGGACAGGGGCAACCTTTGCCTCTGGAAGGACAAATTGCAGGACAAATCCCTCCAGGTGGCTGCAGCCTGCAGAGGGCAAGCTGGGGCATTGAGCACGGGCTGCGTTTTCACCCCTACTTGGCGGCTCGATGTGTCCCAGCATGTACACGGAGTGTGCCGCTGGGTCCCATGATCACACTGGATTATCATTCACACTTGGTCCTAGAAATACGCTCTGAGGGGGAAGAGTCATGGCCAGCCACCCATCTAATATTCCTGGAGTGTTAGGAGCAACATCCCCAGGGAACTAGAATCATTTCAGAATCCCTCTGGTCTTCACGTTTTTCCTTCCCTATGACACACACGATTGACCTCCTTGGGCACAGGCGGTGCCCACAGCAGTTACCTCTGCTGATCTGAGCACAGGCAGCTCTGCTGGAGTGCGCTGGGTCCCTGCACCCTGCACACCTGCCCTCCCCACCCCCCAAGGCGGCCCCTGAGGCCCATCCCTCTCACCCCTGGGACGCCAACAAAGTGTTCAAATTGCTCAAAAGCCAAGGCAAGGAAGCAAGATGGAGCACGGTTTGCCCCCTGGCAGCACTGCCACGCCATGGCCAGATTTATTCACGTCAAGGGAAGTTGGTCGGAAGGTTCAACACAGACTAAATAGATATTCAGAAGGTTGCGGCCTCGTCATGTGGGGTTATTTAAAATTTGCCTGGCCAAAGTCACAGTAGAGAACTTGCTAAACTGCCTTCTTTCCCTGTTAGTCTGTGAACAAGTCAAGGTGAGGAGTGTGTTATCTCACCTTGCACTCCTGGGTCTCCAATGTGCCTGACACCCGGTGAATGACCATGGACTGGTGAATGAATGACCATGGAATGAATGAATGACCATGGACTGATGAATGAATGACCATGGAATGAATGAATGAATGACCATGGACTGATGAACGAATGACCATGGAATGAATGAATGAATGACCATGGAATGAATGAATGACCATGGACTGATGAACGAATGACCATGGAATGAATGAATGAATGACCATGGAATGAATGAATGACCATGGAATGAATGAATGACCATGGAATGAATGAATGAATGACCATGGAATGAATGAATGGATGACCATGGAATGAATGAATGACCATGGACTGATGAACGAATGACCATGGAATGAATGAATGAATGACCATGGAATGAATGAATGACCATGGAATGAATGAATGACCATGGAATGAATGAATGAATGACCATGGACTTAAAAGGAATGACCGTGGAATAAATGAGTGAATGAGAGACCTGTCCCAAGGAGCACCCAGTTAAGTTTCCAATTTTACAGACAGACAGACAGTCTCTTTGATGGCATAGGGTTAGGGGCAAAGCTGGGACAGAAAGCCTTTCTGGCTTTCTCCTTTGACCTCACTGCCTCCGGGACCAGGGCTCCTGGGGGTTCCCGTTTCGTGGGATTTCTGAAAGCACACTGGTCACATTCCGCTGGCTTCTCTCCCAGGAGGCGGTGTCTGCGATGCCTCAGCCCCTCCTGTGCTGTCCTGAGATGGCCGTGCTTCTCCTCACAGGTATTCTGGTGGCCCCAGGTGTGGGTGAGTATCGGTAGTTTACACCGTGTTAATGGCTTAGCCCATAATTACTTGACCTGAACACTAGCACCTACTGTCAAACTTTATCTGATCTGCTCACGACTACTTTATCCCTTTGCCGATGAGTGAAGGAAATCAAACATTACTGATGAGCTGTAGGTGTAATTCAACTGATATTTTGGGGCACAGTCTCTAGTAAGGATGTGGAGAACCTAGGAGACCAAAGGCAAGGGGCCACTGAGCCATCTTCTCTCCGCCTGGTAGCATCCCCGCTTTGCTCACGGGCCACTGTCCCTCGTTTTGCTGATGTCCTTGGAGTGACCCTCTTGACATCAGCCCCTCGTTCTCCCCTTTTGTAGGAATGGCCAGTGCAATAGGCAAACAGTTGCACCCCACATTCTAAACTTGGGTCCCATGCCACCCACACCTGGTCATCAAAGCAGACTCCTTGGCAGCCTGGGGAGATCATTTCAAGTTCGCTGGGAGGCTTGGTTTCAAATCGGTCTCCTGGCACCGTTCGATGATTGTTCTCCTCGGCGCGTGCGTGTAGCTCGGACACCCAGCTCACTTCCGGCCTTTCCGCAGCCTCGGGCAGTGCTAAGGTCACTCTATCTGGGCCTTCTTCTCTTTCCCTGCTCAGACTCAGGTAAACCCCGGGCACGGGCCCCCCCCCAACGGTCCTCCCGACCCCAAGAGTGAGAGTGACGCGAAGTGTACCCACATGTGTCCTCAACAGTACACGAGATTCGCATGTCCCAGTAGCCTGCACGTCCAAATGACAGCATCACCCCTTCCTCAGAGTCTTCCGTCAGGTCCAGACCCGGAGTCCAGTCCACCCCAGACCTTCTTTCTAGGCAGAGTGGGTCCACCTCCCCCGCCCCACCCCTCTGGACTGTGTGAGTGAACGGATCCAGTCCTCTGAGATAACTACTTTAAAATCCAGGGGGACTTTTCATATATATACACACACACACACACACACACACACACACACACACACCCTTTCTCCCCCATGGTCCCTTCTACCACCCCCTCCCCCACACTGTTGTCTGCATCCATGGGTCATGCATGTAAGTTCTCTGGTCACTCTCCTCCTGCCCCCCCTTCCCCCATTCCCTCTGAGATTCCTCCGTCCGTTTCCTGCTTCCATGTCTCGGCATCTATTATTTTGTTGGTGAAGTTGTTTTGTTCAGTGGAGTCCACGGATACGTGAGATAATAAAATCCAGAGTGACTTTTTAAGTTGCTACTAAAAATGTGTGTGTCAATATCCTGCAAGTAAGGAGGAGCGTGTGGGGGCGGGGGGGCGGGGAGGCGGCACGCCTACTAGCACGTATGGGTCGTAAGATCATCTCCACCCTGCAGAGCAGGAACTTAATGACCAGCTGCACAGAGAAACGCCAGCCAAGTACTTATCGGGGAGCCGGCAATGCCTCACACGTGCTGCTGAAGAATTCTTAGCGGCTGGCTGATATGCTACCACGTAGTTTCTGAGGCAGCTGGGCCAAAGGTGCCCAACAATCCCTGGGCTCAGGGATGAGATCTCACGAGGAGCTGAAGTCCCAAGTCCCCTCCTGCTCGGAAAGCCTGTGTTGTTGTTTTCTTCAAGAGCTGCCGCAGAGACCTGGCACATGACAGGCGCTAGAAGACACATCGGATGGCATTGACCTGCATCCAGGCTGCCACCTCTCAGCCGTACCCAGCCAGCAGCCTGGGACATGTTCACAATCTTCTCTCCTCCTCAGGGAGCCACCCTCTGGACACCCCCCTCCGGCCACACGAGCGGCCTCCAGGACTCGCAACGAATCTCAGTACGTAGTCTGCGAGCTCTTCTTAGGAGCCCTGGCTGGGTAGAAGGTTGTCTAGGGTGATGGCAGAGAAAATGACCTTTTCTGAAAATACCCGAGAGCCACTTACTGCGGTGACGTTTGTAGGTAAAGGGATTCGAGTGAGATGCAAAAGCCTCTCCCTCAACAGTCAGCCCTGGTGTCTGACCCACCATCGGCTTCTCCTTTGAGACAAGGTACCGAAAATTCCCACCAACAGGTAAATGTCAGCCGGGAGGGAAAACCAGGAGAAGGAAGTTAATGGTCTGATCATGAGAGTTACGGGGTAACTCTATTTTAGCTTCCAACTGAGCTCGGAGAGGTAGAACCACAATAGATAGACGATGCGCCAGTTATCAGAGGGCCCACGTGTTCCGGGGGGGAGGGAACATTGTCCTCACGGTGGGTTCTCATTGGAGATCGCAGAAGAACGTAACGCGTAGTGGACTCGCTGAATTAAAGGCTCATTTCCGACCTTTCGGGGAGATGAGCTGAGTCAACCAAATTATTTGTGCATGAGCCCCTGCCATCAAAGTGACGGGTCCCACCCAGACCCAGTGACAAGTGGCCTCTCTCCAGATGGCATAAACCGCCTGGGAAGTCAGTGCCCACCTGGAGGTCCTAAGTAGACTTTACCCTCCCAGGCCACACTGGCACTTGGACGATTCTAGGCCAGGAAACCGTGCCCACGGGCCCACAGCCGGCCCTCTCCAGTGGCAGCAACAACAGAGTCCAGGAGCCCCAGGTAACAGCTCAGGTGCAGGGAGTAGACTCCAGGAGGGCAGCCCTAGGACCCTCCCTGGCCTAGACGCTTCCTTAGAAATCAGTATCTCTAGTAACAACATTATAGCTACAGTTTCTAGGATGCCCAGAAGGGACGTAAATTGCAGGAGTCACCCCACCTGGCATGTATAGTTCATCCATAGTTCCCTCCAGTCCAGGTACACCTTACCATCCAGGGGTCCTTTGTAAAAAATCATTGAGGCCCTGGCCGGTTTGGCTCAGCGGTTGGAGCGTCAGCCTGCGGTCCGGAGAGGCCCGGGTTCGGTTCCCGCTAAGGGCACATACCTCCATTGCAGTTTGTCCCCGGCCCTGATTGGGTCGTGTGGGTGGCGACCACTCGATGTGTCCCTTTCACGTCGATGTTTCTCTCTCTCTCTCTCCCTCCCACTCTATCTAAACAAAATATCAAAAAAGTGTCCTTCGGTGAGGATAAAAAAAAAAATCATTGAGCAATGTTGCCTAGTAACACAAGTCCTGTTTCATCTTACCAGGTCTCCATGGCAACTTGTGTCACTAGAAAGTTAGCCCAAGGTCGAATCTCTGAGGAAGAGAATGAGCTTGACTCACCCTCGCGCAGGGGATGGACAGGGGAGGGGAGAGACCAAGGCCCTGTGTGTGTTCTCTCTTCCGCCCCGTAGATCTCACGTTCTTCAATGGGCTGTTTAAAAACGTGGAAAGTGCGACTGAAATCTTCGGTAAGTTAAATCTGAAATTGCTTTTATCCCCCAGGGTCAGAGCATGGCATGTGGGGGGACAGTTCAGGAAATGACCTTGGTCTCTGCCCCCTAGGCTCCCATGGCCTCCCCAACCAGCCCCAAATAATGTGACCCAGGTGCTGAGCGGAGAAGTGGCACCTGTATCACAGACCCCCAGAGTGACTTCCTAGGTTAGTCCTGACCGCACCGGCCAGGAGGGGAATGGGAGCCCCATTGTACAGGTGAGGAAACTGACTACGGAAGCCAAGTGACTCGCCCAAGGCCACTCAGCTAGAAGGAAGACATTGTCCTCTGAGTCCAGGGCTCAGTCCCCCTCCACCAAGGTCATTGCATTTTCTCTCTCCAACTAGTAACTATCCGTTAGGCCCACGAATTCCAAAGGGCATCTAGTATTCCATTCATCAGTAACGTGTCTATCAAGCAGCTATCAACTACCATGACGGTCCCTACCACTGATTACTAAAATTACTCAAAAAATAAAATTATAGCATGATGGACGTGAGCCAGCAGGTCCTGAACTGCTGCTGGATTGGACGCTGCGGGGTGTTAAGACCGCACCTGACTGTCGTGGGACTGAGTGCGGGGGCCCCAGCCGTCTCTCGGTGAAAATGTGTGTCTGTGCAAACACACACACGCACGTCTGAGAGTGGCTTTGTCCACCAATGCAGACGTTCCTCCATGTTTCGGTATCAGAGCACGTGGCAATGAAACCCGGAGGAAGGTCGGTGAGGCAGGCAGCATCCGGCACAGTCGGGTGGTCCTCACCGGCAACTCGACCCCGCCAGCTCCCTCTTGTGACTGGGGCACGTCAGTCAGTGCGGTGGGCCCCCCCGCTCAGCCCTTAAGGGTCCTGCAGTCGGAAAGGAGGCATGGAGGGGAGAGTGGGCATGAGGTTTAGAGCCCAAACTCTGGCTACCATCTTCTTGCCAGTTTTGTCTGCAAGAGGTTTTTCGTTTCGGGCAAGTCATCATCACTGGTGGATGGCTCTGCCTGCCGTTTCTTTATCTGTGACACGGAGGCGACAGAATGGCACCTGCCTTGTGGGAGGAACAGGGTTTCGGGATAAGAGGAAAGTGAGTGCTTCCTAAAGCGTGTCGCTCTATGGTGCTGCTTCCAGCACAGTCTCGGGAACACAGTAGGTGCCCCACACTACACTGCCTACACCCCTTCTCTTCCGCACTGACCCGCAGTTCTCCAGTGCCAGCATGACGTCATTTGCAATCCAGTCATTTACCAGTGACTTCAGTAATAAAGGTATTTAATGATCTCACGTGAGCCATCTGAAGGCACCAGGAGTTGGTGCAGTAGCTCAGAGCTGGTTTCTGGGACCCCGCAGGCTCCTTCTCTCTCTCCCCACTGCCATCCTGGCACGTTGGTCTCAGCTTTAGGCTGGGGGCCTCATGGTTGCAAGGTGGTTGCTGCAGTTCCAGCCAGTATAGCTTCACCCACATTCCAGGAAGAAGAAGGGTGTCGATCAAAAGGATCCTCTTATATGTTTTCTTCTTTATTCAAAAAAATTTTTTTCCGAAGTCCCTAACAGACTTTCTTTTAAGTTGTTTTGACCAGAGCGGGTTCCACGCTCAGCCCTGAGCATCATGAAGGCACGACGACCATGACCAGACCAGGCACCTGGGGAGGAGCTCGCCTTCCTTGAGTCCTGTTCAGTTTTGTGAGCAAGGACGAAGGGAGAATAGCTGTTAGGGGGTCAACCACCAGGGACTCCGGCTGATAAACCTTCTTTGTTTTAACAGTCTAACCTAGTTCTGAGCACACAGCAGGTGCCCAGCAGGGTGACAAGGTACCATCAGCACAAGCTGCAGGGAGTCCAGGGCAGGGCTCCCTCCCGGGCTCCGGCCCCAGCACCCGCTCTGCTCGCCCCTGCAGACTGCCTGGGCTCCCACTTCACCTGGCTGCAGGCCGTCTTCACCAACTTCCCCGCGCTGCTCCAGTTCGTAAGCGGCATGAAGTGTGTGGCGGGTCTCTGCCCCCGGGACTTGGAAGACTACGGCTGCGCCTGCAGGTTTGAGATGGAAGGGCTGCCGGTGGATGAGCCTGACAGGTGAGCAGGGGTGCCCAGGACGGCCTGGCTGCTGCTCGGCAGGACAGGGACACAGAAAGGTCCGGGACTGGGGCTCGGGTGGTCGCGGCTCTGTGCCTCACCTGCTGGGTGACTGTTCTCCTCGTCTTTACACTGCAGTCGGACTGTGATCTGCTCACGTCCTAGGACGTTACCAGGGTCCTGTGTTACGTCCGACATGCAAATCTTTGTTTTGGTTTCTCAAAGTTTGGTTCCACCTGTGTCAGAACCACCTGGATCTTGCTGACATGCGCATTCCAGAGACTCATCCAGACCTGTCGACACAGAACACTTGTGGGTAGAACTGTGTCTGGATTTTAAACAAGCATAATAAGACATGAGAATTATTATTATTTTTTATTATTCCTCAACCAAGGATATTTTCCCATTTATCATCAGGTAGAGTGGGAGAGAGAGAGATAGAGTGGGAGGGAGGGAGAGAGACAGAGAGAAACATCGACGTGATGGAGCCACATCGACTGGTTGCCTCCCACACGACCTGACCAGGGCCGGAGATGAACCACAACCGAGGTACGTGCCCTTGGCCGGAATCAAACCTGTGACTCATTGGCCCGGGGGCCGACTCTCTAACCGCTGAGCCAAACTGGCTAGGACTATTTTAATTCAGGTTAGTCCTGGACATAAGGGGTAAAGCAACTGTGAAGGTTTCTGTTCAATTTTGAAATAACATGCACCAAATACCAATAATACGTGAACACTGTACTTAATGGAAAGAGAACCCATCCCTGCCCCAAGGAGGTGACCGTCTGGTGGGGAATGTGGAGAGCACACAGGTGCCCAGTAAAGGTGTCCTCCCTCCTACATACAAGGGGAGGGAATTGGAGCCACGATTCCGACTTTGACTCATCAGACTGGCAGTTAAATTTAAAATCTCAGAGGCCTCGAGGGTCAGCAAGGACCTGCCGAACAGACGCTGGTAGCAGGAGGGGCTGTTGGGAGCACTGGGTGGATTCTGTTAGGGTTCAAGACACGGTGCCTCAGACTCAGTAACTCCAACCCCCGCTCCTATGGGCTCTATGACCCACCCAAATTATTAACTTCTTTGTGCTCCAGTCTCTTCATCGATAAAATAAAAGTAATAATAATGCCTACTTCATAGAGTTTTATTATTATTTTTTATCCTCACCTGAGGACACTTTCCCATTTTTATTCAGATAGAGTGGGAAGGGGAGAGAGAGAGAGAGAGAAATCGATGTGAAAGGGACACATCGAGTGGCTGCCACCCGCACGACCCAACCAGGGCCGGGGACAAACTGCAACCGAGGTACGTGCCCTTAGCACGAACCGAACCCGGGTTTCTCTGGACCGCAGGCCGACACTCTAACCGCTGAGCCAAACCGGCCAGGGCCATAGAGTTATTATTTAGAATTAAATGGCCAAGTACAAGTTAAAGTGTTTGGGATTCTGCCTCGCTTAGTAAGTATTCAAGAGTATCAGTGAGCAACAGTAACAGTTGTAGGAGGCAGAGTAGGAGTTGTGATAGTAACTAATGATGGTAGTATTAACAGTAACAGCAACAGTGGTGACAGTCATGGTGGGGCTGTGGTGGGGGTCGTAGGGTCTGTAGTAGTAGCAACAGTGGTAGGAACAGCGGTCGTAGGATCTGTAGTAGTATTAGTGGTAACAACAGTAGTACCAGTAGCAGTAGTAAGAGGACTAGTAAAGCTGTAATAGTAGCAACAGTAGTTGTAGCCACAGCAACAGCAGCAGCGAGCTAGTATGGACACAAGAAATTGAACCCAGGTCTCAACTCCGCTCCAAGAACCGTGTCCCCACCCACTGGTGCCCAACCCCAGTGTGAGGGTGTGTGTGCTCTCACCTGTAGGCTCACAGGAGTGGAAAGGCCTCCCCTCCAGAGCCCATGGGGCAGCCTATTGTCCCCCCTGGTTTTTCTCCTCCAAGACACCCTCTGGGAATACCTTGCCTCCTAGGCGCCAGGCAAGCTCTGGGCTCCCCCAGCATCGGGCTCCCCTTTCTCGCCCCTGCCACATGGATGGCTATGTGGGCGTGGCCTGCCTCCCGCTCCGCTCAGCATCCTCTCGGGAGGGTCTGCTCCGTAGCACTTCTTCACACCCCCATGGACCACGGCCCCTGGCTCACAGCGGGCAACCTCCAACTGCTTTTCAGAGATGAAACAAATAAATTGATTAGAAGGTGATACATCCTTGATTTACAAGGATTAATGGCTTTGAAATTAAAACACAGATCTGTCCCCTCTCCAAATCTCCAAGAGAGGGTATAGGTCACTTCTGGACCAAAAGGGCTGTTTCCACTCCTGGGACCACGAGCAAGCCGACCAGTTGGTTGACATTCAGAAAGGGAGAGGCTGGTTCTGTTCGGGCCATGGTGCCAGGGCCGTTTCTACGAACATTTCCTTTCGGGTTCCCCCTTAGCACTTCCTTTAATTATTAAAACTCCTTGCAAACCTAGAAGTCAAAGAAATGAAGCAGTAATTCATCACTGTCTCCAACCCAAAGAGAATGATCAAAGCCTGGATGCGGAGAAACTGGCAGAACTGTGGGTCCCTCTCAATTTCAATGACCTTACACGGTTCAGCTGATGGGGACGGGGATTCCCGAACTCCTGGGGGACAGGTTCTGGCCACCTTGAACTTGCACACCAGATTGCAAAAATAATTGCTGCCATGTACTGAGCGCCTACCACACGGCAAGATCTATCCAGATGATTTCTTGAACCGCACAAATTCTTATGAGCTATGTCATGGGAAAAACTTAGTAACTTGCCCAAGGTCATCAGCTGCCTGTCTATTTTTTTCTTCTTTCCATTGGTCTCCAGACCTCTTGTGTGCTGGGACCACATTGTCAGCCACACTCTGTGATCAACCTTGACCTTGGCAAGTCACAGAGCCCCATGGGTCTCCGTCCCCACATACGTGAAGGCACTTGCTGCCGAGGTGATAACAACGCAAACACTGCGTGTGTGTCTATTGTGGGTGTGCCCTGGGTATTTGAGACAGATCACCCCGGGAACCATCCGGAGACACCGGGTGATCTTGGGCTGCCTGCTCCCTCCTGACCCCCCCCCCCCCCAGCTGCTGCTTCCAGCACCGCAGGTGCTACGAGGAGGCTGCCGAGATGGACTGTATCCAGGACTCCACCAAGATTATCACCGACGTCAACTGCATCAGCAAGAAGATCGCGTGTGGTGAGCATCTCCAGTTGTCCCAGGGGACTGGGTGGAGAGACAACAGTCCAGAGGCCCCCGTCTTGTCCAGACCTGGGCTCACACTCATCGTCATCACTGTGACCCCACTGTCGTCTATACTCAGTTCCACGGCATCCACACCTTGCACAGTAGCTGTGCATTAGATGCTTTCTGAGTTAACATGACAGTGAATCAGCAGATATTTGATTTATAGCTTTTATATTTGTAGCAACCGTGGGAGCTTGGGACGGGCAAATAGTTTGCTACCTGCGTATCGTGTGACATTGGGGCAATTGTTTCTTCCTATGAACCTCAAAATGGGGAGGAAAAATCTGCCTCCAGGAGCTGTTATGAAAATTCAGGGATGCTCACAGGACAGTTGGCGAGGTGGCGGAGTGTGTTTGGAATGCGGTGGGGGGAAGGGAGGGAGAAGCTGTGTTGGATGAAGAAGGCTGTGTGGGTGTTTGTAAGACTCAGCTGTCTCCTTGCTTGCTGTGTGACTCTAGGAATTTCATTTCCTGTCTCTGGGCAGAAGAAGCGGAATAGGCAAAGGCGAGGGGGGAGGAGGAGCATGGTGCCTGCCAGGTGCCACACGCTTTATACACAGCAAGTCTGACCTTCTAAAGAACCTGTTAGATGCAGGTCATTATCCCCAGTTCTCAGACAAGGAGAAAGAGAGCTCAGAGAAATTAAATACCTGGTTCCAAGTCACAGCCACTAAGTGGCAGAGACAGGGTTTGACGCCAGGTGAGACCAACTCCACAGTCCAGGTGACATGGACTAGCTGGAATAAGGAGCTTCCAGAAAGAGGTGAGAAGAGACATGGGTGTGAGTCACTAGGTGAGGCACACGGGGAACACTGAAAGCACTGTCCATCCATCATCCATTCATCCGTCCATCCATCATCCATCCATCTATCCACCCATCCACCCATCCCTTCATTCCTTCATCCATCCATCCCTTCCTTCCTTCATCCATCTATTCCTTCCTTCCTTCCTTCCTTCCTTCCTTCCTTCCTTCCTTCCTTCCTTCATCCATTCCTTCAATCCTTCATCCATCCATCCATTCATCCATCCATCCATCCATCCCTTTATTCCTTCATCCATCCATCTATCTGTCCATTCGTCCATCCATCCATCCATCCATCCATCCATCCATCCATCCATCCCTTCCTTCCTTCATTCATCCATTCATCCATCCATCTCATCCTTCCTTCCTTCCTTCCTCCATCCATCCATTCATTCCTTCATTCCTTCATCCATCCATCCCTTTATTCCTTCATCCGTCCATCCGTCCGTCCGTCCGTCCATCCATCCATTCCTTCCTTCCTTCATTCCTTCATCCATTCATCCATCCGTTCCTTCATTCATCCATCCATCCATCCATCCCTTCATCCCTTCATTCATCCATCCATCCGTTCCTTCATTCATTCCTTTATTCCTTCCTTCATTCGTTCATTTTTTCATTCATTTGTTACTTCTTTCTTTCCTTCATTCATCCATCCATTCATTCCTTCCTTCATCCATCCATCCATTTCTTCCTTCATTCATCCATTCCTTCCTTCATTCATTCCTTCCTTCCTTCCTTCCTTCCTTCCTTCCTTCCTTCCTTCCTTCCTTCCTTCCTTCCTTCCTTCCTTCCTTCCTTCCACAGATAAGTACTGACCACTTGCACCAAGTCCAAGACCAGTGTCTCGGTAACGGGACATCCTGACATTCTGCAGTTCTGTCATGGTTGTCAGACGTGAAAATAGCAGAAACAAATGCTACAGTCCGTCAGATAGAGACGAGAGCTGTGGAGGACCGTAACTGAGGGGAAGGCACAGGGAGGCTGCGGTGGGCGCCTATTTAAATGGGAAGGTCGGGAGAAGCCCGGGAGGAGAGGACAGTGGAGCAAGGACAGAGACGAGGTGGAACCGGAGAGGAGCCGGGCAGGTGGACAGACCTGAGGCTCGGGGCCTGGTGTGTCTGAGAACAGGAGCCAGTGAGCCAGGGCTGGGTGGTGAGGGAGGAGGAGGTGAGATCTGAGAAGGAGCTTCCACTTTGAGTTGGGAGGCTCTGAACACAGAGAAGACATGGTGTGACGGTGTGACCTGAGTTTTCAAAGAATTCTTCCGGATCCTTGATGAGAATGGACTGAACAGCAGGGGAGGAGGCAGGGAGAGTTGCTAGGAGGCCATGAGGGGGTGATGGGGGTGCCCAGGGCAGTGAAGTGGGGTGGGTCAGGGGTGGGTGAGAGAAAGGGGGGCAGCTGGGCCCAGAGTGGACGGATGGAGTGAGCACAGGAGATAAGGCGACTTGGGGAGGCGTGGAGTTGGGGCGGGCAGGTCGGGGGCTCAGCTTTGGTGTTGGCATTGCCTCTGGGGGTGCCAAGTGAGCGCTCCCCGCTGGCTCTGCCTTGCTGTGTGCAGACTCCAGCGACCCTTGTGAGCGCCTGCTGTGCACCTGCGACAAGGCCGCGATAGAGTGCTTGGCCCGGGCCACGGTCAACTCCTCCCTGAACCTCCTGGACACCTCCTTCTGCCTGGCTCAGCCCCCGGGTAGGAGGGACCTGGCCCTGACCCTGCTGGTGTGGGACCCTGGGTGCCTGTATCTTTAGATGCCAAGCCCAGCACCTTCTCCCATTCCACACACCCACCACCACTCTAACTCTCTTTGTTTGTTTGTTTGTTTGTTTGTTTGTTTGTTTGGCAGAGGCATCCAGCACGCAGGAGCTAACGACCCCTCTGCCTAGAGGTGAGGCCTCCTAGGGAAGCTGCTCTTACTTGGACTCAGGGGCCAGACTGCTGATGGGAGCCCGTGGACACATATGTCATGTGTGCCTGTTATTCCTTGTTCACCAAAGTTCCCACGGTCTCAGTCCCAATACAAGGGCACGTGGGGTTGGGGAGTTCAAGGTGTACCTCCACAAAGCACCCCTCATTCCCTGAGCTGGGGTCTCTCTCTCAGAAATAGCCCTGCAGTGTTGGGTAAAGAGGGAGCTGATGTGGGTGCGTGTGATGGATTTCTGGGTGTGTGCATGTGTGATATGGTGTGTGCATGTATGTGTGCACAAGTGCATGCGTGCATTTGTGTGGGCATGTGTGTGCATGCATGCACGTGCATGTGGGTGGTTGTGTGCACACATGTGCATGCATGGGGTATGCATGTGCACATATGCAGGTGTGTGGCTATGTGTAGCATCTCCAGGTACCCTCTGGGTCCAGTGTTCTTTTTCCCCTAGGACAGAGGTCTTCTCAAGTCAGAATACCACACTCCACAGCCACAGTCCGGGGTTTGCAGCCCCTTCATTGTCACAGCCTGTGTTCGAAGTGTCACCTTCTCCAGCAGAACCCAGAGCCGTCTGGGCCCCTGCTCTCTGGCAGGTGTAGGGGAGGCAGGAAATCCTGAGGCAGGGGAGCAGCCCTTCCTGGGCAGCACCTTGCCCAGCCGCCCTGTCTTGGTCCTCAGGCCCCTCTCGGCCTGCTCTTGGTCGAGACCCCTGGGCCGCGGTGTTGACACTGCGTCCGTCACTCATTGCTGTCGGGCTCTCCCTCTTTTTCAGCGGAAGCTGTCGCTCCCACAGACACCAGCCTGGGGGCCCTCTCAGGAGAAGGTGAGCTCAGAGCGACAGGTGTGCGACCCAAATGCCCGCATTTCGATTGCAGCATTGGGCTACTGACTGGAGTTACCTCCCTTCAGACGCCCCAGCCTGGGCCAGCAAGGACCCCCTGCAAGTACACCCCAGAACCAGCCCTCACCCCTCCTGACCCCAGATCTCCAGGTGCTCAGCTTTCTCCCGCGCCCCGCGCCCCGCCTCCCGCCTCGGTAGGGTCTTCAGACAAAGGGCAGAGCGCCACCCTCGGCCATCTGGAGTTGAACTTCGGATGAACAACACAACTTTTTTTTTTTTTTTTTTATCCTCACCCGAGGACATTTTTCCACTTTTTGTTCAGGTAGAGTGGGAGGGAGAGAGAGGAACAGAGAGAGAGAGGAGAGAAACATCGACGTGAAGGAACACATCGAGTGGCTGCCACCCGCACAACCGACCAGGGCCGGGGACAAACTGCAACCGAGGTACGCGCCCTTAGCGGGAACCGAACCCGGGTCTCTCAGGACCGCAGGCCGACGCTCTAACCGCTGAGCCAAACCGGCCAGGGCGAACAACACAACTTTTGAGTATCAGTATGTCCCATGCAAATTCTGGGACATGCTTCTACTGAAAAAGGTATTCGTTACTCATCTGAAATGCAGATGCAGCTGGGCTTCCTGTGGTTTTGTTAAATCTGCAGCCCTACCCCTCAGAGAGGTCGCTGTGCTCCACCGCCTCCCTACAAGTCTGTCGGTCTCTCTCCGCTACTGCCGCTGCTACAGGGGCAGAGCAGAGGCCTGGGGGTGGCCCCCGGCCACATCCATGTCCAAGGGCAGCTCATCCTCAGCAGCTTCTGGGCAGCCTGCACTCTGGGATCCAGGTCTAGAGAAGAGACAATGGGACCCAGGCCACACCAAAGCTTCCCCTACGCCCCGCCCAAGCTGTCACCACGCCCAGTGACTTTCATTCTAAATTAAGGCTCTGCTGTGGACTTCCTGGCCCCGTCACACAATCCCAAAATGTTCCCCAACTGGTACCTTTTCCATTGTCTTCAGCCTGAACCACCGTCACCCTGTGGCACGAACCTGGGACACAGGTACAGGGAACAAGTTTCCTCAAGGAGGCTAGAGTCTAGCTGGAGAAAGTGGGCGCACACACCTTCGCCCCAGCACACGCGCACTCCCCCGTGCCCGGGCCCGGGCACTCCAATGCCCTGCAGCGGGGCAGGCAGCCTGAATGCAGGGCCAGAGCTCAACCGCCAGGTGCAGGCCGACAGCCTGGGAGGAAACCTGTAGGGCCTGTGGGTGTTGTCACCACCTCGCGACGAAGCAGCTACGTGTCAGAGTCGGCAAGTTGGGGAGAGAACCCTGGGTCTCCTGTTTTGGGCGGTGTGGCTTTGGGAGTGTGGTTTAACCACTCCAGGCCTCCACGTCTCTATTTGCCTAAAGAGGGGATGGCACACTTCCTGTGAAGAGCCAGATAGGAAAAGTCATAGACGGAGCATCTCCGCCCAGCCACGCAACTCTGCCCCTGTGGCAGGAAAGCTGCCGTAGACGTGTGTCACCACATGGCCGTGTGCCGGTAAAACAGGGAAGGGGCCAGACCCCCGTCTGCCAACCCCCAGAGGGGGAGGACTATAGTGGTCCTTCAGGGGGTGGAGGACTAAATGAGAGACCGTGGGGAGGTTCTGGGCCAGCATCTTCCTCCCCAATTCTAGAGGAACCCAAAAAACAGCACATACCCTCACCACACGCAGGACAGGAGCGGCTGGCTCCAACTCCAGCACCTGGTTTAGTGCTCACACAGCGTCAGGAAGCAGCTGCTGTGACCTCCGTGTCGCGATGCTGGATTGAGATGCAGAGAGAATTTTCCAAGAGCTGAGCGGTGGGGCTGGGGTTCGAGCCACCGGTGGTCCTTCCTGACTTTCAGAATGGATTCCCGCTTAGGGTGCCTTCCCACACGGGCCTGGCCCACTCGGGGGCAATGCCGGCTTCTTCGCCTGAACACAGGACTGCCCCTAACCCAGCCCCTAGGCCACTGGGTCGGAGCTGAACTGAGCACCAATGCGCGGACATACTTACCCCAAATCAGACTGCCACGGGCCTTCTCTCCTCGGTCCCCCGGCTCCCAGCCCACTGTCTGCAGTGGCCTGGCTAAGGTGCTGAGCTGACTGATCACCGATCACCGATTGACAGTCGGGTGGTGTCTATTCATAGTGTCTGCTGATACCAGAGCTGACCAGCGGACCACGCTCTCCAGGACCAGTCAGCTGACCTCGCTCTTTAGGACACGTAAGCAGAGGGCCTTCGGAGGACAGCGTGGGGCCCAGTGGAGAAATGCCATCGAAATGAACACTGTGTTCAGTTCACAAGTGTTTATGGGACTGGGACTTGTCTTCTTTCCATTATATTATAGTGACTCACAGAGAACAACCCCTTATCTAAAAACATCTCAGCCAAGAAGTCAGCGAGAGAATTAACCTGACCATTTACTCTGCTAGTGGCGACTAACAACCGTGGATACTTTACTGATCAGTATGAATAACTGATCATGACTATGTGCTCATTAGTAAGAATGGTTGAAGGGTGGTGACATTGTGGAGGCCCTCGAAGTGCTAACATGGTCCCAAGCCCCTGCATACAACATTCTCTGAGTTATTCTTCCCTGGTCCTGGGGGACCCACCATCACCCCCATTTTTCGGGTAAAGGAGAAGCTCCAAGAGGTAGAGCCCTTTGCCTGGGGTAGTCTGGCGTAGATTCCTTCCCTTCTGAATCTACACACCTGCCCCAGCTTAGAACTATGCAGACTCTCTTGGCCGGAGTGTCTGTCTCCATCGCGGACGTCTGAGCCTGCTGTTCATGCTGCAGCACCACAGTCTTGCTCTCTGACACAGAACGAGGCGGTCCCTTGCTCTCCGAAGCACTTTGGACTGACCATCTCGGGCTCTCTGTGGCTCAGCCCGCAGTGACATGGCAGCCTAGCCTAGAGGTTCAGGGGTGAACTCTAGCAGGTGACCTGGGCTTTGCATTCTGCCACTTCCTGGCCCTGTGACCTGGAGCAAGTGACCTCACTTTTCTGTGTTCCCCTTTCTCGTCCCTGAATGAGGATGAGTGTTGCGCCGGTCGTGGGTTTGTTGTGCAGTTGATCCGAGCAGAGCCCTTGGTGCCGTGTCTGGCTTGCGGTGAGCCTTCGTCTGTCCACGCTGCTATACAAAGCCCCACAGACTGGGTGGCGTATAAATAACAGAAACTTACCTCTCACGGTCACGGAGGCTGGACGTCCGAGATCGAGGCCTCTTCCTGACTCAAGGACAGTTGTTTTCGCTCTGTGTCCTCACACGGTGGAAGGGACCAGGGAGCGCTCTGGGGTCTCTTTATAGGGCTCTCGTCCTGTTCATGAGGGCTCCACCCTCACGACCTGATCACCTCTGAGGCCTCCTCCTAACACCGCCCACTGGGGGCGAGGATCCCAGCACGTGAGCCTGGGGCACACAGACACTCGGTCTGCAGTACAGTCCGAGCTTTGTTACTGTCAACCCAGCAACAAACTCCCTTCACAGAGGAACAGGCTCAGCAGCTCCCTGGACCTGCAGCAGCCAGGGGGTCACACAGTTCTTCTGCCTCTTTCTTCTCTGTTCCAAAGAAAGATTCCAACACACTCACCTGCAGCTGAGTTTCCCAGCAAGCCTGTGGTGGGGGGGAGGGGCAGGGTCTCTTTTTGGCTCAGTGGTGACCCCGCCAACACGAGCTCTCCTGGGAGGGGACCAGGGGCAGAACAGAGACCACCCTGCCCCCTGTGCCCCGCGGCTGGGCGCTGCCTCTGGAGAGCGGGGTGGGGTGGGGCGGGCTGGGCTCGATACTCACCCTGTCTCTTTTTGGGGAGCAGAACCACCCCAAGACCAGGAAGGCCCAGGCGCCGCGAGGACCACAAGCCCTGCAGGTGAGCGCCGGCTCCTCCGGCCTGGGACTCGGTGGCGGCCGATACGTGTGCTAAGCCAGGTGTGTTCCAAAGGAACCTTGAGAAAAGCCCCCGCTCGAGACGGAAGGCATCCGGAAGCCAGTTTACTGTTAGAGCCCCTGAAAAGTAGGCAAAGGAAATAAAAAGTTGATCCATTCATAGGAAGAAATGGAAGCGTACCTGCTAAGGAGATGCCTTTCAAACGCACAGAAAGCTCTAGTTCGCTTTCTGGTCACACGCCTGCGATTTCACACGAGAAAGGTGGGCACGTTGAATACTGGAACAGGCCTCCTCCGGGGCTGTCCCGAGCACGTCCACCACGCAGCCCGGGCCTCCCCCGCGCCCAGGACTGAGCCGGGTCGGCAGGTGGCGGGGCTCTGATGCTCCGTTGTCTGGACCGACCAGCACGCGGTCTGTGGGCTGGAGACCTGGCTGCCTCCGGGCAGACGGCAGGGCGGGCTCGCTGAGGACGAGCGCCTGGGGGAGCCAGGCGGCCCGGGGCCTGTGTGAGGGGCAGGGCGGGCACGTGTGGACCCTGCACCCGACTGAGTGTGACGAGGAGCTGTTGCGTGTTCGGAAGGGTTGGACAGCTTGGCTTGCGCACGGGCTGTGGGCCATGCCTGGGGTCGATTTCTCCATCGCTCTTGTCTCTTCACTTGCTGACACTGCCACGGGGCTGTACACAAAGGTCGCCTGAGCGGTGACACTCACCGCGCATTGTCACCCAGAGGGTGTAGACAGGCTCCCGTCAGTTTCACGGTCATCGTCGAAAATGTGGGATCCACGTGGCACTTCCCGGATCCCCGAGACTCCGCTCTGCAGTCCCAGTCTGGTGCTTCTTTGTTCCGAAGTATCTGTCCGCCCTCGGCCCTGACCTTGTGCCCAGCTGCAAATCGCTCCTCGAATCCCCTTTTGAACGTGGACGGTAAAGCTGTGCATTTTCAGGGTCTGAAGAGATTGCTGCCACCGCGAGAGGGGCGACCGTGGCTCCTGCCGGCACCCCATCTTCGGGGCTGGCTGTGGCATCCGTCCAAAGCGGCCCCGAGGAGACGGCTGGAAGAGGTGAGCAGAAGCGGACAGGCAGGGGTCTGTCCTCTGGGGCCTTGAGATCCTTGGCTCAGGTGGTCAACACAGCCCTGGATGCGCGTGACCTTGTCGTGCGGGTGTGACGGAGGTGCGTCCCCTCGCTGAGGCTCAGAGGGTGAGGACTTTGCCTGTAGGCAGCCAGCTGCTGGGCGGCGGGGCCAGGGTAGGAAGCCCCGGTGTGGCCCTCACCACTCCTACGGCCAGGAGGCGAGGGCCTGGCATTGTCATGCCACCCTTGAACGAGACACCTGGGTCTTAGTGATACCCCCCCCCTGGGCTCTCCTCCCGCAGGGGGCCTTGCCCAAGGGCCTGCGCCTGGGGGGAGCCACAGGCAGCGGGACCCAGAGGAGGACGTTGGTACCGCCTGGGCAGCGCTCCCCAGTGTGGCACGGAGCTCTGGAGGCCTGCATCGGGCGGGGAGGCTTGGCCAGGGGCATGCCGGGAACTCTGGCTTCTGAGTTCTCCTCACCGAACCTGGGAAGGTGGGCTTTGCATAGTACAAGAGGGGGAATCGGGTGGGGAGGGAGAGAGAGAGAGAGAGAGGCAGAAACGGAGACCCAGCAGAAAATCAAGGTTCTGAAAGATAAGCCCCCGAGGCGTGCTAACCTGCTGAGCAGACAGCTAGGAGGACGGCCAGGAGTCCCCAGGACGCAGGCCGGCCCATCCCTCTGCTCAGTGGTAAAATGTGGCCAAAGGCCCGAGGGAGATATCAGAGGGGTCGGCAGAGCTGAGGCTGGGGGGAAAGTCTCCTTCTGAAAGACCGGTGGTCCGGGACAGGGGACCAGTCACAGCGCAGGGTCCCAGAAGAATGGGGTGGGAGGCGAGGACCGGGCTCCTGGTGCATCAGTGCCAGGCAGAGCCCTGCCCCCCTGTGAATGCGTCCTGGTGCTCCTGGCTCCCCTGAGTTCTCATGCCTCACAGCTTGCGACAGGTACACCTTCCTGCACCTGGGGAGTGGGGACAGCACACAGGTGATGCCACAGCTGGGGGAGATGCTGTTCTGTCTGACAGCCCGGTGCCCGGAGGAATTCGAGTCTTACGGCTGCTACTGTGGGCAAGAGGGACGAGGTGAACCGAGGGACGCCCTGGACAGGTAGGGACGCGCACAAGGGGCAGGCCGGTGGCAGTGACGCTGCCCCCAGGGATGGGTGACCCTCCTCTACCCAGGCGTCGCTGTGGGCTTCACAAACAGCTTGTTGCCTGCGCCACCTCACTCGGGTGGCTCATCGCTGTCACAGGCCCCTTTTCCTGGGCAGCAGCTGGGGCTCAGACTCGTCTGAGGTCACGCACCTACGAAGGGCAGAGCCCGACAGAGCAGACCATTGATGTGGGAGCCTGGAGCTCTCCCACAAACGTTTCTCAGCTGCCCTGAGAGGGTCACCCTTCTTTTTTTTATCTTCACCCGAGGACATTTTTGCATTTATCTTCAGATAGAGCAGGAAGGAGAGAGGGAGGAACAGAGAGAGGGAAACATCAATGTTAGAGAGACACATCGACTGGTTGCCACCCACACAACCCCAACCGGGCCGGAGACAAACCGCAACCAAGGCACGTGCCCTTAGCGGGAACCGAACCCGGGTCTTTCTGGTCCACGGGCCAACGCTCTAACTGCTGAGCCAAACCGGCCAGGGCAGGTCACCCTCTAAGACACTTCGGAGTTGCTGGCTCTGCTGGTTTACGACGAGTTACACAGCGGATCAGGGTCTCCCGTTGATTTAATCTGCCAGAGGCCACGTTGAAATGAGCTTCTCAACAGCTTTCCAGGGTCACGGGTCAATCTCACATCTGAATTCCATATTTACCCCTCTTGGGAGGGTTTCCACGGACCTATGTAGCCAAGAATTTGCTCCTTCATGAATATGTGCCTTCAACCCACGTGTCTTGAGTTTCTGCTCTGTGCGGGCCCTGCGCTCGGCACTGGGGCGTGAAAACAAACCTAAACAAAGCGGATCCGACCACCTGTGTCCCGGGGACTTGTGCAGGGAGAGAGCCGGACAGTTCACAGAAGTGCCCGGTGTCGTCGATGCGTGGGGGAGACGGAGGGGCGGGGCTCAGCCTGCAGGGAGTCTGAGGGGCACCCGAGCAGCCGCAGCCGTGAGGTCGAAAGGCGGATCGCAGGTGGCCGCTGCCCCACAGGCAAACCGACAACTACCGCTGAAGTTAGGAAAACAGAAGAGACAAGGTGTGTTGTAGTTCACACGAAGGATCTGGCCGGGACCGGCAAGCGGGACATTCATCCGGTCAGATGGTGTCGGACGGCTGTATTCTCCCCCCCCCCCCCGCCCGTGGGCACCAAACCTGCTTCTCCTGTTTCCGTCGCACAGTCATCCTGAGTCTTACCTTCCCTTCTGCCGGACGACACTAGGAATTTTTATTCCAGCAAAGTGTATACCGCACTGTGGAACCATAAGCATATTTACATTATGAAATCTGAAAATACGCCCTTTGCTCTCCAAGACAGAAGCATTTATGGTTCCTGAGTCCCTGGCGTGGGGACAGGAATCTGGGCCGCCGCCGTCACAGCTCCGTTGAACCCCATGGAAAAAAACAAGGGGGTTTTTGAAGCGTATTCCTGACCACTGAAGCCATGTCACTGAAATGTGAGCTTGGAGCAGGCAGGCAAGTACGTTACGTTGTGGCCTCACCGACACCCACAGGAAGAAAGGGAAACGGGAAGCCGCAGGGGAGAGTCGGTCCAGTGGCACCTTTGTGCAAGGGTGTCTGTCTTTTCAAAACCGTGCGTCCTTTACCTTCTGGGCGATTTGATTTTCAAGGATATTTTTGATCATGTGTGATCTCAGATTCACTCACTGACGTTAGATTCTAAGTGTCGTGTTCAGTAGCCACCCACCCACCCCGGCCAAATGGGCACAGGAGGCAGTGAGTAAGCATCTCTGCTGGAGCACCAGCCAAGCAGCGGCTGCCATCCTGGGCCCACACCGACCAGCGGCCACTGGCTAACGAGACGCGCGAGGTGGGGTTGCCTCCTGTTGTGGCAACATGGGGAGGCTGGCAAAGCTGGTACTCGGCTGAGCCCACGTGCTATCCGGAAGCTAGGTGATGCTGACCCCTGCTCTGGCTGTGGCCTTTGTGGTCCTGTGAGACGCAACGAAGGACAGGAAAGGGTTGCAGAGGGAGAGCTGGGGGAGCCATTGGAGCCTCTTATTGGCTGGAGCCATCACCTGATTCCTCGGAAGTCCATCTGGCTAAGGGACACTGGCGACGGGGGTTTCATCAGGCCAGACGGGTGGGTCTCCAGTGCAAGATGCTGACTCGTCCCCACGTGTTCATTGAGGTCTTGCTCTGTGCTGGATACTTTTCTAGATACAGTTTTTTATTTATGCCCAAGATGCTACTCTGCTCTCTTCCAAGGCTGGGGACCAAACGGGGTGTCCTGGGGATGTGGGATTAACTGTTCTACTATGTAAATGTTGGAGGCCATGGGGTCACTGCTTGTCCCCACGAAAAACAGTGCCCATGCTCAAGACCCTTTATTGCCATCTGTTGGAAAATTATCATGATAAATATGCTAATTAGAGCCAAGAGCATCATAAACTACAAAGTGAGAATATTTAAAACGAAGACGTGCAGTGTGATAAACGTCCCTTTAGACGTGGTGTCTTTGTGCAGCGCACGACCTGAGCAGCCACGTGTGGTAGGCTTGGCGTGTGTAAATCAGCCCCGTGCACACTGGACGGGAGGCGCTGGCTTCTCTCGCTTCCCTAAGGGGCCCTGGGGCGGCCAGGAGCCCCGGCAGTGAAGGTTGCCTTGGTCTCAGGTGCTGTTGGGCTCACCACTGCTGCCTGCAGCAGGTGACGAGGCTGGGCTGCCTGCTCGAGAGGCTTCCTCGGTCGCCGGTGGTGTGCGGGGACGGGACAGCCAACTGTAAGTGTGTGGGCCTCCCACTGAGTCCTTCTCTCGTTCATGGTCAATGTCACGCGTGCAGACGCTTCCCCCAGCCCTTCTCCTTCGATCGTATGACCTGACACTCTTCTTAACTCTGGGGCACGTATGAGTCCCCCTGTTCCACTGAGGACGAGACTCTAGTTCGAGGGGCTAAATCAGCTGCCCAAGGGCACAGGGCTGGTTGGGTGTGGACTGGGAACATCACAGAGATGCTGCGTGTTCTAAGCTTTGCTGTGTGTGAGCGGAGTTCATTCCCGCCACCCCCCAGGACAAAGCACTGGGAGTCTCCCCAGGCTATAGAGGCGGGCCCGGGTCCAAGGTCACACAGGTAGAAGTCAGTGATGGAGCTGGGATTAGGACCGTCAGACACACTGCCTCAGACCTTGAACCGAGTCGTGCCCATGCCCATGGTTCCCTTCTCTTCAGCAGCAGAACCCTCTTCCCATGTGGGAGCTTGCGAGGGACCCCATACAGCGGGACACTGGCCCTGCAGCTCTGTTCCTCTCTATCCTGGAAGCTGGGGCTCCTCTGTGGTCCTTCAGGGCCTCGGGCACCCCACCAGGAGCACCCTTGCAGGAGCACAGGCTCATCCCCATCTCTGGCCCCTTGCCTCGCCCGTGGCAGTGCGTGCAGTCCCGATGCCCTGCTGTGTAAAGGAAACGCTCCTCAGCTTCGGAACTGGGAGAGCAGTGAGCATGCGTGATCCCTGCCTCAATCCCCCGAGCCTGCAGGGAGGGACAGGCCAGTGATCCAATCTCCCATCCTAAGCGCCAACAGGTGGGGCAGGCGTCCTGGAACGTGGGTACAGGGGTTGGAGCTTGCAGAGTATGCCGTGGGGCTGGGAGAAGTCAGGAGAGGCAGTGAGGTGAGATCATAACAGGTTTCTGGGTGGCCATGCTGATGTGGATGAGAAAAACCCTGGTGGATACTTCGTGGCAGGATCAGGTGAAAAAATGCATCAGACTAGATACATCTGTGAAAACCACCGATAACAGTGTCTGCAGAGTGCTTACCTGTGTCTAAGCTCCTGCCAACACAGGACTTCCTGAGTCACACAGGTGCTGTCCACCGCCCCGCCCGCTGCATGCAACCTAAACATTGCAAACACACGGTAGGGTTGCCAGACCGGCAAATAAAAGTGAATAGAAAGAACAATTCTGTTGTGACAGAACCGCAGGTGGGGTGCATTTGAGGTGAGCCTGCAGGGAGAACGCATCTAGCCTGGGGCTGAAGGAAGCGTTGGGGCGGGAGTGCCAGGGGACTTGACCACGTCTGCGTGAATGGGGAGAAGCCAGCCGGGCACACTCCAGGAGCGGCACCAGTGCAGCCGGACGCAAGGGCCAGGCTGAGGCGGGCGGCCACGGGGCGGGCGGCCACGGGGCGGGCTGCGCAGCCACGACCGTCTCAGCTGCTCCTGTTCTCGCCCTCCAGGTGTGGGGCAGAGCCTGTGTGCCAAGCTGCTCTGTGCCTGTGAGCAGACCGCGGCCGAGTGCATGGCCTCGGCCTTCTTTAACCAGAGCCTCGCGTCGCCGGGCAGACAAGAGTGCCAGGGTGACCGGCGCCCCTGCGAGGACGGCGGCCGCGGAGGGCCTTCGGCTTCCTCCCTCAGCTCCAGCTCGGAGGAGGACAGCGAGGAGGCCACGCCCCCCGCGGCACACCTGCGCCGCACCAGGTTCCTGGGGCGGTCCCTTGGTGCCACAGGGGCCAGGCCGCATGGCCCCAGGTAGAGCCCCGGAGCACATGCCAGGCTCACCCTGTGCTCTGGCTCCTGAGGCCTCTGGGCAGAGGCTCACAGGCACCATGTCGATGTGCACTTGGAGGAGGCGGACAGCTGGGGCCCCCTACTTCCCCTCGTGCACTGCGGGGCTCAATAAATACTCAATGTTTTCCTTTTCCTTCGGTTTGTGTGTTTAAGAAATGTTGTCGATTCTGGTGCAGGAATAGATTGCAAAGGTGAGACAGTGACTAGAGACAATGAAGAAAAAATGTCTCTACTGCCTAATCACTAGGAGCTACTTTCCTTCTAAAGAAACAGAAGGGGCCCTGGCCCGTTTGGCTCAGCGGTTGGAGCGTCAGCCTGTGGTCCAGAGAGACCCGGGTTCGGTTCCCGCTAAGGGCATGTACCTCGGTTGCAGTTTGTCCCTGGCCCTGGTTGGGTTGTGTGGGTGGCAACCATTCGATGTGTCCCTTTCATGTCGATGTTTCTCTCTCTCTCTCTCCCTCCCACTCTATCTGAACAAAATATATATAAAAAAATGTCCTCGGGTGAGGATAAAAAAAAAAAAAAAGAAACAGAAGGGAGTACAGGACAGTCAGTCTTCTGAGATCACCTGAGTCACCAACAACCCACCAAAGATGTGTGCCAAGGACTGAAATAGCTCTTTTGCTACGTGCCCTAAACATACACCTGCCATTTGAGTTGCCAGGAGAGGGGCACTTGCCACCCTGCGTGATGAAGGGTCGCTGCTCAGCCCATCCTGGGGGTAGGGGGTGCTTTAGACTGTCGAGAAGGTTGGACCTACAGTCACCAGTGGTGGCCAATTCATAAATGAACCCTCTTAATGAGCTTTTCCTCCTTCCATTCCAGAGGTTCCCTGGGACCAGGTCCCTGAGTAACCCCTGCGTGTGAGCCTGTCTTGGGCTCTGCCTGAGAACTCAGACTAGGACACACCTCCTATCGTCCCCGACTCAGTGCACACGAAAGGCCAATGGAGCAAAACCAAGAGGCAGACTTTGGTGTTTTTCCCGCTTCTTCATTTGAACCGGGTACTCGAGGTCAATGATTTATCAAATGAGAGACTAGGTCACAGGACCCAAGTTAGAGGTGGAAAGAGCACAAGTAGCAAACCATTGACGGCTCACCCGACACCTGGAGAACCAGGCCCCACACGGACGTGGACCGACTGGCCTGGTGCACGCCACTGAGGCCGCCGCTGGTGGCTCGGCCCGGTCGGGGCTGGAGCGTGGGGACAGTGATGGACACACATGCGCAGCGTGGCACAGGGAGCCTCCCTCGTGGTTCCCTCGTTCCCCACAGACACCCTGAGGGCGGGACCCCAGAGCGCCAGGACTGGTCACCTGCCGAAGGCCGTGCAGGCAGGATGTGGTGGAGGCTGCCTCCCACCCAGAGCCCCCCTCACTGCTCTGCGGGCGGCCTGCAGGGAGGCCCTGGCGCCCAGGCTGCTCCCACAGCCTGGAGGGTCCCCGAGGGGCTGTCCTTGTAGGGGAGGCTTTGTGTGATGCGCGGCGAGGAGGCGGGGTCGAAGACATGGGGACTGATGCGGAGACGGCAGCTGTACCTGAGCCAGACCGCCTCCCCCGCACCAGCCGCGGTCCCGGATCTGATGCTTCCCGTGGCTGTGAGGGGGGGTCCATCTGGCGACCTGACCTTCACTGGAACTTTCCACGAGTAACTACAGCAAAATACTGAACACGTTTAATACATGTAATAATAAAAATGTACTTATGCACAAGTATTTTGATTTTGTTTTATTGCTTACATATGAATTGCACAGTGAATTTTTACATTTCAAAAAACTCACTTCATTCCATTTATTACACATGTTGCATGAATGGGACAAATGAGTTTCATTTTCAGACAGGAAGGAGAGAAGAAATATTTTGAGGAGGGGAAGTTAATTGCTGGCAAAAGCGTTGCCTTATTCTAAAAGATAATGAGTTCAGAAGTACTGTGTGTGTGTGTGTGTGTGTGTGTGTGTGTTCAGGCTAACTCCAATAACAACCAAACTCTCTGAGCAAAAACAACACAAGCATAGGAGGAACATTTAAATGGTAACTATTCAACGTCAAGAAAAAAATGACTGATATGAGCAACTGTATACAGCAAAAAGTAAGTGATTAACAGTTTATTGAGAATTTAATTATCTACAAAATCACAGCAATACAGTGAACGCCACAATACCCTCCCTCGCTGCCCGTCTCAGGACGGCGGCGGCAGGCACGCTCACCTGCCCCCGCAGCCCCGGGCAGGGACAAGCCAGAGGGACCCCTGCTTGGGAACCAATGTTAACAAGACCAGCTCAATAACCCAGGGTATACAGAAGGCTAATGGGACTTACAAACAAGACAAACCCCCCACAAAACCCAAATCAACGGTTACAAACAGACCGAGAGAGGGGTGACCAATGTGGCGGGAAAGGCTGTCCCTTCCGTGCACACGCGCGCTGCTCAGACGCGGGACTCTGCGGGGCCGCAGCGCTGCGTGAGTGCAGGAGCACGTACCTTCCGCTGAGACTTCTACATGACATGTTTCACACAGAAGCACAGTGTCCATCTGCAAAGTGACACTCAAGTGGATGGTGACTGTGCATGTCCCCTACTATGATTTTCAAATGCACTGTCAAAAATTAATATCCTTCTTTCAAAATATAGAAGGGAAAAAAGGAAAATTAAAAAGACATAGCATCTGGTCTAGTAAGTGGCGAAGCGTGCTAGCTGATCAAAGGGCAAGGACAGGGACAGCGGCACGGGCCACAAGCCCCAGGGGCTGCTGCTCGGAACAAGGGCATCCTCACCAACATGCACTGTCACCCAGGACGCCTGAGTGTCGTTTTGTAGGTTTAAATGACTACAGCCGTTTACAAGATGTTTCAAGATGCTGTAGTTTGACTGAAATACTCAAACTCCCGAGCACGCTTCTCTATGCTCCTGTCCCTGCTGCTGGTGTGCGCAGCCGTCAGCACCAAGGTGTGACGCGCCGGCTTGGCTGCAGTTTCCAAACAAAAACAAAAGCCAAAAACTGTTTCTCTAGCTACAATTTTTGATATGTATATTTTCTAAGTAAAAAGAAATAAAATCTGAAAAGGTAGAACTATAGACAGGTTATTTTATAAAAACGTCCTAGGAGAATGTGGTCAGAGTAGGGGGCTCACGAGTTGCACAGACGAGAACCCCAGGGGGTCTGAGCACACGAGAGGGTCAGGACGTGCCACCCTGGAAGCTGACATCGACAGAAGCTCGCACTGCCGACCCCAGCACACCTGACTGAACCCACAGGCACCCCTTTCGAATGAAGTGTCCCAAACCCTACACAGAAATGCATACCAGCTACAGAGAACAGCCTACAAATTAAAAGTCCATTTCGGAAACGTTCAGACTGTGAGGATTTAAAAAAATGCACAATATAAAAATGTAAATTAATGTACTCAATAAAAATCAAAATGTACGCTCTTCACAGGTGAACTAGTAGCTGTTTTAAATGTCTTTTTTTATACTAAATATATATTTTATTTAACTAATGGCGCCACAGCAAAATACTACTATAATTTCAAAGCATAGTCTGTAAACTAATACATCTTATGATGTAAAAAATATTGCACAGGTCGGTATCCCGAGAGCAAGCTCTAAGCCTCTCAAGTAGAACGATCAAACTCTCGGCAGAAAATACAGTATCACAAGAACTAGACACTTTAAAGTATGGCGACTTCAGGGTCATATTCTAGGAACATTATTCAACAAGCGTCGCAACCATGAACAGCAGGGGCCTGCCCGCCACGCACATCGCGTGAATGAATGGTGGCCCCGGCGACATCTAATGCACAGGGCAGAAGCCACAGAGCAGCTGGGCAGCACCAGGACTAGGGTGTATTTGGACGCTTTTGCTGATAACCAAAAGAAAAAGCAAAAATTCTGCTTCTAAGCAGTTGTGTAGATGTTTAAGAAATACAGTAGATACTTCACACATCTTTCCACCCTCGAAGGCCTAATTTTGAAAAAAATTACATGTTTGTGAAAAGTTTAAAATATACTGTTTAACAATGAAATAATGTTGAGACCAATACATGTTCAATTTTAAAAGCCAACAGGAACCTCGAAAGAAATTAACGTGGCACAAATCTATCTTCAAAAGTACTCTAAATCACATATAGTTTCAAAACTTCTAGTATGGTATGCCAAGCACTTGGTCAAATGTAAGTTCCATAGTTATTTTCAAAAAGTATGTTCATATACATTAAGTAAACAGCCTGGCCTTAATTTTTAGGCTTTCAAATTCTACGCTGAAGTCTTCCTGAGCCAGTCAGTACACACAGAGATCTGGAAACTTCATCTCATAGACGGGGACAGACTGGTACTGGGCATGCCCAGAAGTCATGGTCAGCGTTCCTGATGGACTGGGAGGAGGACTGGAAAAGAAGAATGGGCATGGTCAACAGTGTTCCTAACAGCACTTCATTTCACAAAGCACCCTAGTTACTACCGCCCCCAGCAGGAAAGCCTCCGCCACTGCAGGGCACTGGCGCTGCGCCTTGCTGGCCAGCGGTCAGGCTGCAGAGAGCAGGCCATGGCGGTGTGGAGCTGCTTTTGTCTGAACCAGACATTTTCCTTTGAATTCACATATACATGGTTTTTACCATGAGATTTCAATATACATATTCTTGTAAGCTTGCTGTTTCCCTAGTAAAAAAAGTCTTTCAAATATATATTACTCTTTTTTGATAACAGTATGGTATTTCATTATACGGATCTATCATAATTAATTTAATCCAGTGGATAAATGCAGGTTGATTTCCATTGTTCATTATTATAAATAATGCTCACAGGTCTTATCTTATACATGCAAAAAACTATTCTGACTGACTTTCCTTGGTTTATAGTCATACAGTAAGAAATTCTGGATCAAAGTATACTCACAATTTTGACTTTGGTACACATTGCCAGAACACCAGTAATTTATACTTACAACATCTGAGTATACCCATTCTCTTATATTATAAATCTTGTGTGCAAGCAATCTTTTTGTCTTTAAATTTTTGCCAATCTGACAAGCAAAAGGGCATTCTCATTTTTTTCAATTTTGGGCTACCACTCACGCTAAATATCCTTGTAGTCTTAGTATCCATTTTATGTTTCTTTTAGAATAAATGGTCTATGTAAGCCCACTGCCTGTATTTCTACTCCAATGTTTTTCTCTTATCAGTTTAGGAAACTCATCTTTTGCCATGTCAAACGATTTTCCACAATTCATTATTTAATTCTCAACCTTTTTTTTTGCCAAATGCTTCCAAACCTGATAAAAGCTCGATTTTCTTAGGATTCTAGTGTGTGTGTGTGTGTTACGCTAAAGAAAACACTCTCTGGACCAAGATTACAAAAATAATTCCTATATAAATTCTAGTATTTCTATGTATTTTTTCTAGACAGAGTTAAAATGTTCCATTTTGGTAAAAGAAGTGGAGAGCCCTCCCCCCCCCTTTGCTGTCCAAATATGACTGCTGAACATGTATTCTTCTCCCCTCAAATCTGAACCCTCCTCTGCTCTACTTACCTGTGCCCATCCAGCCTGCTGTGAGCACCCAGCACCTGTCGTGCTTCCTACCGAGCGAGGCAAACGCGCCCTGGACTTTCATTCCATGGCACTCCCTGACTGCTTTCATGTGCAGTCTCCCTCATGGCCTTTAGCATCCATTGTTCAGACATGAAAAGAACTGTGAGGGGTTTTGCCTATAGCTGTAGAGTCATCTGCAGAAAACTGATGTCTTTAAGATATTAACTTCCTAACCAATAGTAAGTCGAGTTTCTATTCACAGAAGTATTCTAATGCATATTTCAGATATTTAGTTATTTCGTGTCATATACAGTTCGAATTTGTTCGCATTTTTGGTTATGAGTATAATTCATTGTAGTAAATTATATATAGTAATACGCTTTCACTAACTATGTACAAATATTAACTTCATGTAATTAACTATAAACTGTTCTCTATTAAGTTATTCGATTGTCTTATATTTTCCTGATATATTACCCTACTTCTGGCAATTAATAATTATTTTGCAAATACTGTTCCAGTATTTATAACATCCCTGTTTTTATTGAGGGGTAATTTTCACAGAGTGAAATGCAGATATTAAATGTACTCTTTGACAAATATATAAACTCATGTAAATCACTCCCTAAGAAAGATACTGAACACTTTCATCATTCAAGGAACAGTTTCTCTGTGTCCCCAGTCAGTCCCTTTCCTCCTGCTCCCACGTGCCTCCCCCACCACACCCACTCCCAGCAACTCTGTTTTGGTCTCTAGCACGAAGATTAGTGTCGTTTGTCCTTGAATTTCTTTCAAACGGTCTATACAGCCCACAGGAACGGTGTGTGCAGCCCCCGGGGATGGTCCATACATGTATACTCTTTTACGTCTGATTTCTTTTGCATTTCTTTTTATTGCTGAATAGCATTTCACTCTAGTAAGATCACCCCTCTTGGCCTATACTGTCTATCCCTTCTCCTGTTGATGAACGTTTGGTAATTATAAGAAAAGCTGCTGAAACATTCATGTTCGTGTCTTTTTGTAAACATACGTTTTCATTTCTCTGGGTCAATGGACTAAGAAGTGGGATCACAGGACCAAAAGCAGGTGTATGTTTCATTTTGAAAGGAACTGTTGCCCAGCTGGCATGGCTCAGTGCATTAGGCGTCGTCCCAGGGACTGAGAGGTCCTGGTTCAATTCCTAGTCAGGCCACATGCCTGGGTTTCAGGCTAGGTCCCCAGTAGGGGGCGTGCAGGAAGCAGCCCATTGATGTTTCTCACACTGATGTTTCATCTCTCTCTTCATTCCTCTCTAAAATAAATAAATAATGAATGAATAAATAAAAACATATTTAAAATAAATAAGTCAATGAAAGGAACTGTTAAAGTTTGCTAAGTGTTTTGACCATTTTATATCCCACAGGCAATGTAGGCAAGTTCTCAGATGCTGTCCAATATATTGTTAAGTCCATCCAGCAAATTCTTTGCTTTCAGACAGTAAATCATTCAGTTCTTGAACTACAATTTGGTTCTTTTTCCAAGTTTCCATTTCTCTCCTAAAATATACATATCTTTCCCTTTAAATTTTGTGTATGTGCATGAGTGTGTGTACATGTGTGTTAAGGTCCTTGTCTACTAATTCAATAATTAAGTCATCTGTGGAGCTGCTTATTCATACTGTATTTCCTGCTTCACTGCATTTATTAAAACTTTTTCACTGTGCCAAGGTCCAAGTGAGTGAAAGATCAGTGGAGACTGAAGTATAAGACTGTTTGGTTTCTTCTCTCAAGAACAGAGACTCTCTCCTCTGCCTGGCGGTTAGACGAGGCACATTACTAACAGGAGGAAGTACGTCAAACAAGAACTCGGAAGGTACGCTAGGAGTCGGTTTAATTCCCTGTATCATGCAAGCTATCCAGCACTGCTACTTCCTACGTAGAGACCTTGGAGAAGTTGCCTAACGTCTACATGCCTCTGTTTCTATACTTGTAAGTGAAAATAATCACTACCTATTTTTAGGTCTGTTGTAAATATTAAATGAATAATGCATTTAGCACAGTGCCCAAAACACTATAAGTGTTCAATAAATGTTAACAAATAGTAGTAGGTGTTCAATAAATGTTAACAATTAGTAGTAAATATTCAATTGATGCTAATTATTATTAGTAGTTTTAGTACCAACAAAACAGAATTAGTCATAACGCTTATTCTAAAATACTAAATCTACTTGGTTATGAGAGTGTGATTAAGTGTAACATGGTGGGTGGTCTCTAGCAATATTCTTTTTAAAAACATGGGTTATAAATTTGAATTTTGATTTTTCCACTCACTATCTGGATGAACTTCAGCAAGTTACTTTACTTCTCTAAGCCTCAGTGTCTTTACCTGGAAAATGAAAAAAATAGCATCTACCTAACTTTTCAGGGCTGTGATGAGGATTAGCAGAAACAACAAGTACAAAGCACAGAGCATTAAGATCAATACACAACAGACATTTACTATTACAAGAGGCATCGAAGAAATGCCCACACCCAGCCATTTTCTCTGACTCTAAAGTATATCATGTTGTATACTTCAGTCCCATTTTCTGTTCTGAAATTATGCAAATGAGTGACTCCCAGCTTACTGGGGGTTGGCAGGGATGGCGGGGAAATGCCTAGAATAAGATGCGATACTGATGCAAAGAGGCCACGTCTGTGAAGGAGGAAGAAAGGCTGAAATACAGAACCAAGCTGACTAGCCTGGCTGGTGTGCCTGCTGGCTGCAGCACTGTTCCATGCGCCAGGAGTGGCGGGTTTGATTCCCGGTCAGGGCATAAGCCCGGGTTGCAGATTCGATCCTGTGGGGGCTTGTGAGGGAGGCAACTGATCAATGTTTCTCTCTCATATCCATGTTCCCCTCTCTCTCTGTCCCCCTTCCTCTCTCTAAAAAAATCAATTAAAGGAAAAAAATAAGCCAAGCAGACTAGAACACGTACCTGCCTCTTCTATCTGTAGGACACTGGACTGAAGCAGCACAGACTTGGGTAATCAAGTTAGAAATGTGAAAGGCAGAGCTAACGTAGAAAAGAGGTGCAGAAGCATGGCTCCTTGTCTATGGCCCCCCCCAGTGCCACCTCCCCCAAGGCAGCTTCCACACTGAGTCAGCGTAAGGACAGACAGAGCCTTCTTTGGAGGAACTGGAGTTTGCCTCTCCCTCTGTCATGCGCTTCATTACTTAACAGCCAACCAGCACAGCGTAACCAAAGTATGTTAGACACCGTATGTTTTCGAGCATAAAGCAATGGACAGCGGGTTAGGATCTAGGAAAGCTCAAGGAAAGTTTCACTGTTACCGTCCGGGAAAGAACTGTGAGGTCGAACCATTAAACACTGTAGCTTTGGCGGGTCAGATGGTTACACAGGAGAAATGTGCCTGGTTCAACACAGCACTCGAGAGTCTTCCACGTTACCCAGCTGTCCTTCAGGAACATTCTAAAGGACAGCTAGAAAAGCCAGAGGACCCCTAAACAAGACATGGCACCAGATGTCCAGCGAAGAGAATGGCTACACTACGGAGACAAAGGCACCCGTATGACTCTTGTTTGTCCTGAATGAAAACGTAATTACTTAAACACAGTCAACCACAATGTACAGGGGCAAACAGTTCCTACTTTGTTGTTGTTTTACTGCTGTCACAGTAAATAAAACCCTTACCGTATGGTGAGTTCCAGTATTTGAGCAAGTCTATCATGAAGCAAATTCGCCTACAAAAGAGAAAAAAAGTTAAAAATGAACTTACTGTTTTCCAAAAACCCATATGTAATAATACAAATGCAATTTAAAAGATAAAACATAACTGGAACTGTTAAGCTGATGGTACAGAATGCTTTAATGTTTCGGTTTTGCCTGTCTCATATAATGTAAAGTTCCTCTTTCATTCCTTTCCTAGTCTCATTGGTAAAAACAAACCAATAGACACACAAAATTAAATATCCACAGCAAAAGCACTGACAACTACTCCAAAAAGAGCATCAGGCGCCACCAGTGAGTAAGGTGTGGTTTGGGACCCTCGTTCCCATCAGCCTGTGCTCAGGGAAAGGATGTGGGCTGCAGCCTCTCTGTGCCGCAGCGTCAGCCCATCTGACACGTCGCGCTGTGTGCTGCTCATCTGCCTGAACATGGACCCTGCCACCCAACACCGGTCGTTTCCCTGAAATCACACTCCACCCTGGCCCTTCAGCATTCAGTCACTCACCTTGGATTCACATTGTGCTGCTATTTCTTCAAAAGGTGCTTTCTGGAACTTCTCTATCACAAGACGCCTCTTTTCCTTTTCCTGTTCTTCCATTCCATTGGTATCTAGGCACATGTTTATAAAGACCCGTTAAAAGCAATACAGAATCTCCTAGAACCTTGCCAATGACCATAAGAGTAAACAACCTCAAAACCAAAAAGAAACATAATTTATAGGATTACTTTAATAAGGAAAAATGCCAAAGATGTAACATGCTTGAAATGTCTTAGTTAAGACTGGAGAGCAACACATATACAATTTTTTTTTTTAATTTAAGGGTTTTTAAACTACACAAGATCCCTTTTCATAGACTACCTCTGTCTCTCTACCAAAAAAGCCAACCTGATCGCTTCCTTCCTGAAGGAAATCCTCTGACCAACCATGAACCTGCAGATGGGCAGTGCACTGAACAGCTCTCAACTGGACACCGAGTGGCATAGTACAGGTGGGCCACCGGGAACCTCACTGGTTCGGCCTTTTCCACGTATTTACCACAATCTGAAAACTGAGCTATTATCTTAAGATGTGTGGTCTGGCCAAAGTCTGTGATACAGTAAAAGGATAAACATCTACCTTCACACAGACGGACTTTTCCAGTTACACAAGCACATCACAGCGCATCTGCCACCACCCTGATCTGGTGGCTAGCATGCGGCTAGCACAGACCTCTGAGAAACAGGAGGAAAACCCCGAGAAAGACTTGGAAAAGTACTGAGTGACGATTAACAGGCATATGTAGTACAACGAGGAGTGTGTTTGTAATGGGGTGAGAGAGAGGAGCTGGCTACATGTCACAGGCATGATGGGGTGTCATGTTAATCCCCACTGTTTTATCAATGAACACACTGAGGCAGGGAAATGAGCAGATTCCCCTGAGACCCCACAGCTAGAAATGCTGGAGCCACATTCACACCCAGGGTGGGCTGACTCTGTATGATACTACTCAGATTTTTTACAATTGTAAAAACCTAAAGAATGCAGCTAAATAAATCAATTATATGTAGATATAGAAAGCAACACTATATATACACACATACATATTTTGCTATGCTGCCTCTATTTATTCTGGCAAATAAACATGTACTTAGATAAAGATAAGCTATCAAAATACTAGAAGAGTTAACAGGTACAAAAAAATCTCACCAATTGCTTTCTTTAATGCTTCAAAGGTGATTTCTTCAGTGTTACTAACCTAGAGAAAAGTGATTTTAAGTAAAATAGTTAAGACAGGTCAATATAAATAATACTTTCACCTGTTTACAAGTCATATAAGAACTTCCACAAATTTCTTCTTCTTTGTGTTGCCTGATTTGTGACTAGACGCCACAAATGTGACAATGGCATACCACAGTGGCTCTCAAACAAGTCGACAGACCAACGTTAGGCTGGCCAAACGTCACAAATGTGACAATGGCGTACCACAGTGGCTCTCAAACAAGTCGAAAGACCAATGTTAGGCTGGCCAAACGTCACAAATGTGACAATGGCATACCACAGTGGCTCTCAAACAAGTCGATAGACCAACGTTAGGCTGGCCAAACGTACACCCTTGAGGCAACCCAACCAGTGCTGAAGGAGAACTGATCTGCAGTGGTGTGATGTGCACGGACTGCGCGGCTTCATAGAGAAACAATGCTTGCAAAGGTGTGAGGCAGAGATTATACAGACTGACACTGGTAACAAATAAAAACTAAGTACTCTGTTGTCTCTATAATTCTGGTACCACATACAGTTTATAAATCAAAATGAAATAATCTAAAACTTTAAATAGCCCCAGCCAGTTTGGCTCAGCGGTTGGAGCGTCGGGCTGCGGTTCAGAGAGACCCGGGTTCGGTTCCCGCTAAGGGCACGTACCTCGGTTGTAGTTTGTCCCCGGCCCTGGTTGGTCGTGTGGGTGGCAGCCACTCGATGTGTCCCTTTCATGTCGATGTTTCTCTCTCTCTCTCCCTCCCACTCTATCTGAACAAAAAATGAAACAATGTCCTCAGGTGAGGATAAAAAGTAAATAAAAAAGTAATAAAACTTTAAATAATTGAAAAGCAAGAAGCACTACTCTGGGAAGTGTTCAATGACTAAAGTTAGTCAACAGCTTAAAATGATCACATTCTGGATCTTCTAAGGTCAACCACTTGGCTAAGTCCTGTTCGCCAGAAACACCCTTTAACCTGGGGTCAGATCTCTCTCCTGCTCTGAGATATGTAAGAGGTATGGAGGCAACTGCTCTGTGACAACGATGTCAGCCCCACTCTGTGGCACCAGCACTTCCGGGAGGAATCACCGATCCAGCTACTACATCACGTCGAATAGAAACTAAGAAAGGGGGCGTAGTACTCGCCTGGGGCTCTGGCCACCCCTAGTCTTAGCTCAGGAGCTCCCTTTGCTAAGTGGAGGCAGGACTAACGGAAGCAAAGGCCCTCGATTTGCGCCGAGCTCCTCTGCAGCACGAAGGCTCCGGCTGGAAACCGAGCAGCAGCAGCGCCACTGCCTCCGTGTTCCCACTCGCGTGCCCATTTCTAGCTGAAGCGAGATTAGACTGGGGGTCTGCAGCTCCAGACATTCGGAGCAGACGTGGAAGATTAGGCTCTAGCTGGTCAATTCTTTGAGCCTAGAAGCAATCTAGCACCTCAATGAACTGTTGTTGTGACAGCTGGTTAACAGTGTCAGCCTTTTGACAAACCATAGCCCAGGAGAAAGAACACTGGGGATTTTTACTTATTACCTGTTCAGTCTGGATAAGTGGAAAGGTAACATACTTTCCCTAATAACTCTTCTTCACTGTTTGTTCTTGTTCTCCTTAATCTGGGTAATTATAATTCGGTCTCTTACTTCTAAACCAAATAATTCTGTCCTTGTCCCTTTTTTTAACCTCCTTTTTCTGAGTTGCGTTCAGTCCCTTATTAGTCCTTCCCACTCTGCCTTCAGAATAGGGTCCTCCTGCCTGCCCCTCTTCCTCCTCTGCAGCCTGGCTGCTCCAGTCCTCATAACCTCGAGTCCAGGCTACGACAAGGACCTCCATCTGCCCTCTCCACCTCCAGTCACTCACATTCACTCTGCTGTCATGAAGCAGAGTTCTGAAATGACATTACCCAAAGTTCAATGTTTCCCTCCTTCCTACCCAATTACATACAAAGCCCTAAGGCTGGTGATAAAAACCTTCTATAATCTGTCTTCAATCTTGTTGCCCAAGATTCCCTTTTGTGAATCCTATTTAAAAAGAAAAAAAGCAAAACAACTGCTTTATAATACTGTTTGATGATTCATATTTTTCATACAATGTAGCTGCTCAATTCAAGCCACCTACTTCATTTGGTGCTCAACTACACTAGCCCCTGCTCCAACTCTAACTGGTGTGTTGGCGTTACGGGAAAGGGGCAAAGGCACCCTACCAGAGGAGTTTCAACATTCCTTTTGTTTTATGACTTGGGCCTTTTTGTGGTCCCTAACTCTGACCTGGACTACACAACACCCTTGGGCCTGCATAAAGTCTGCTCTTCATTGTTTTCAAATCAGACTAGCTCCTACGTCACCTCTACTGACCCGAGTAACTGCACAGCAGGTCCCCCGGCGACACTGACTTGACGTTAGAATTAGTGTTTTGTTAGCATACATGCAGGTATCTTCAGTAATATTGGGGGGGAAAGGCAAGAGTATGTTATACATAAAATAAATCTGTTATTTGTCCTAAATTAAACAATTCTTTTCAGCCAACCATTGCTTAATTTTATACAAAGAAAAACTGAATAGACATAACCTCCCATCAATTCCCCCAAATAATTACACACAGACTATCACACCTTTCAGAGAAAAGACGGAGAGGGGACAGTCGCAGTCACGCCCACACGCACAGCATGCTGCACAGCGCTCAGAGAGCACTAGAGCTCCAAGGCCCTGCCACAGCGACGGACTCTACTCCTCAGCTGACACTTCATCTCAGGGGCAGAGACGTCACTATTACATTTGAGCCATCTATCCTCTTCAATTAATTAAATGTATATAAAGATTTTTAGAAAAAGTTCATGTATATGTATATGTATATGTATGTATATATATGGCAATTATTAGAAAAAATTCACTAAGTGATTCACTGTAAGCTAAGGTTTGAATTGCAAACTTGGAACTGACAGACCTCAAATGGACCAGGTATTTCAACAGACTATAGTAACGACTAGAGTTGTATCTAGAGAAAACACAAGTTTGCTATGATCTAAACAATCTTCTGACCCGTTTTTAGGTTATAAACCCTAAAAGTAGGTATCAGATATATATGAAGACTAATTGGTATTATATATGTAAAATTTAAACTAACTTTGATCATATATGTTTTTTTAAATAAACTATTTTCTTACCCAATCCACTGTTATATACTTATTCATAGTTTGATATTTTGTTACACCATTACCTGGTGAATACCTAACTGATGAAAATTTCTTTTGTCCACACCATGAAATTAATTGGTTCTAGCCAAGAAGGTAATTTATTTTGTCTTCTGGTATTTGAACAGTCATTCCTAATATGCAAAATCAAATTCCATAATGGTTGATGTGTTTGAAACTCCAAAGTGCTCAAGGAAATTTATATAGTAAACTGTTTAACTTCTCAAATACCCGGTGTGAGGCATATCTGACTTCGCATTTACAGCGAAGAGGAAAGGTCTCTGACAAGTTCACAAATGTGTTCACAGAATTTTCATGTAAAGTTCACAGTCAAGGATCTTCCTGCTACAGGAAGTCTTTATGCAAATGTCTGTTCAGTTCATTTTCCTCAAAAAGGACTGTCTGCAACAGTTTGAAGTGCTTTATGTGTCTTTAAAAGAAACAAAAATGATTAAAAGGAAAGTGGTCAATACCAATCAATAAAACACACTGCACTCTTGACAAAATAAAGTGTATAAACTAAGGCTTTAGATGAATATCCTCCCTCAAAACGTAATAGCACCAAGTTCAAAATCATTAAAAGGCAGAGCTAACAAGACACCCTCACTAGTAAGGAGTATAGAAGTTAAAATGGCTTAGAAGAGGTGAATTTGGAGAAGATGATTTTTCTGGGACCCTAGATTGGGAAGCAACTTTCAACCAATCTCAATGCCCCAAGTTCCAAAATGAACATGAACTGCTGCTTGGTGCTCTGCTGATAATTTCTTACCAAAATGGATTAGTTCTACACAACGGGGAGTTGAACACCACAGAAGATGTAAGTTAGTTGACTGCACCCTGGCCACCAAATCCTTTTAATTCCTGAAGACAAATCAGTTTGCGGGATTGCGAAGAGGGAGGAGAGAGGAGGCTGAGAAAGCATGAATTCAGACAACTTCCTTCCTCTTTTCTTAGATGGATATTCTTTTAATTATTTATACTGTACCAAATGAGAAACAATGAAATATCTAGGAAAGCAAACAATGGATAAAGCACAAGGAGGAGCTGACTTGACATGCTGGTATTGCGGCATTTTTACTTGACTATCAAAAATTCTCTGGTGACTGTGTGGAATAAGTCCAGAGAGTGCTGGCTGCTTTTTCTTCCTACAACTCGGGAGGGTACACTCTTGTGCTCTATTGAAACAGGAGGAGAGCATTAAATCTCTGAGGTTTCAAGTAAGCCACAGTCCTTAAAGAGTACACAGGTCATTGAGACAGCTTCACCGACATTACATTCATATACTCACATCTAAAGTGATAAAAACTGCCCACAGGTGGAGGTTTGAGACTTTTCTAACAGTCATGAGCGTCTGCCTTCATGTGAAGTGTCTAATTCCATTTATTCTTGTAATTTATGTCTCATAGAGCTTTAAAAATAGGATCTAGCGCTGGCCGGTTTGGCTCAGTGGTTGGAGCGTCGGCCTGCAGACCAGAGAGTCCTGGTTTCGGTTCCTGCTAGGAGTACGTACCAAAAACAAACAAAACAAAAAGCAAAAAAAATAGGATCTAGAGGCCTCCTAATTTAATACCAGGCCTTATGTGACATTTTTTGTATTGTTTTATTTACTTTATTACGGAGGTCTTTTCTATCCCCCGTTACCCTCCCCCCGCTCCCACTTCACGGCATTGCTGTCTGCGTCCACTGGTTTCACATACATGCATATCTTTGGTTTATCTCTTCCCAACCTCCACCCCCCTTCCCTCTGAGGTTTGTCAGTCTGTTCCCTACTTCGAAGTCTCTGGATCTATATTGTTCATCACCTTATTTTGTTCATTATGTTCCACAAATAAGTGAGATTATATGATACTTGTCTTTCTCTGACTGGCTTATTTCACTTAGCATAATACTCTCCATGTCGTCTCAAAGGGTAAGAGATCTCTCTTTCTTAAATATTTCTTACTTATAAAATAATCTTACTTGGTTCTGTTTTATAGTTTTCATTACACTAAATTACAACGTGAAATCTAATGACATACACACGTTATATTTATGTATCTTTATAAATAGCCGAAATGAATTTCTACTAACAATAGATGTTGTGATTGGGGGTAATTCAGAACTGCATCTGCTCCTATCTGAGAGCATGGGGCAAACATTCTCTTTAACTTGCTGTCTCTCTCACAACAGTGCCCCAAACTTGTAGCAACTTACCATGTCGTCCGAAGGAATGCTATTGGATAAAATATCCACCTGAATGGAGACAGTGTCCACAATACTTTTCCTTCTAGAAAGTCGATCTTCATCTAAAATAAAAAATGTTCCGTTATATGCCAGTTAGAAATGGTATGTCATTTATAAACTATAAAACTCAGGTTTTTAAAAACTTCAGAAAATTAAGACGGTCTGTCTTTTTCTTCTCTTCCTAAATGCACAGAGCACTGTCCTTAGACCCAGACTTGGTGGCACATCCTGTGGTGGCCCAGCTCTGCTCCCTGTCTCCAAGCCACTGTGTGCCCACCGTGGTTTTATTCCACTGATGAGCGGTCAGGAAACCAGCTTGTCTCTCACTGACTGCACCTCTCCTCCAAGGCAGCCCTCCATGGTAGTAATTAATGCTATTAATCAAAGTTGGTAGTTTACCCCTTTTCTGGGCACACGATAGGACTGCAATTCCTGGCCTGTGGTTAGGAGGGTCATGTGACTAGTTCTGGCCAGTAGAGTACGAGTGTGGCTGCCCCATCAGCTTGGACTCCAGATGTGGATGGTATGAAGACAGACAGTGAGTCTGAGCACCAAATAAACCCTTCCTGCTCTAAACCACTCAGAATGCGACTGTCCGTATCACAGCCCAGCCTCGGCGGCTTTCTCATCCTGGCATGAGGCCAGGGAGCCGCTGCTGCAGGATGTCCACAGCATCCCTACCTTCCATCCAGCAGGCCTAGCCTAGTGTGATAACGAAACACGTCTCCAGGATTGGTAAGTGTCCCCTGGGATGGGCAGATCACCCTCGGTGACAGACACCAGCCCAGTCCACCCCAACTGATGACAGACCGTCTACAGTTGTCCCTATGTGCCACCAGTATGTCCCGAGCTGCTCGAAGCGCTGGCCGCATCACTCCCCCAGGCCATTCTACCCCCGACGAATGAGAAAGGCGTCTGGCTCTCCCGTCAGATCTTACAACGGTAACCTCACCTGCTCCTGTCTGAGCTAGTGTTCGAGTCCAGTGTGCCTTTTCTGAGACCTCTGAGCTGCTTTACATGCCTCTGCCGACACCTTCCTAGACACAAACCCCTCCTGGAAACTCATTACCTGCTGTTCTTTTCGTCCTCCCCACTGTAAAGACTGTATCTTTCAAGCCTAACTGAATATATCACCTCCTTAAAAATCTTAACTATCATTCCAGTTATTTCTACGTATCCCTCTTTCTTCTATCTAAAAAAGTTTGCTATCAGCTATGACTGATCTTCCCTGCAGTCATCATCACCCTCCCATCGTCTACTGGGCTCCCCCACAGGAGCTCAGTGAGTGTGTACCCTGCATCTCACAGGGGCCCCTCCGCTCCTGCTGTGAGGCTCAGCGCACACACTCAGGGAACAAGCCAGTACTGCACAGCATCCTGCTCTAGTGCCCAGGTTACTGTCTGGTGCATGTGGCTACTACTGAGCTCAGCAAAGACTCTGCATTCTTTCTGTTTTTTCCTCCATGATCATATGCTTTGACATAAATTAGCAAACATAATGACATTAATGGAACTGCTACAAAATACTATGTGGCCGTCACTGCTGACTTGCTTGTGCCCTCCAAGTAAGCCAACTTCCAAGGTCTCACCAGAACTCAAAATAAGTAATAAAGAGCCTGCTTCACAAAGAACACAATAAAAGAATGCCTAGCTTAATATAAAAAGACTGATGGGTTGCAGAAAAGAGTCAAATTGAAGCCTAAGAGAAAGAGGAAAAGAGAGGTACAGGCAGTAAAGGGGTCACTGGTGGCAAACATCAGTGAGAACAGAAGGGAAGTACAGAGGAGAGAGAGAAAAGGACTCAAAATTTAAAAGGGAAGAAAATAAACTTCAATGGGAAACCCTAACACTGTATTCTCAGACATTTTTCTTTTGACCTATATAATCACCTCTTACAGGTGACTCAGAAAGCCCAGGTGCAGCTGTAATGGGCACCTTGCACATCGACACAAACATAAGGTTTCTAGAACAGAGCTTACAGGAGATAATGCCGTTCCCAGGGGTCAGCTCCATCTGTGCTGAGCTGCTCTGCCAAGCCTACTGGAACACAGTGTCCCTGCACCTCTGGGGACTGCCTGACCTGCTGGCTCCAGATGACACCCTGTCGCCATCTCAGGGTCTGAGTACATACCCGTTGGGAGACCCTAGCTTCCCTTCCCCACGTGGGGCTAGGGTAGTCCCAGACACTACTTACTGTGTCCTTTCCGTTTTCTATCCCCTCTCCCTCCTCCTCTGTGTATGCTGTTTACAGTGCAATCCTCAGTTCTTCTGACTTGAACTGGATCCTGGATTTCAGAAGCAATACTTAGCTAGAGCTGTGCCTCACTTCCCCCAGTGATACTCTGCTGCCACCTGGTGGGCCTGTATGCAACTGCATTCAGATGGAGAGGGAATAGAGGAAACAGCCTGACTGCCTAAGGGTGGCACAGAACTACATGTAATTACTCAATGTAACTTTCTATAGCTATTTAAAAATAAGATAGAGAAACTGACTTAACTGTATATAATAAACCATAAATGTGATTAGGGCTACAATACCACTCAAATTTGATTAAAAAACTAACGGCAAAATGGAATTTCACAAATCACTTAAATCTACACAAAATTCAAAATGTCACAGTTTAATGCTGATACTACACACACAGGTATACTTTTTTGGTCCTATAGAAAAACACAAAATTCAATCTAGAATTAGTGCATCTTTATAGACTAAAAACAAACTAAACATCATGGAATAAAAATAACCAAATTATTTAATTTCAGCCTCTCTATCCTCATGTGCAAACAAAGAACAATGCTACCTTCCTCAGTGCACTGTTTGAAAGGTGAAATGAGCACGTGAGTGTGGCACATCCCGGTGCCTGATGAACAGGGCTGCTATCGGGATGACGGTGCGTCCACCTACCTCCATCTCTGTGTCTACATACAGCCTGACACACAACCAACTATACACGTTTTGCTTTTTCTTTCAGCATAATGTTCTTAAATCCCTTAATTTTCAAAATGAGTATCTGACAGTTATACAAAGAAAACCGTTTGCCCAGCGATCGTCCCCCGAGCATCACCGCACCCCCGCCTTTCTGCACCGGGGCAGCACACACACCAGCCTGTCTACACCACCTGTCCTCACACATCCGGAACCCACTCTGACTGAGGGCCTGCCCTCAGTTATATCAAGCACTGAACTATCCAGAACTCTCCCAGTCAGCGGTGAAGAGGCATTAAGAAAGGAAATACATCTTTTTCAGGGGTGGGAGGAAATGGAAAAGAGCAAACCACCTGTTTGTTTTTTAACAAAAGCAACAGAATGTTTACTAAAAATTGTTAAGAGTTAAAGGATCAGGGTCAAAGGAAATAAGCAGTGAAAATTAACTACAGCTATGGGGAAGGCAGAGCAAAATAATAACTGAACTTGTAAGTGTATAAAATAGACAGCACTGGCTCGCTCTCTAAAAGGCACGTTTGAGTAAGCCATTTCCTAGAGGACGGGGAGGGAAGGGCAGGCCAGACTGACTCTGATTTACCTTTGTGCTTGTGCCTGGGCTTACAAGGTTTTTTGCCTGAAGGAAAGAGAGCTAAATCCACATTATAAGAATGAAATATTTTAAAAGTCTTTTAAATTATAATACTCTACTGTTTTATTCTTAACATTTTTATTTCCCTAAAGAATTCATGCAGAACAAAATCTTTGATAGTATGAATTTAAAATAAAATGCAAAAGAATTCATTAAATCTCAGACTATTATAAATAAGTATCATTGTAATAAATGTATATATTTTGGATCCACATTATGAAAAAAGATAAGCTATTTAAAAATAAGACAGAGAAACTGACTTAACTGTATATAATAAACCATGTGCTGCTTTTAGTGATTATTCCATAAAAGCACCCAACTGAAGTCAAACAGTTCTCTAATACAACAGAAGTAGCCCCAAAGGAAAAACTAGTTCTATCGAATTTAATAATTACACAATGGCCAAGTGAAAATGAAGGTGGAAGACAGAAAATGTTGATTTTAGTACCTAAAAATGAATGCAAAACACCATGTAGTTTCGCCTTGAAACACAACAGAATTACTGCAGTCAATGAAAAGAACAGAAGGAAAGACATGGTGCATACAGGAAAAACTATTATGAACTTAAAAAGTTTGAATATTTCTCTATATGGCAACTGTAGTCTTTCAAGTGACAAAAGTTGCCTAATCCATTAAGTCTATAAACACAAATAAGTAATTGAACAATTTTCACCAGTTTCCGTAAGTTGAACACAGTGTTGGTTAATGAGGAAAGCTCCCCCTTTCCTTCTGTGTTTACAGTATAGTATCATTAGTGTAACAATAAGAGTCACTTGAGGACTCAATTTGGTCATGATAAAATGATACACAGGGATGGGCAAAAGTAGGTTAGTAACAATAAATACAATGATTAATAAATAATGATATAAGAATAAACTGTTTAGCATACTTGCAACTGTAAGCCTTACTTTTGCTCACCTCTGTATATACTTTAGAGATTTACTAACAGTTTTCAAAAGGAAAATTTAAAAATACAAGAAGACCCCCTCAAGTATTTGAAAAGGCCCTGGTACAGTAGCGTAAAAACAGTCTTCCCAGCTAACTGAGCATGGAAAGGTTACTGAAACACATCACTAGAATGAGAACTCTGACCCTCTTACCTGTCACCTGTGGTACATATGGCGCTGACAGTCTCTCAACACTGTAGCCGCTTCCACCTAAGGACTCTGCAATCTTGTTGGTCAAAAAGTACAGATTTTTGTCATGCTTCTCCAAAGATTTTGGAAGCCTGTTAGGTTGATCGAACAAAAGTCATTCTGTGTTATTTAAATTACCGAGCAAAAATAGTTAACATGCAAGCATTCTAGGTCTAAGTCTAAATATTAGAAATACACTGTAATAAGTAATACACATAGTATATTTCAGAGGACTAACTCGAGTTCTTTGAAAGCACAAGGTATGCGGTCCTCATATTAACCATTTACTATGAGTCTTTCCCCAACAGCGTTCTAATGGTGAGGTCAGCCTTACATTGTTCTGTTGGTATTCACACATTAAATGACGAGAGGGCTAAATTCAGCTTTAACTTTCATGCTAATAAAAATCTACTGAGAGAAGAAAATAAAAATGCAGTTTCTGACAGTTTGTGAAAACTCATCAGCCAGCTAAGTGACAAGAAGCACCTGCCCAGTCACGTGAAGTTTCACTTTCCTTTCAAATTGCTTGATTTTATTTTATGCCGATGCTTTCGGCAGTAAACAGCTTCTAGAGCCCCAACGTGTAAAGAATACATTGTTCTTTTTTTTTTTCTCTCTGTTTGGATAGCACGAAAGAATGCAGGGTATAAATTATTAATTTTCCTTAATACATTCCTTCCCTCACAATTTTATGAGTACTATTATCTGTTACTGAAAGTCTTGAACAGGATATTATATTCTCCTAAAGGAGTGTTCATTTATATGAGAATATGCTATATTTAAGAGCCATATCTCCATATTAAAAAGATAAACATTTTTTATCAAAGACTGATCTATGTGTGTACAAGCCTATATTAATCATGTGTAAGAAGTTCTATAGCAAGAGAAAGAAGAGAGATGAATTCAATGACAGGAATATAACAATGATTATTATAAACACCAGGTCTTCTCTAGTCAGTGCCCCTCCTTAAACGTAAAGGATGGACGTACATGCACTTATCTCTGAAAATATGCTCTGGCAGAAAATAAGGGGCTTCCATAGTCCGAATTTCAATAACCTGAAAAATATCCAGAAACAAAACAAAACAAAACAATCAAAAACCTCACTTTTCAGGTCCTTGCTATGAAAATCTGGGAAAAAAACAAAACAAAAACAGAAACAAATACTAAACTGTTATAAGAAATTCCATCACTTTATTTGGGAATTGAAACTATATTTACAGCCCCAAAACAGTTCATTTTATTTTTATATTGATTATTTTCAAAATTCATCAGGTAATAAAATCATGACAATAAAGTAATATATGCAATAAAAACCAGTAATACATCTAATTAAGGGACAAGAATGAGTATTTTCTCAGATGCTACTGTTCTGAAAATCCCTGCACAAAGCACAGGCCCTCGCATGCCCCCCGAGCTCCTGCAGCCCACGGTGAGGCCTCAGTGCCCGGTGAGGTCTGGTTCCTCCACTCACCTGTGAGCAACCTGAGTGGGCGGCTACTCTGCTTTCACAACATCTGTCTCTAGTGTCAGGCACCAAATATTCACTCAAATGTGTTCAGTGAATGAATGAGTTTTATTTCTTAGTATGCACTAAAATCTCACATTTTAGCAAGGCCTGAGAGATGTGCTCCCAATTCTATAGATGAGTTTCCCTTAAAATGTTATTAAATCATGCAAGTAATTATTTAATGAGTTACTGCTGAAAAAGCCTAATATAGTTGAATGACACAGAACAAATCTCTCAGAGGCTCATTCATTATTCAACTTTTGAGATCTGGCTCAAGTAGATTGGTTTAAAACAATAGTATAATAAAGAAAATTTAGATACTAAGAGTCATAACTGTTTAAAAGGAAAAAATTATGTAAGAAATCACACAAAGTATTCTAGAAGAACGCCAAGTATTCTATTCAAACTACATAAAGTAATTCTAACCAAACAACAGGCATCAGAGAAAATATAAGTATTAGCTGCAGTATCAATTTAGTGACTGCAGGCTTTTACAATATCATCTTGATACACAAAAATCAAAATTGAAAGTAATCATCACTGAGAGAGTATTAGCCATTTTTTGTAGAAAAATTTAAGTGGAGGAACTTCTGTAAACACCCTACCTTGGTGACATGCTGGCAGAACGCAGGGACAGCTATCATCTGGCTGACGAAGTTGAGGTAGGCAGCCACCAGCGCCATGATCCCACAGCGATGGAACATCGGCAGACTGTCCTCATTGATGATAGCGCTGTCCTGCAAGACACAGCACGACTCAGGCTAGGCTCCAGCCGTGCCTCCTCTACGACCTCACGGAAAAACCGCAGGCGGTTCGGAATGCTAACAAATGGCCCCTAGGAGTTATTTTTTTAAACTCTGAAAGGAGAATACATGCCCATTGATAGGAGAGTAAAATCTCTCAACTTAACTGTCCTTTCCTAAGAAAAGAATGTAGATATATATTAAATATATAAGTATATCTCTCTGATATACATATATAGTATATACACATTCTCATTACATACTGTCTTTTTATAACATAACACTTAAACCCCAACCAAACAACTATATTATTTAATGAGTATCTTCCCCAATGAACTCCCAGTATGAGCTCAGGGACCATGTTTTCTTTTCATCACAGCATTTTCCTAGGGCCTAGAACAACATTTAGCACATAGTCAAATGCTCATTCAACATTAAAAAAATAAATGACCATGGTCATTCACTATCTTGAGTATTTTAGATTTAAAACCAGACACCTCCCTTTTAAAATTCATGTCCTTGGATAAAGGCAAGAACACGTTAAAGATGAAGTCTATTTCATACAAAAATGTTTTCTTCAATGAAAGGTTATAAAAGCATACCTGTAAAGCAATGGCTAAGCGAATGAGATCAATAACCACTTCTTCATTGGCCAATTCGATAGTCATAAGAGCAAGAGAAGTATAAAGTAACTCATAGTTTTTCTGAACATTGTCTTCCTCTTTACAACCCAAATATATGTGCCGATATAGCTGCTGCCCGTTCTGAAAAGGGTAATGACAGAGGAAAAGATAAGTTTGCTTAAATGTGGTAAAGGCAGATTTCACAGGCATATGACCCCCTACAAAGTAGCTACCTTATTACATACTTACCCTGGAAGAGAAATTTAGCCTGATAATTAGATGGTATTCCCATCATTAACATCAACCAATATGCCAGCATACTACTACAAGCTAACATTAAAGAACAGGCCTTAAATAAAAACAGCAAGTAAGAAATGGTTCTAGTATCAACACTGAGAATGTTTTTAGTAGTAATTTGAAGAGACAGAAGCAAATTGTAGACTGACATGAGAAAACATTGAGATGGATGGCGTAGGGAGCCCAGGCACGATGGAGGAAGCCGGGCTGAGGGGAGACGTGCTGAGACTGTCTCAGAGAACAGGCTCCGCGACACTGGCATGAGGTCCCCAAAGGCAAGTCTAAAGCCAGCATATGGGGGGAGGTCACAGAAACTTCCCAGGGATTGCGGACAGGTTTCCTCCTAAACCAAACCAACCTAAGTATATTAATAAAGTACGGTCATACGTCAATATAAAACTACCTAGCTATTCAAATGGCTTTAACTTACATCATGCATTATTTTTTAGAAGACAATCTTACCTTTTTCATGAAACTTGCATCTTGTCTACAAATTTTTTCTCTTTTGATCTTTAGGTCAGCTACATCAGGTATTATTCTAGAGATAATCAATGTATCATTTTTAATGAACAGCAAATTTAGTTATAATATCATGTCTTATGTGGCAAATCAAACTATATAACATTTCAATGAGCATGTTAAGTAAACCTATATGTAATGATACTACTGAATTAGCTAGTTTAATTAAGAATTTCATAAAGTGATCTTGACTCCTAATGTCATTTCTAAGTTTAAAGCAAAACCAAGATAAAATTCATGTAACTAGTGACCACTAATAATTGAGATCTCTGAAAAGATGTCCAGATATTTGCTATCTTAAACTATATTAATAATTAAACAGTTTCAATGCCAATTAAATAAAACTTTAGAATAAAACCTGAAAATCTTAGATTAAAAAAACCACAACACTTAAATACATGAATGTAGAAATTGAAAAATATCATCATTAAGCCTATTTCAAGATGGCGCTTTACCTGATCCCTCGAAGCTTTGCCCTGTTGTCATGGCGATCCATGAGATTATGCATCACCTCCAAGACTAACTGTCTCAGTTCATAGTCTTCCATGAGGGACGGTGACAACAGAGGGTCCAGAAAAGACCCAGGCAGTGCGGTAACAATCGTCTTGGCTTTGTATCCAGAGGTGACCTGATTATAGGGAGGAAGATCAAAGAAACAAACAAAAAACCTTTGTTATGAGTCCTTTTTTGGTAAAATCCTCAAACTGTTTTATGAGAGCCATAAGCTAAGGGGAACAAGTATGGACATCAGCCTGCAGAAAAAACAAAAAAGAATTTTGTAAGGTAATAAGAATTTTACTGAATTTACAAAAAAATCATGTGTAAAGAGAGTCAATTCCTTAACAGCTCTCACGTCCCATGTGCCAGGCACGGACCTAAGCACTATTGGGCATCACCTGCACGCTCACCACATCCTGTGAGTTGGGCATGTGTGCACCCCCCACTTTATACAAGAAAACTAGGGCCGGAGAGGTTATGAATACATGGGATAAGTAGTCAGTACTAAATGGATATAAGGACACTAGGTTGTAAATGGCACAAGTGAGCTGAAAATGTTTAATTTGAATTTGCAAATTATTTTCTTATTTTATTTATCCTCACCTGAGGACATTTCTGCATTTATCCTCAGACAGAGTGGGAAGGAGAGAGGGAGAAAGAGAGAGAGAAACATCGATGCGAGAGAGAGACACACTGACTGGTTGTCACCCACACAGTTGGGGTCGGGGACAAACTGCAACCGAGGTACGCGCCCCTAGCGGGAACCGAACCTGGGACTCTCCAGTCTGCAGGCCGACTCTCTAAACGCTGAGCCAAACTGGCCAGGACTGTTTTCTTATTTTAAATTAAGCAGTTCAGGTAAATAAGAATACACTTTCAGTTTGGAAAGCTGTACTTTATTAGGTACTTGCTTTGACATTTCCGAGTGAATCCCTATATTCTAAATGTAAAGCTTTTAAAGTGCATATACTTAAATACTGTTAAACATTTTAACCATACCACACAGACCTTCATTCAGTTGACTATGTGGTACACGTAGGGTTAGGTCAAGATGATTTACTTAGGCGATCTGACTAGATAAAATTTCAGGTGGTAATTTCAATTTATATTTATATTTGCAAACATATTTGGAACATCTAATGTTTATATTTGGGCACATATTATAGGATGAAGGTGGTCTTATAAGCAAGCAAAGATATTGGTGGGGCAATTGCTACCCACCTAAAAATTAAAAATATATTCATGTCTCATACCACATACAAAAATAATCTTCAGTCCTGGCCGGTTTTGCTCAGTGGTTAGAGCGTTGGCCCAAGGACCAGAGAGACCTGGGTTCCGTTCCTGCTAAGGGCACATGCCTTGGTTGCAGTTTGTCCCCGGCCCCGGTTGGGGTTGTGTGGGTGGCGGCAACCAGTCGATGTCTCTCTCTCACGTCGACATTTCTCTCTCTCTCTCTTCCTCCCTCTCTCCCTCTCGCTCTATCTGAAGATAAACACAAAAACGTCCTTGGGTGAGGATAAAAACAAACAAAACAAAAATAATCTTCAGATCAAAGTTGTAGCTGTAGAAACCCAAATCTTAAAAACTTTTGTAAGAAAAAATAAACCAATTTGCTTATATCATCAGAAGAGGCAAGGAGTTCTTAAACAAGATACAAATAAAAAAGGACAAAACCCATAGGAATGAATAAATCTGGCTATATTAGAATTGAAATTTTCTTTATGACAAGCACCATAAACAGGATTAAACATGAAATCACATAAGATATTTCTGTACTTCTTCTCCCTTGGTATGAAGTATTTCCATTAAAAAATGGGATCATGTGCAATAAAGAGGTTCAGAATAAACTGTCAAAGTACTTACATAGACAGGACACATTCTAAACACTAAGCTACTCCTTTCTTTGGCAATATGCTAGGTGTAGCTGAATCAAAGATGAAAATAATTACTATAAACACACACATTTAAGGTATGTTTTTCCTTTTGAGCTATTTATACCTAAGTTATTTTCTAAACGAGAAGCTATTATTTGGTCAGTATGTGAAAGAATAGCTTGATATGTAGACAAAACACTGGATTTCAAGTCCAAGTTCTATTCTTTAGCTCCGTGACCTTGGTGAACCTCCTCCACTCCTCCCATGAAAGTCTCTGAGCCCAGCCACCTTCATCTATAAAACGGCAAGACTTTCTGGCCTCTGTAAGTTTCATTATTATGAATGTCAAATAAAATGACAGAAGTAATGAATAAACAGTGAAAGTATAATAAAAGAAAATGAAAGTATAATATTGAATTATATAAACCACAGAAAAAACGACCATAAACAGAACCTGACTACATAAGGAAAGAGGCTCAAGTGCGAGGCTGTCCTCTCCACCTCAGTGACTCAAGGGTGAGCGCGTTCTTCACCTGCCTTAAATGTCTTACCATAAGTAAAGATCTCAGCAACATTATCTGAATCCGCCTGGTTCCCAAATCCCTAAAATATATAACATACTAGCATTATCTCATTAATAGTAATTAACATTTATATTACTTCATTTGCTTGTTATTTGTTTTTAAAACTCTATTCATATTGGCTAAAGAGATTTTATCTTAATAATAGCTAAGTCATGGTTCACTTTATACTCTAAATTTAATATGAATTAAAGAGTAATATGTAAAAAAATCAAATTCAAACAAAAATATTAAAAGTTATTGGTTCTCAAGTAAAACAGACCTATGCATGTAATCACATGAAAATTAAATCATACAGATACATAACAAAACACAAATAAATTAAAAGATACTATAAGTTGAGGAATATATTTACTTTAAGTATAATAGACTAATATATCTATTTAAGAGGTATAAACAAATGGAAAAAGGGTTATCTAATTAATGGTCAAAGAAATACAAATCAAATCAGACTATTACTTCCTTACTAAAGTAACACAAAACACAAAAATATTTCCCAACTAAAGCTTTAACATGTTATAAAATCAAATCTATAAAATGAGAGGACCAAAACATACGATCTTTAAAATAATTTCAGTTCTAGAATTCTAGGAATAAGTCAACATTCCTGCTACAGTGACATTATTAAATTTTCACAGGAAACTTGAAGCTTTACCCTAAATACTTATGTATATAAATAATACCCAGGCTAAATATACCTTCCACCTGGTCAACAGAAGACACAGAAAATTAGAGGATGTATGATATATTGAAAAATGATTCAAAGCACACAATGTTGACTCAATTGCTTAGCAACTTGGTACCATCAAAATTCTACTTTCCACTAGACTTTTATCACTAGCAATTAAAGAAACAATACAACATTTTCTAGATTTCTTTAAAATGAAATTCAATTAAGTTGAAATTTATAGTTGGAAACTACATATGCATACCCTAGTTGACTGACATCCAAAGTATGGGTGGATGTTCCAAAAACTGGTACTTTCCCCATAATGAACATCATGATTTCTGACCTCTGATAATCTGGTAGGTTACTTCCAAAAAACCCTATAAAAATATCAAGATAAATTTTACAAATTAAAAAGTTTATTTTTCTATATAATAAAAATTGTAATATTTTAACCAAATCTTTCAATATGAGGTAAAACAATGTCTTTAAACTCTAATGATGTCATAACTTAATCTAATCATATACAATTTAAGATTTAAATAATAAACTAAGTCTTTTGCATATAGTTAACAGTGGCAAACCATCATCAATTTGAGTTGCAGTTTTAGAAAAAGGAAAAAAAAAAATTTGGTAGTATTTCTGATGAAGCTCTTGTTTATATACTGTGAGCCTACATTCTTATTTGGGTAAGGAAGTCAGGAATTAGGACACACTTCAGTAAAGGCAATAATTAGGTCTCTGCTTTGTTTCCCTGGATTGTTAAATGTTTTAGAACATCATTATAATGGGTCAAGATTACAGTATAACTCTGTGAGTTAATTCAGCATACATCATTCAGCTGGTGTTAAAAAAACAGTAACTTATACTTGTCATTTTTCTAATGCACTCTTGAGTTTTGTGGATATTTTAAATTTACCTGCTATAGATTTTGAAGGTTTACTTCCTGGTCATAAAAGATTTACATTTAATTCACACTTACTCAAACTTCACACTTTGTTGTTTCTTTGACGATCAGAACAATAATATATCATGACTGTTTCTGTTCATCTCTTAAAATTTAACGATCACTACAGAAACCTTCTGACTTGTAATATTTCTCTAAGAATAAATTAGCTCTTCAGCTTCTATTATTGGAGCTAATAATAACCTACGTATACAAACTCAAATTGTTCTACTTGTGATTTTGATTGGGCATGAGGTTAAAAATCATTTCCTGTTATCACATATTTCAACAATAAAAAAAACCTCATGATGTTAATATTACTCAATCTGCATAAAATATATTATTCTAGCTAACATTTAAGGAGCACGTATTTCTGAGGAAATAAACTACTTTGCATTTGGACCTCACAACAACCTTGTGAGATTACGTACTACATTAGCCTCAGTTTCTTCTTGTGGATGTGAGGACGAAGGGTTAAGAATTCAGACAGGACACTACAGAGTTAACATTAAGGCCTGAGATGAGGGCTCCTACTCATTTCCAAAGCCTGTGCTACTGATACTCTCTACTTCCTCTTTATCAGCTACTTTTAGCTTTTCAAGAACCCAATGTGAAAAGTTTCTAATCACCGTACAGAACTGGACACTGATTTTCTGCTCCAAAGGAGTCTGTCCTTACTACCAGGACATAAAGTCTCCAACAGGACCCACTGTGAGGACAGTTCTGAAAGTAATGCATTCTTTAGACCAGCTGTTTGTACTAGAACTGCTCAATAAAAATGCTAATGACCCCCAAAACACACAGCAGGGAGCTATGGTCCTGGTTATTTTATTTTTTAATTTTTTTTCTTTATTAATTTGAGAGAGAGAGGAAGTGAGAGGAGAGATAGAAACATCGATGAGAGAGAACATCGATTGACCGCCCCCTGCAGGCCCTCCACTGGGGAATCAAACCAATGACCTCTTGGTGCATGTGTCGACGCTAAACCACTGAGCCACACCAGCCGGGCGGTTCTGGTTATTTTAAAAGAAAGAACTTGGCCAGCAGCTTCCCAACTTCAAGTGCGGAAGCTGCAGCAGCCCTGCTGCCTGGCCCACCCAGCAACATCCACCTGGCTGGTGACTTCAGGACAGAGAGCTTCGACACGGCAACACTGCGGAAATCAGAGTGGCTTAAACAAAACTTCTACCCTCTGGGCTACACTGCATTTCTTTTCTGTCCTGTCTTAATTTTCACATTATTTCTGAATGTGTTGTGTCACAGAAATATTGCTTGAATCTGCTTAATATACATTTCATAATAAAACACTTGAGAAACAATAAATTAAATATTCTAAAGTGAAACAGTAACACTGAATTAATTAGAAGTCACAAAAGCAGTTTATATTGACTCTGTGAAAACAAGATGAGCTGATTTGATATACCATCTTAAAATATCACTGAAAATCCATAAATAATGCAAATAAATTTAAGAGGCACCATAAAAGCTAGGTTTACCATACACTGCTACCAATTGTTTTAAGCAGTAACTAGAATGCCATGCTTTACTGAGATGTCACGGTAATATTGAACTTCATCATGTTCTCCCTTTTTAGTCACTCCAAAAATCTTAAGCCCATACACTGCGTGTTGAATAAGACACACGTGGGCCTCTGCTGTCACGAGGACAATTTCTATGCACATGATGAGACTGGAACAAGGTGAAGGAGAGGGGCTGCACCAAGCAGATCAGCCACATGCCTCCACAAGGTGAGCCCCACGCACATGAAGCCCCAGCGCAGGGCCGGTGTGTCCACACCCCACACACCAGGCACTGCATGCGGATGCAAAAGCATGGGTGCACACCAGCAAACCCTCAGACACCAGATGACAGAGAAAGTTTGCATTAAATATTCCAAAGGACTATTATAAACAGGAATGCATAACCCAAATTTAATTATGAGCAAACACTAGGCTAACCCAAATGAGAAAATTAAAAAGGAAAAAAAGGGTGGGAGGCTATACTCTTAAAATAATGCCCATATCATAACAGAATGTTCTGGACTAAAGGAACAAAGAACTATTACAGCTAAATGCAATCAATACATGATCCCAGAATGGACCTGGGACATAAAGTTAAATACGTTCTAAAGGTAATTACTAGGTCAAATGAAAAAAAAAAATATATAAAAACTGTATCAACATTAAATTTACTAATGTTGATAACTATACTCTGGTTATATAAGAAAATATCTATGTTTTAGAAAAATAGTCTGTGGTGAAGAGCCCTGATGTATATACACTTACTATTTAGTGCTTTGGGGGGGGGAATGTAGATGTATGTATGTAGGCATGTATCTATCTCTGTGTGTATGTACATGTTTATACATGCACATATATGTACATACAGACATAGACATGGACACACAGAGAAACGGAGGGAGAGAGTAAATCATCACGTAAATGGCATAAAATATTAACAGATGGATCTGGGTGAAGGGCACACAGTGTTCTTTGTCCTATTCTTATGTTTATGTCATTGACCTTTGATAAACATACTATAAGAGTCAGGTACCTCCTGTGAGAATTTTTTTAAACCACTGTTTACATAACAGTTTGGAAAAGGGAAATGCACTCACCTATTGTTTGGATGATAGCATTCTGCACGATCTTCTCATCATTGTCTTTGGAACCTGTGCTTAAGTTGGCACTGCCTGCAGACCCCCTCTGCACATCATTTGCCTCGAATTCCACACTGAAACGTAGGTGCTTCAGCAGCGTGTTAAAGACTTCCAGCACCGTGGGTCCTGTAAGTGGTCACCGAGGTGAGCAGACGCCTTCCCAGGAACGTGTACTCAAAACCAACTCCCGAGTTCCTCAACAGAGATTTCTGAATATGTTCTAAGTAGCTGGAAATACTAATTTATGAACTAACCAGTTCATTAGAAAAGTAAATAAGAAATACCTAAAGTCCCCCAGTTATTCCAACAAACATTTACTGGCATCTCGAAGCAGCTCCCTGTGGGCAGTACTGTCTAACCCACACAAATGTGCATATACACACAGAGGTTTCCAAAACGTCCACCTCGCTAATCTGGTCCACTCAAAATAATGTGTAAGGGGACAAGATTTTATTTGACTGTTGTGTCAGAATCCACTGAATTATGATAACAGCATACTGCATCTTTTGAGGCTGAAGAAGGAAGAATCTGCCTCAATTATTAGACAGACAGCCACATTCAAACACTTCTTGGAGTGCACAGAGCCCAGGACATGGTGCCCCGCACATAACAGACATTAGTGAGTGTGATGATTCAATCTGTCATCTGCATTTCATTTCGTATTTCAAATTAAATAACTTTCCAATGATATAACCTGCTTCCATCTCCTTGAGATGAGTTACAAGATCAGTAATGAAAAGTCCATATCCAAAATGCCTACTCTTATTTGACATTGAATGAATGTGAGAATATATTAGTAGAATATTTCTACTTTGATCTTGAAATAAAAAAAATATAACCAGATTCTCCTTCTAATGTCAGTAATTTTGGTAAGGACCCTTCCATTCTTCTAATCCTGTGTAGGTAAAATATCATGGTCCCTCACCTGCCCCTTTTCCTTATCCCTAGTCAGTTATGAAATGCTGTTTACCTGACATCCCTTTTGCAGCCATCCAGTGTCAAGTTCCTTCCTTCATGCCTATCACGATGACCACCTGGTTATTTTAATGTGTCCTATACTTTGCAGCCAGATGAATTATCCCAAAACACATCTCCGATAAAGACTACAGTAAATCTTCAAAGTGTATCAATCAACTGTAAAACTACATCCATGATTTGGCTGCAACTAGAACCTGAAAACTACTTCTCTGACTTCCTCTGCAGACCTCCAAACACCATAGCATAACAGGCTGCATAATATTTTGTTCTTGCTAGTCTATTTTTCCTCCCTTCTCTGACCCTGTTTTTCTTATATGTAATCAAATTCTGACTTTCATTACAGTATTAGGTAGTTATTTAACTCCAAATAAACTATTAAGTTCCTTATATCTGTATCCTTCCAAATCTTCAGCATATAATTGGTATCAAAAAATCTTTATTAGACAAAAGGAGGAAGGAGAGACTGATTTGAAGAAAATGTTTAATTGTACACTAAGGAAGTCTGAGAATAATCATGTGAACTCAAAATTCCAAGAAAAATTACAGCACATTCAAAAATGTTAGAAATATTTTCAGAGAGTTTTCCATATACTGCTATGTCTACTGAAAAACATTCTGAAATAGATTAAGGCAGTAGTGGTTTTATTGTTTTGGTTTCTTTTGCTGGCACTCACCTATGGAACCTTTAGCAGCAATGGCGACAGCCTCTAACAGAACCTGAATAATACCTGCTCGAACTCGTGGAGAATCTTTCTTACGAGCATCAAGGTGCCCTAGAATCTCCTGGATCACATGGTGGGAATACTGAGCCTAAAAGAAAGAAAACAGAACAAAGAGATATGAATAGTTATACGCATCCAGTAGAATTCATAACAATGAAAGACCATATGACACTTAACCCTCCAATCACAGGACCCGGTACTTGTGGAATGCTATGTAGCCATTAAAAATCATCCTTTTTAAGACTAGATAGAAATACTGGAAAATATTTATGCTACCCTGAATGAAAAAAGTTGCAAAAATATTATTTAATAAAATTCAATCTGGATTTTTAAAAGTATAAGAGACTAGAATTATATATACCCAAATATTAATGCTGGCCATATCTAGCAGGGGAATTTATAAGAAATTTTTATTCTCTTTATATTGTTCTGTGATTTCATAAAGAACATACATATACTCTTACAATTTGATAACAGAACAAAATTTTGTTAAAAAACAGATATGACATTTATGATTACTTCTTTCCTACCCAAACTATATAAATACTATTTCCTTTTTTGTTGTTAATCCTCACCTGAGGATACTCTTCCATTGATTTTCAGATACATTGGAAGGGGGAGAGAGAGAGGGAGGAAGAGATAGAGAGATAGGGAGGGAGAGACAGAGAGACAGAGAGAGGGGGGGGGGAACATTGATGTGTGAGAGAGAGAGACACTGATTGGTTGCCTGCCACATGACCCTGACCAATCCAGGTACATGCCCTTGACCAGAAATTGAACCTATGTCCCTTTGGTCCGAGGGCTGATGCTGCAACCGCTGAGCCAAACTGGCCAAGGCCATAAATACTATTTCTTACTGTGAACACTTAACAATGCTAACCAGTAAAAACTTTCATCTAATCAAGAGCCATTATCAAAATGAAAATCTTATCAATGTGTACCAGATGAAACTTAAGTCAAGAAGATAATGAGATTTGTAATTTACAAAGGCAATTTTATGACACATAAATCTGGTAAACAGCACCTCCTGGATATATGACCTATAGTAAAAGTTGTGCTCCTTCCTTCTTACAACATTATCTCCTTTGAATCAGTGACTTTTATGATCTTAAAAATTAAAAATATATGTGGTGTAAAAACAGACCTAAAACCCCACTTGAATGAAGAGCTAACTGGGCCTGTTCCGGTTTCGAGGTAAACCAAGGTGGTCCTCTGCAGTAGGTAAGAGTGTCTCAGCACAAAACTCCATAAAGACGAGAGGAGTTAATACATGCACTATTGCATAGCAAACACTCAGTAAAAGGTAGCTATTATTATCAGCTATATGCTGCTGCAATAACTATTAATTCCACTACCAGCTTATTAGTGAAATAGAAATACACCATAATTATATTAAATAAATACACAATAACAGCACCATCATAAAATCATTTCATTCTTTTTATAAGCGATCTTTCCATCCTGGCAAATAAACACAATTAAGTGGAAAAAGAAAATAAATAAGACAACTAAATTAAGAACGTGTTCTATGTCCCATTGCAGCAACTTTCAACCTTTTTCATTTCATGGCTCACACAGACTAATTACTAAAATTCTGTGGCACACCAAAAAATATATATTTTTGCTGATCTGACAAAAAAAAGGTGTATTTTTGATTCATTCACACCGCACAGCTATTGTTGTGTTGGCTGTTGTCATTTTTTGATTTGACTAGACCTAAGGGAAAAGAGGTCAGTGCCCTGGCTGGACAGTCAGTACTCATGTTTGAGAACTCCTGTGGTGCACCGGTGGAAAGCTGAGGCCCTGCAGTGGTCCCAGATCTCTGATGAACGCTCGTCAGCATGAACCGAACCACTCACCTGAATGGAGTACATTATAACCTTAAAGCAGTGAACTGCAAATTCATTGGGATCCCACAGTTTGTGATGATCTAAATGCCTGTAATTAACAAGAAGAAAATTAATAATTCTTTTTTGTATTACACTTTTTTCCTCTGGAATCCTCAACAATATGCAAAGCTTCATGATCAAAAGATCAATGTTTTAATTCCAGACACATGATATATATTTCCCCCAACTGCCAGATTCTTTCATAAAAGGCTAGAATATATGTAAGACTTTAAAATACCTGGATGAGCTGGCAAGAAAGAAAAGTTGCTCATTCCTAACTCCACAAAAAGGCAAGAATCTGGAAAGCTAAGTATACACTGAAGCCAGCGGCTACCCTAGGTGCATCTGCAGATCTTTGGTGGCTGACAGGTTAAAAACAGTTTTAAGAGCTGCATACTCAGGAACTAGAGAGAAATCTTAGAGCCCACCCAGGAAAGGTAGGATATCAGATCAGAAACTCTTACACCAATTCAGGACGCCCTAAAAGATGACACCTTCAATGTCTCTGAGGGATGTTTTCTTGTGGAGGACTGTCAAGAAACTGCCTGGCCCTGGCCAGTTTGGCTCAGCGGTTAGAGCGTCGGCCTGCGGTCCAGAGAGACCCGGGTTCGGTTCCCGCTAAGGGCGTGTACTTCGGTTGCAGTTTGTCCCCGGCCCTGGTCGGTCGTGCGGGTGGCGGCCACTCGATGTGTCCCTTCACATCGATGTTTCTCTCTCTCTCTCTCCCTTCCTCTCTCTCCCTCCCACTCTATCTGTGCAAAAAATGGAAAAATATCCTCGGGTGAGGATAAAAAAAAAAAAAAAAAAAAAAAAAAGAAGCTGCCTGCGTTGTTTTGGCCCCAAGAGGAACCACGAAGAAACAGAACGCCCCGCACCCAGGCTTGCACCGTAGTTTGACAGAATTTACAGAATGTGTGGCTCAAAAAACTGAAGAGTGTAGTTCAAAGTGGAGTCGGGGTAACACTGCATCCATGTCTTCAGCCGAAACAAAATAAAGCCTCCAATGGAGGAGACACCACAAATCCAGGCCTCAAAGAATTCCTACAGCTACAATCAATGTGTGCTCAAAACTGCGATTCACAGAACACACAAGGTAAAGAGCCTCTAAGAACAACAGGCAGCAGAATCCCATCCATGAGCACTAGGGAGAGTATTGGAATTAATGGATTGTTTCTATACTTAAAGAGAGACAAAGGGTGTTAAAATGTGACAACTACCCAAAAATCTATCAAAGATGGCAGATATGAAAATAACTAAATACAACTTTCGCATGTAAAGACACGGTACTGCAACTAGAAACACTACCAGTGTAAGTCACAATTAGGCATAAAGAACTTGTGACTAAACATAAAATGTCCTAGAATGTGGCACAGAGAAGAAAAGGAACAAGCAACGCGTAAGCAAGCTTGAGGGACACGAAGTAAAAAGGGAGAAAGCCTACCACTCTTCATCAGAGCCCCGAAGATCAGACAGGGGGAAGCAAGTGTATTTGAGGAGCCAATGGCAGAGGATTTCGCCACAGTAATTAAAAACAACCAAACGGCTTGGCCAGTGTGGCTCAGTGGATTGAGCATCATCCCATGGACTGAGGGCTCCGGGTTCAATTACCAGCACATGCCCGGGTTATGGGCTCCATCCCTAGTGGGGGACGTGCAGGAGGCAGCGGATCAATGTTTCTCTCTCACCTTGATGTCTGTATCTCTTTCTCCCTTTCTCTCTCTCTAAAAATAAACATATTTAAAAGGTTTAAAAATAAAAACAAAGACCAAGAAAAACCCTAATCTTCAGGTTTATGAGTCCAGTAAAGACAGAAAGATTAACAACAGTCTAAGAGGTAAAACAACACACTTCTAAAAGAAATATAACCCGATTCACAAGTGATTCACAGGTATCTACAGACTTAAATATAAAATTTTAAGATCTCTACAGTGTAGCCTAAACAATCTTTCTCTTACTTTACACTAACCCTTTAACTATAGCTGATACTCCAATGGTTTCAACCAATCCCTGCTCCTCACTCAAAGTCCACACTATTCTCTGCCTCTGCTCATGCGTCTCAACCTGATAACACCTACGTATCCACCTAAGCCTACCTCCAAAAAAACCACCCCCATATCCAGAACTCAACTTGAATTCTGTGTTTTAAACTGTTAATAGCACTTTCTGGCCTTTTCCCATAACCTATGTATTATATTTAATTATAAGTGCATGTCAATCAGCCATCAGGTTTGTTAAGGACCAGGGCAGTTTTACTCATGTATATATTCCCCAAAATACCTGATACCTTACTTGCAGAGGACATTTAATATTTAATTATCTAAATAGCTAATACATAATTAACTATTTCATTAACATTAAATTAAATGAATGAACATAGAATCGGGATTTAAGTCCATCAAACTCAACATGGAATTCAGCTCACACTCCAGTTATTCAAGTACAGTTAACTGGGTAATTTCTTCCAGGCTTGCTCTGAAGATTTTTAATGCTTTATAGAGTACCCTTCAGTTAAAAAAAAATTTAATAAAACTATTAAGATAAAAACTAGAATTCTGTTTTTTTCTTTCTTTTTCTTTATTTACTTTAGAGAGAGAACAAGGGAGAGGGAGAGAGAGAGATAGAAACATCGATGAGAGAGAACATCAATTGGCCGCCTCCTGCATGCCCCCCACTGGGGATTTGGCCCACAACCTGGGCATGTGCCCTGACCAGGAATCGAACCGGTGACCTCTTGGTGCATGGGTCGACACTCAACCACTGAGCCACACCGGCGAGGTAAAACGGGAATTCTTAAATCAGCATGTCTGGACACTGAAATATAAATCTGCCTTTAGGTATAGTTAACATCCTTTTTCTTTTTTTAAAATCCTCACCTGAGGATATATTCTTAGATAGAGTGAGAGCAGGAGGGGAAAGAGAGAGAGAAACATCGATTGGTTGCCTCCTGCATGACACCAAGAGGAGCGGGGGATCGAAGTGCAACTGAAGTACATGCCCTTCACCGGGAATCAGAGTCGCAGGCTGACACTCTAACCACTGAGCCAAACCGGCCGGGGTGTATTTAATATCATTTTGATTATTTCTTAGTATAATTTTTATAAGCCCTTTATAAATCTTCAAATGGTAATTTTGGGGGTGCAGGTGGTGAAACCCACAGATCCTTTGGAAAATCTAATGATTCTCTTATTTTTAAATATAATTTTGTTGTTTATATGTTCTTATAACTACAGCTCAACTTTGAACCCAAATATTTCCCCTAGAGAATTCTGGATGTTACATAGACTACTTCATATACGCTATAAAGACATTCTTAGTCCGGAAGGAAAAAGGACAAGGTGACTGACTAACAAAAGACAGACTAGCAAAAAGGTGCAGAAATTACCCAGAACACTGTTAGCAGCTCTGTCATCTGAAGACTGAGTTAGAACACAACGCGTGAACAAGGCTTGAAAGACAGTGTCTACGTGGAGGAACTCAAAGCTCACCAACGTGTGTTGCTGGAGGGGAGGATACGAGTAGAACTAAGATATTTCCTATTCCTGCTCGGACTTAGTCACTACTTGTAAGGAGAAATTTATTCAGAGAACCAAAGGTGCCCTACAACAGTCCTGCCACACCAAAAAAAAAAAGCCAGGAAACAGAAGCCAGTTATCAAGAGGAACCAACCCCAGAAGTTAACAAAATGAGGCATATCACGTAAACACCGTTCTAATATTTTATAGTGCATCTGCATTTCAAGGTCTGTGGGCAGAAGTTCAAGACGAAGGGCACAATGGCACCCAGCACAAGACTGCACCTCCTTTTTAAGGAGAAAAGGTTGGCGAAGCGGTTGAACCAGTGCTCACACGTGTTATGGTCTCTGACTCCATCCTGCACTCTTCCCAGAATGCAACACTGTTCCATTAGTAACTCCCTCATACAAGGCAAGGTATTGTCCTCTGTAAGTAAATTAACACAGAATAAGTACAGTACAGTCACAGATGACCAGGAAAATGCAACTACTTACGCAAAAACTGGTCTGACCGCATTATTCATATTCCCAAAAGTCGCTCGACCCAGCAGCTCTCTGAAACAGCTCTCCGCCAGCACGGCGGGGTTCTCCTCTTTGTCAGCTGCGGAGGGAGGAGAAGGGGGGCCTATGCGACTGGAAGGGAAGAGAAACAACCAACACAAATGTAAGAATTCTAACACTGGTTCTCGCAGTTAAACAGAGCAGATTTTACATCTCAGAAATGGTAAAATGACATTTTCTTTTTATCCCCAAATATTTCAGAAGAATTAGCAAGAAATATAGTGTAACCCTTGTGTTAAAAAAAATTATAAAGTAAATAGCTACTATTATTATTATCATCATTTTGGTTATTCTAACTCCATGAAAAAGCATGCTGCATCTCTAAAGAATCACAGAAATTTAGCTATAATTTCTATTTCTTATCCTTGTAAGTTTAAGTAATATTAATTCATATAACGATCTGGATGCTCAATAATAAGCAGCAAGTAAAGTATAAAATTATTCTAAATAAAATAAAACCTTAAGTGTATTATTAAAAATCTTGCCCTGGCCAGTTTGGCTCAGCGGTTGGAGCGTCAGCCTGCGGTCCCGAGAAACCCGGGTTCAATTCCTGCTAGGGGCATGTGCCTTGGTTGCAGTTTGTCCCCGGCCCTGGTTGGATCATGCAGGTGGCAGCCACTCAGTATGTCCCTTTCACGTCAATGTTTCTCTCTCTCTCTCTTCCTCTCTCTCCCTCCCACTCTATGTGAACAAAAAAATGGAGAAATGTCCTCGGGTGAAGATAAAAAAAAAAAAAAGATCTGTGGTCTACTAAGCCTAATGAGATCACAAAAGATGAGTAATTTTTCAGAAAGGGCACATATTTAAACTCACTCCAGTTTACAAGACCACTGTTTTCATAGTACTAAAGCTAAAATTTTCTTAGCCCAGCAAAAAGCACATATGCACTTATACGAAGGTAACACAGCCCCAACCCTAATGTCCTTATTCCGTACCTGTCGACCTCTTCTATCTTCTGCATGTTAAACAGCAGGGATGGAACAATTTTATCCATATGCTGGGGTTCCCAAATGGTGGCCCGAAGTTCATCATTAACTGTTTTGCGAACCACGCCTTGAATACCCCTGATTCCAGCGATTCGAATTCTGTAAAAAAAAAAAAAGTCAAGAAAAAAAGTGATATAACAAGACTGCTTCTTTAGTTAAGAGAATGAACCCAATAAATATTATCTCAAGTCAATAAAATGAAAATAACACAAGTCTAAGAAATTAAATTCTCAGTAATCTAAGACAGAGATGAGGCAGCTCCAAACGCAGCTTACTTTCAATTCTATCTTTTCTAAATGAGCACTTAAAGTCTAAAAGGACAAGACAGTACTATCTAGTCTACATATAATTTTTAATAAAAGAGAATTCAATCAAAAGCATTAGGCTTTCCTAGAGGATGATAATAACAAAGTAACGAGCTAGATTCTCTCCATTTCTTGCCTAGACATTTGGATGCTGAGCAAAACAGGAGCCCCTCTTTCTGAGCACCCCGCAAGCTCCTGGGCTTCGTTCATCGCTCCCTCCCTAGAGGCTCTCGCCTCCATCCGTCCACCTCAATAAAGGACTCGTTCAAAGGTCTGACAAATGAGAACGATCGAAATGGACCGCAGATAACCTTAGCCATATATCTGTGGTACTGGCATATACATTATCATGTGTATCTGTGACTTAAAATTTATCCCACAGTGATAAATCCCAATCCACAACTTCTTCAAGCTCTCCCTCACTCTTACATGTATAAAAAAATCTATAGGTTCGAGAATGAAAAGTGACTAGAAAACAGCATATAAAAGCAAAGTTAACCTGGTACCCACTTGCCCTGAAACACATTCACTTTGGACAAATCTGACTGTTACTTCCTTTTTCGCTACTACCAGATATATTCACCACCAAAGGTTTATTCAAATAGCTTAACCATCACTGTCTCCCAACATCTATAAATAGGTTAGAGAATGACAGCGATGGGGAAGGTGGTGATACTGCTTTCTGAACCCATGGGGGAAGAAATGACACAGGCAACCAGGGTAGCAGATGGGGACTGGGAAGGGGCAGTAGTACAATACTGAACAGGTGAGAAAGTAAACTGGGAGGCAGAGATACATTTTGCCTGTTTCGAAGTTGTGTCCATTCATGCTGTTTTCTGAAACATAAAGGGTGAGACTGCAGCTATCACAAGTGGGCAAGCCTAACGTTAGTTACCACAAAGGTGTCTGCTTTATGCACCTGCTGCTACTCCTTGGGTGATGACAAGGTGGAGCAAACAAGATGACACAAGAACGATGGTGGCTCATGCCTCATGAAACACAGCAGAGGACACTTCCCCTGTCTGTGTAGCTACTACAGCGACACAGCTGGTATCCAATTCGGATCTAGTACCGTGACGTCAAAGAAATTTTATAGTGTCCTCATCAGTAAACTACACCAATTGTCTTACCTAAAGTAGAGGAATGTTGTAAGGTTTAAATGAGTTAATTCATGTAAAGTGCTTGGCCAATAAAGGGTTAAACAAATTGGCCCAAAGAAGTATTCAACAGGTGTTAGTTTGCTCATGCTCTTAAGCATTATGATGATGATAATGACATTCGACCACAGCTGAAGGTGGCTCAGAAAATCAGAGCTTAAGACATGACATGTGGAAACTACTTCTGCAAGGCAAATATTTCAGGAAAACCTTAACAGTGATCAGACTCATTCCGCATTCCCCATTTCCTACTGCAAATCCCGAGTTCTATTTGCTCCTGTTTTGCTAAAATTAAAGGAATTGATAATAAGTATCTAAGCTACAACCTAAAGAGGAATATAATAAGCCTGAAGAAAACCAAAAGGGCTCTGACTTAAGGCAAAGCAGGAAAAAAATCAAGCCTTCTTAGTATGGTAAAGCATTTAAGTGTACACATTTGTTTTACAGTAATTCAAATGAAATGTTGTCAGTTTGGAATTTCAAATATCACAAAATACCAGAAAGACCTAGAATTAGGAAAAAGTACTACAAGGTCTCTCATTTGTGTATAAAAATTTCAAGTTTCTTTTTGTAAACAATAATGAAAAATGTTACATGAAAATATGTTTAAAAGACAAGATCTTTCACTAGGGGGTGCTAAATACCTAAAAATAAGATAACATAATAGAATTTTGAGTTTCTTAAGTGCATCCTTTCATTAATTTTATGGATATTATCAACATTTTTCATCTACATTGGTTTATATGTGAAACTCACCTCAACCAAAATTTGAAAAATGTCTATGTGTAGCTTATTAAGCCTTATAATACTAAACTAAAAAAAAACACAACTAAATTCTGGGTATTTCCCATATTTTAAAAAGTGTGGTAATGGCCAAATGGGGGGTTGGGGCTGGGCAAAGGGGGAAATCTGTAATAGTGTCACAACAATAAAAATAAAAGGATACTGTGCTGAAACAACAACAAAGGCAAAATTGTTATAATCTTGAAAAATGCCATTTTTATACTTTTTTTCTCCATGAACATTTTAATGCCAGCCCCTATAAACATGGGGCAGTTTTATAAAACATTTTTATGTCCTTTAGGGATAACAAAATTTTAGTGGTGACTGGGAAAAATAATTATATAAGGTAGTTATAGTAATCTTTATCTAAGGCTTTACCATCATAAAAAGTAAGAACATCAGAGGTCTAAATGACCTTGAGGAAAAATTATACTAACAGCATATTAGACAGAAATAAATCTTATATCTGAAAACAACTCTTAAATCGCCTCTCAACTTTCTTTCTCCAAGTAAAAAGAACTTTTACATTTGCTTTTGTTTGTGTAAACCAACACTGAAGCTTACACACTAAAATCTAGTTGGTTATATTTTTGCACATTCCCTTATTTTAAAAGAAAAGTAAAAATTACAAAGTATGCTAAATCTTGCTAAACTACCCCAAATAACTGGATTCAGATTAGTTTCTTTTTAGTGTATTATGGTAAAGCTCAAATTGTTTTCTATATTTACCGGGGTCATTTTGATTTTAATTCTTAACTTTCAACCTATAGATTGTGTTTGCAAATAAGTATTTAATTCCAGATTACTACTAGGTTGTATTTAGAAAAAAATGTTTAAAAATGTTCAAAGTAATTGTTATGAGAACCTGAGACTGACAATAACTAGCAACATGCATCCATATGATGTATGTATTCCCTCTAAAAGCACTGAGAGCCTCCACGTGCCCAGCACCACTCAAAGTGTTAGTGATACAGCAGCCTCCAGACACAGCCGCGCCCTCCTGGAATTCGTATTTCGTAGACAAGCAAGAACAGATAAAGACAGGAGCAGAAAATAAAGAGTAACTGGGATGAGATGGGAGGAATGATATGTAATAAATAAAAGGTAGCCACGCCAGGACTCTCACAACAAGGTATCATTTGCAGAAATCTGAACAAAGTGAGGTGAGAAGCCATGTTGGTGCACGGGGAGTCATTCTCTGCAGAGACCACGTAGTCCAAAGGCCCTGGGGAGAAGAGTGCCCGGTGTGTCCCGGAAACAGCAGGGAGAGCCATGTGGCTGAATAAGAGTAAAAGGAGGAAGAAAGACAGGATGACAGGCTCTGACACTGGAGGAGGGAGCATAAAGAGGCCCTCGGGGTTAAAGATTTCAAATTTCATTCACAGTGAGTTGACAAGTTTTGCTACTTCAGCTGGTTCTTCTAACAGCCATGGAATGTTTTATTTCAAGAACAAAGCATGTATTTTCACGTTTCCTTTGGTAATCTAGAAACAGAGCAAACATCAATACATCACTCTATGACTTTAAATCATAAAGTAAACAATACACACTCTGTTCGTATTTCTGGATCACTATGGCAGGAATGACACATGGCACTGAAGCGAGACACAAAGAAGTCATAACGTCTGTGATAGGATGGTGTGTCTTCTTCAATATTTGCAAATTTGACAAACTAAAAAATACAAACAACATAAATGTGTTACCACTTTTTGAAAGCATGGCCCAAGCACATTTACTCTCATTAATTATGTGTTACATTAATAAGCAATCTCCAAGTAAGAAGCAAATATCATAAATACCACATACATACCAAATTTAGCAATGAACTTGAGAAAATCAAGGCTAGAGCATTATGGATGCTGACTCTACTTCCTGATCCAGTTCCTCTGAATGAGTGAGCTGCCCCTCTAGAAGGAAAAGTCTCCTCTAAAGCTCGCCTACATTTCTGGGGTGCTGACCTCAGTGACGACCTCTCAGGCAAACTTCAGGGAACTTTATTTCTTAATTGTGGGTAGAAATCTTTCCGGACATGAATGAATAATATTTACACAAACAATGTAGGACAAGAAAAAGAGGACATAAACTCAAAGAAACATAAACTCAATAGAGGAGGAAAATGTTGAAATGGTAGAATTGATTCTACCTCCTTTCTAAAGATTTTTTTTTTTAAAGGAAACATCCATATGCCTGGAAATTTTAAATACCCTACCTGGATCACAGGCCTGGCCCTAAGAGCCCCTGAGATGCACTCTTTGTCTCATTAGCTTTCTCGTTCATTGGGTGATTTATTAGTTCTGTGTACTCAACAGCCTAAAGCAATAAACTGTCAGTTTACTTGTAAACTTACGTCTCTATGTAAACACCTGCCAGGACCTAGACTGCTGGCTTTAAAAGGGTATATCCTTTTAGAATTATTCAACCAAGTTTACTGATACTCTCCTGGAAACAAAACTGAAACAGCATAGGTTAAAAAAAAAAAAAAAAAAAAAAAGAAATGATGATACCAAAAATATTTTAAATTAATTCAGCAGAGCTAAGTCATCTGTTATAAATTATACTTTTATATGATTCACGTTAAATAGAAAAAAGCCACAAATATGCTAGGTGTTTGCACATGAGCTCTTATTTAATTATTCCAATAACCCTGTGAAGAATGTGTCATTTATCCCCATTTTACAGATAAAAGCACTGAAATTCAGAGGTTAAATCATTTGCCCAAAGTAACATAGTAAATAGTAAAATTGGTATTACATTTCTGGGGCTGAACTCTAATTTTCAAGATTCTCATACTACACACTAACCATATGAATAGTTTTGGAAAATATTAATCCAAATACTTACACTTTTCATAAAAATAAACCTTAAATGACATGAGAAATGCTTTAACATAAATTAAAAAAACATACACACAAATATACAATATGTTCCCCATTTTCTAATACATATTGAGAATAAAAATACTAAAAGATTACTTCTGAATATTGGAATTACAAGTGTCTTTAACTTGTTTACTCTTATACATTTTCTAGCATGCTCCAAATTTGCTACAATAAACATATAACTTTTAAAATTAGAAAAAAAGTTAATCAGAAAATGTGGCCATTAAAATGTTAAAAGTTCTACAAAAATGTTTAGAAGGAGGAAAACCGTTCTTCCCTTTTCGTCTATTGAGAGCCCCAAACACGGGTACGATCTGTGTAATCGTCTGCAGCAGCAGCAGCAGCTCCTACGGCCCTGGAGCTTGCGGAGCAGACAAGCAGCAGCAGCTGCGGCCCAGGGGAATGCTCGAAGCTCATCTTCCTTCCCGACTTCGACTTCGTGGGGAAGTGAGTCTTCTACAATTCCTGCGGCTCTGGGAGCTCTCTACCTCGAGACCTGTGTACTCTGTGCTGAAACAGACTCATCAGATGTAGGGGTGGAAAACTACGAGGCACACACAGTACTGTGCAAAGATTAGGAACAGACTGTTAGATGGCTCTAGATTTGGAACCTGGATTTACTAACAAAATGTGTGACTTGTGAAATGGAATATTTGACTTACAAGGTCATTGAAGGGTTCAAATGAGAACCAAACAAAAGTTAGCAAAATGCCTTGCACATAGTATGTGCTAAATAAAAAAATAAGTCCTAATTTCCTTCACTTAAAAATTTAATTGGCGAATTAGATTATGTTTCAAAAGGTACAAAAGGCAGAAGCAATGAAATTCTTTAGATGTTGAGTTTCTCACCCTAGGTACTACTAAAATTTTGGACCCCCAAAAATTCTTTGTTGTGGGGATTGTCCTGTGTACTATATGTAGGATGTTTAGCAGCAGTACCTTGATACCACTAACACTCCCCACCCTGCACTGAAAATCAAATGTCCAGGTCGGGGCAGGAGCAGGGAGAATTACCCTGGTGGAGAATCACTGCTTTATTGACGTGAATGGTTTCAATGAGTGGTCCCTATCAACCGGCAACAATAGGTAAAGAAAATGGTTAAAAATGACCATGAGCCTTGAAAAAATTGAGATGGATCAACTGAATACACTAGGGGGAAAAAAGGAAAGTAGTCTATTCTTTCCCTAGATCTTAATCCACAATAATGATGGTGTATTTACATACAAAACACAAGCTCCACAGTAGAAAAAACCTGGCACAGAATCCCTGTTATACACAGCATTCCTTCACTGTGTCTTTGGACAAGTTCTTTAGCTCCAATTCCTCATCTGTTAGTTGCTGATAAAAACCTGGATGGGAACATACAGACTGGCGGAATGCCTGAAACCTCCTCAGAGAAGCTGGAATTGAAAGACTGAACATTAAACAATAAAACTAAAGACAAGAAAGGTTATCACTGTATTTTATTTTCCTTTCAGATATGCCTTCCCCTACCCCACATATGCTTAACAAACTATGGCTCAGGATAGAAGAAAACGAATGCAGCAAGCAGAAATAGTTCAGAAGCCCTGCGAGAAGGCATGGGAAATACACCCTTACTTTGACAGCCTACAGATTTTCTGTTGCCTTATGATGGGCTGATACCAGAGATTTCACAAGGAGCAACAGAAAAGCTAGAGGCAAAGTGAACTAATTGTTTACATCTGTACTGGTTGTCCAAATGCCCTGAGCAGAGTATTTGCCTTTAAAGACATTCTCAGGAGAGATTAAGTCTGGATATGCTAATTAAACTTAAAATTAGTTAAGCGACTAGTTTTACTCACAGAGTTTGTTCCAAGAACTTGGAGCTTTGGTTCCCCTGATTCCAGCAGCTTTGCCACCATGTGAAGAAAGCTTTCCACAAATGGCTTGATGCTCTGAGAATGGCAAGCCATGAGAAGCTGGTCCAATGCTTCCATAGCAATTAAAACATACCTATTGTAAGAAAAAAATAATGTCAAAGCATTTCTAACTGTCTTAGTTCTAAGTGCTTGTCACTAGAAGAATTAAAATAAGTTTATTTAAATGCACAAAACACAGAAGGGCAAATTCAGTAGTCTCTAAGTGAAATCTTCGTGCTCATAAGCACTGGTGGTCTCCGATTATGAAGCCGTCCTCACGCTGAGGGATACGTACCCAGACCGTCCTACTCGATTCCCTCCTTCCACCACACTCTGCCAGAGCTTCTTTAACGTGACCTTAGCGTACATTTTTCTTTGTAAACAAGGACATTTTGTTTTCCTGACTTTTAATCATATTTCTTTGTATGTGACCCAAAATAATTATTATAAGTAATATGCCTAAATTTCCAACATAATTCATTTGTATTTGTAAACATGAATATATAAAACACCAGCAACAAAAGATTATAAAGTGTCTCATAAATGTTACCTTACAATTCACTGAATTTTAAAGTTTGTACTATGATTAAAATTCAGACTTTAGTGAACTTTGTTTCAACAATCAAATATAAAATTATTTGTATCAAGACTCATACAAATGTTCTCCATGGTAACAAGATGGAAGTAGAGAAGCCAATATGTCATTTGGAGAACAGAGTAAGAAACCAGGATCAGAAGATGACAAGATGGGAAAGTAGTTCATCCGAGTGACCTGGGTTATTACTGTTCAACACAGAGAATGGATTACGGTGGTAGACCTTTATTTATAGGTAGATTTATAGCAAGCACCATTTCAAATCTGCATGCTTACAACTTCTGAATCTTAATATCTAAGCCTAATACAATTCTCTTGTATTACTCTTCTGGTAGGTAAAACTGAAGCTGTGTTAAAATCAGTTGGTTAACAGGAACTTTCTCATGTTTTCAATTTAGAGACTAGTTTTTAAATTACTGTATCAAACTAACAGAGTAAGGGAGTCAATCTCTACTATTTCCATTAGAAAAGCCTCAGAAATTAATAGATGCTTAGCTAAAGGCAACTCCATTAACTAACATGAGTCTATTCTTAAAATGTGAGCACCAGGAAAGTAGTAAATGTCGCAGCATCTATATGGTATTACATATTTCCCTGTATGATATTACAATGTTTTATCCTCTACATACCACTTTGCCTGACTAGATGGCAAAATAATTTGAAGAATGATTTAGTCTAAGGAGTATTTTCCAAGATACAATATTAGCAGCAATGACTTTCCTCACCCAGAACGATGTCTGACAACATCCCTGCTCAACCTTTCTGCCAGGTAAGAACCAATTCGATCCAGTTTCTCCGGAGCAGATACTGCATAAAATGTCAATTTCTCCATATCAGCTTTAACAAGACCATCCTAGAAATAATAACAAGATAAAAAGGTTATCTATATTTTCTTTTCATGCTTATGTTTTGTTTTGTTTTTTTTATTTTAATCCTCACCCGAGGACATTTTTTTCATTTTTTGTTCAGATAGAGTGTGAGGGAGGGAGAGAGAGAGAGAGAAACATCGATGTGAAGGGACACATCGAGTGGCTGCCACCTGCACAACCAACCAGGGCTGGGGACAAACTGCAACCGAGGTACGTGCCCTTAGCGGGAACCGAACCCGGGTCTCTCTGGACCGCAGGCCGACGCTCTAACCGCTGAGCCAAACTGGCCAGGGCTTATGTTTTGTATCTTTAAGTGTTGCTTGCTTCATTCATATTCCCCTTTCTGGGTGGGAGATTTGGCTATGCTTATGCTGCACTTTTCTGGACACAGCCTTCTCCGTGCTGACATTCACCACTGCGCGTGCACAGGCTTTAAAAAGCTGAAGAAATGCCCTATTTAGGCAAAGCACTGAAACATACCTTCATAAGCAATGAGTTACTCTAACACATCATCATTTAAACATGGCTGCATCTCATCCACTTTATCCCTTACTAATTTTAATGAGAAATAATTTATATACAATAAAGTGCACCCAAGTATATATAATTTGAAATGTGACCGTTGTATACATCCGTGAAACCAACAGTAACAAACAAGATACAGGGTAGGGTATTTCCATCGTTTGCAAGGTTCCTCATGACCTTCCGTCTCCGGGTGACTGCTGCCCCGCGCCCCTCGCTGTGGACCAGCACGCACCCATCGATCGCAGGGCCGCCCTTCCGTGCAGGCTCCTCTCACTCAGCTCGCACCCTCGCCGTGAACCAGCACGCACCCATCGATCGCAGGGCCGCCCTTCCGTGCAGGCTCCTCTCACTCAGCTCGCACCCTCGCCTGGGAGCTCCTCGCTCACTCACCCGGACACCTCCTCCTGGTCCTTCAGGTCTCAGCGTCCTCCACAAAAGCTTTCAGTGCACCTCACAACACCCCTCCTGAGTTTGGGGGAGATGTTCCTCCTACATGTTCTTTTAGCTCTTGGCATTTATCTCTACACTTACCTGTATTATCAACTTTTGTCATACTTTTCATGTCTTTTCACTCTTAACAAACGCTAATCAAGTGCTAACCTGTGATAGACACCAAGGAACCAATGTCAGCAAAGAAAGACTGTGTTAATTCTTTTCATCCTCATGAGATCCTTATGAAATAAGTACTATTTATAATTTCTATTTCACAATGAGACACTGAGGGACTTGCCCAAGGTCACATTGCTAGTAATTTTAAGAAATGGTTTGGTTATTTGTCCCCTCACTAGAATGCTCTTTAAAGGCAGGGACTATGACAGAAGACCTCTGTACTCTGGGCACTTGCTGTCTGATCCATTTTGGATAGACAAGGTGTTCTTTTGTTTAATAAATTAATAATAAGAACTGTGGTCAACCGAGCTATGCATGCAAGGTTCCTCTAAATCTCTTCTTTAATCTGATTGTACAGATTGCTGTTTAAGTAGATCTTGTCTAGACACTCGGGAAAAATATTTTTTCTGTAATCATTCTCTAAGTTACTGTCACCATTCCCATGATCGAGTTTTCAAAGTGCCCTCCCTCACCACCCACAAGTGAAAGTGGATAAAGCAGACACCCTATCAATCACATTCCTCCATAATCCAGCCTCCCTCCACCTTATCTTCAGTTACCATTTGTTGCAGAGCACTGAGGGAAATGATCTGAATATTCAGTCCATTGAATAATACTTCTGAAATTCCAAATCTGAAACCATGGTCAACATGATCACCACCCAGCACAGTCTACAATGCGAAGGTTCTTCCCCACGCCTCTTCTCTCGCCTGGCCCCTCACCTGCAACAGAGAGACTACCCTCTACTTCTCCAGATGGTGTACATCCTCCCGAGCTCGGCAACCTCATTTCTCCGAGCATGCTTCCCAGGGGTTGCCAACCCACAGTGACACCTCCTGCTTCACTTAACACTTTCACTCGCTGAGTTATGCACTGTGATTTCATGTTTCGCCTGCTTTGGCTTGAAGTCAGTCAATGGATGGAAAGCTCCTGGAAGGCAGGAACCATACCTTAGGGTCTTTATATGCCACCAATTATGTAGAATATCTGGAAGCCAGCAGTATTTAATTGATTAGCCTCCTCTAAATAGCTGAATGTTTAAATTAGATTTGACTAAAAATGAGATGTAGCTCATGAGATACATAAATTAATGTTAAGACAGCCAAAAGGTTTCAATAGTTGGTTACACTTTAAAATAAAGCAAATTCTACCCTGGCCGGTTGGGCTCAGCGGTGAGAGCACTGGCCCACGGACCAAAGAGCCGTGGGTTCAATTCCAGTCAAGGGCACATACCTCAGTTGTAGTTTGGTCCCTGGCCCTGGATGGGGGTCATGCAGGAGGCAACCAATTGATGTGTCACTCTCATATCGATGTTTCTCTCTCTCTTTCTATCTCTCCCTCCCACTCTGTCTGAAAATAAATGGAAAAATATCCTAGGGTGAGGATTAAAAAAAGTAAAATAAAGCAAGTTCTGGAAATCAAACCCATGTTAACATTTTTATTCATATCCATGAATGCCAGACTAAAGGAGTCTTGGAAAATTTAAGAGTGTCAAACAAAAGCTTTGAAACTAAACCCAGTTGCTTTGAAACCAGTAATCTTCCACAGTAAAGTAACTTTTATTAAAAATTTACAAGAATTGAAGTAGTAAGAGAACAAATCCTGCCAGGAGGATTCTTACTTTACGTCCCAATTCTCCTCTAAAAACTGTGCGGCAACCCTCTTTATGCTCCGAATCTTTGCTCGCATTTCACTTCGTCGGGCTTTCTTCTCCCGAACCCAAAGCAGATGCCACTCCAGCCCGCCCGGCGCCCGGCGTCGCACCTCACTCGCCTGCCGCAGCCTCTCCCCACCTCCCTGTAATCCAGCTACTTGTCTGCTAGTGTGGTGGGAGCACAAAGCCACGTCTGACCACAGTTGTATTCTTGGCATTTGTACAAGAATCTGGCACTAGTTCATAACATTTTGATGAGTATTACTTACATTTAGGAACTATATAAACCAAGAAAATCACCTGTCCATCATTCCAAATTTATGCCTAATCTATGAAGAGGATCTGTAAATTAGACAAGCAAGCATTGAAAAAGCAGTATAGAATAGTATGTGTGAGGTGAAGTTCTGGGGTAACAGCAGAGAGATGGAATCAGGGAAACCTCAGCAGGGGGAAGGATGGGTCAGCAAAGAGAAGGATCACAGATGTAGATCAAATTACTTTTGGATCTTCAGGGAATATGTTGTCCACCAGGCGTTTGTAGCGAGGACGCAGAGCAGAACAGCAGCAACACACTCCTGTTCAAAAATAAATAACATAAAAGTACAGAGATTATTCATATTGTAAACGAACCAAAAAATTCAAATTTCTAAATTTTAATGGGTTATTTAAAATAAAGGGGAAAAGTTCAAACTGCCGCAAACAGAGAAAGGCACGCAAATTCAATTACTGATAAATAAATGAAAATGTCAAACTTTTCCCCTCCCCAAGGACACCAGGTCAAGAATAACATACTAATGAGTTATTCCAAAGTTGCAGACCAAATTGTTTTGGGGCATGTGTGTGAACGTATGTACACACACACACACACACACACACACACCCCTGCCGAGTTCATCTCATAAAGCAAATAATCAGTAACTCCTTTACTTCTTTTCCGATCTTATTTCGTACTATGCTCTGCATCCCCTTCCCCCCTGAATCCCCCACTCTCCACGCCTGACCCAATCCACTCAGCTCCAGCCACAGTGGTTTTAAAATGATAACTCACTTCTAGTGTAGCTGGTGAAAACAGTTAATATTTGTATGTATAAAATGATCATATAAGAAACTACACTAGATGGGAAGACAAACTCAAAGGAAAGTCCAGGAAATTTTTTAAATGCTCAAAGGCTGCTCTATATATTCTCAGTTGTTAATGTCTTGGAAGGAGCAATGGATTTGGATCCAGAAGACTTGGGCTCATTCTAATTCTTTAACTTGTTTCTACATGACCTTGGGTAAGGCACATCAGCTATCTGGAAAGAACTATGTAAGTGGAAAGGGTCCGTTTTCTTGCCCTGCGAACCAATAACTTACTAGGAATACTGGTCTTGAGCCATCATGAAATTACCTCATGATTTAGGAAACTGGGGTATGTGTCGCTGGGTAAGCGTGCATTTGTATGTATTTAAAAACCAAAATATGAAATGAGAGAACACTTGAGCTATAAGTTAAAAGAACTCGGATCTAAGCAGACATCTGCTACTATCTTATCAAGTAACATTATGCAAGAGACTTCTCCAGAGCTCACTTTGCTCATGAAGTATGCATCATTCCTACATGCAATCATGTACCAAATGTCAACTGAGTGCCCAGCACAGGCCAAAACAAGTAAGACTAATCCAGGTTTGCAACAGAGTGGAGCCATGAAAGTAATGATGAAAAAGGACAGTGAATATTTGCACCGCATCTTCAGTGATCATGAAACACAAATACATATTATATATACATAAATAATGCATACATTGTTAACATTCCCAGCAAATTCGTAAGGTATTATAGCTGCAGCAGAGCTGACCACATAACCTACTCAACAGCAATGGCTGGGTGAAAATCCAAGGTCTAACTCTACACCCCATGCTCTTTCCACAACACCATAGATATTAGCGGTCAAATCAATCAACCTCCAAATACTTCATTTGCACCTACTATGTGCTGTTATGCTAGATGCCACCGATACAAGAAAGTATAAAAGACACAAGATTCTGGCCCTTGAGGAGTTTATAAACTGCTATAAAAAACAGTGAATAAGTCAGCAGTCTTGACTGATAATATAAAATGCTATCCATTGTTCAGAATGTTTTTTACTTTAATAGAAGAAAAAAATGTCAAAGAGCCCATTAGGGAATTTTTTTCACATTAACTAACACCAAAATACCTCAACTCTTTCTAGAGTCCAAAATCAAAACACAGTACTAATTACAAAGAATAACAAGGGTAATAGCTAAATAAGCAAGTCAGATTTCTGTGTTCTCTGTACATAAGTACATGATAATAAACTGAAATAAGTTAAATACAGGGCACTAAGCTAGGTTCTGCTTATAACCTGATCAGATAAAATGAATACTTTGTTAACACTAATATAAGGCCAAACAGTGAGTTCAAACTGCTGTTACGGCAAAGAGGCTGGCAACGGGACTAAAAAACAAGCTCAGTGCTTCAAGTTTCCCATCAGGATGGTAAATGATATCATCTTCAATAGTTAAGGCTCCCTAAAAAGCTTTTATGCTTCACGTACATTGACATGTTCTATATGACATATTGCTTTCAGTTTAAAGAGGCTTCAAAAAATGTGAACCTGGAATACACACAGTATCCAGTTCCTACTTTTGGAAAGCTTAGGTCGACTGAGAGAGACAACTGAACAAAAAGGCAAAATGTCCAACATGCAGCATGGAGTTAAAGGGCGCGGACTCTGGAGTCAGACAGACCTGGGTGAGCCCAAGATCTCTCACTGTCCAGCTGGGTGGGTGGGTTTACTTTCTCTTACTTCATATACATTTCCTCAAAAGTTAAATAGTATAATCATGCCTTTCTCATATTTATTGGGAAATTAAATACAATTATATGCAAAGTTCTTATTAAGGGTGTAACACAGTCCTGGCCAGTTTGGCTCAGTGGTTAGAGCGATGGCCTGCGGTCCATAGAGACCCGGGTTCGGTTCCCGCTAAGGGCACGTACCTCGGTTGCAGTTTGTCCCCGGCCCTGGTTGGGTCGTGTGTGTGGCAGCCACTCGATGTGTCCCTTTCACGTCGATGTTTCTCTCTCTCTCTCTCCCCCCACTCTATCTGAACAAAATATCGAAAAAGAAAAAAATGTCCTTGGGTGAGGATGAAAAAAAAAAAAAAAAGGGTGTAACACAGTAAGAGTAAATAAAAGGATAGCTGTTATTAGTAATGCAGTAGGCGAGCTACTACTACAATAGTGGTAAGTAGGTGTTTGAGGGCCCTTGAGACAGTATTCCCAACTCTGTGAAAACCTTTGCTGTAAACCAATCATCTAAAAATCACAACATATTTTATAGGTGGTTCATAAAAGTCTCAATAACAGCATCAGCACCATGGGGTAACTGCCATTTCTGGACATGAGACATGCAGTACTACACTACATAAGTGACGGCATCATTCATTTACTTGTACTCATTCTCCCTGAGGTGCTGACTATCCTCAGATAAATAAGGAAACAGAGGCTCAGGGGGGCCCATGTGTCCCATCACAAAGCTGGTAAGGAGAGGAGTTGTCATTCCACCCATAACTGATGACTTCAAAGGGTAACTGCCACACTAAAATCAAGTACAGAACAACTTCTAAATTACTTTAAACATCTTAACATCCCAAACACCATGACTGATTAACAGGACTGCAAGAATGAGTCTAACTGATGAGGAATATACTTCTTGCAGAAAAATAAACGATCACACCAATTTTCTCCACAAGGCCCCAAACAAAACAAAACAAAAACATCTTTACCACTTACTGTAAGTGAAAAGCCACCAACTATAGAGAAGATACATAAAACCAGATTTAAAACGTTCAGTTTACTCAGGTTTCTATAAAATGAGACAATATTGAAGATAATCTAAGGTTAAAACGACTGTGGCAGTAGTACTCACAAAATAAATAACTACCGACTATTTTAAAGAAGAGAATACTGAACGTATTTATAAGCAGCACAAGAACATCAATGAAGTCATCAGACCTACTCAGGCACAGAAATGTGGCTGACTCCCTGGTTGAAGTCAGTTCATAAGGCTTGTCAAGGTCAGCCGCAGGGACCTGGACATAGTCTCTCATGCTGTCAGACTGTGGCTAGCCGATCTTCCTGCTCCCAGATCCTTTCGCCTACTGTTCAGGAAGTGCTCAGTTCACTTTACTTGTAATTAATTAGCAGAGGGCACTAGTACAATGTAACTTATCCAACTCGTTGTTGACATCAAATATAAAGCTATCAAGAACTTGATAATATCCATATCAAATTCTGTTGGCAGGGCCAAATAACTTAAACAAAATACCATGAAAATACTTATACTGTTAGTTTAATAAAAGTAGATTTTCATGAAGTTCAAATAAGAAAATAAACTTATTTATACCTGTTTTCCTTAAAGCATTCCTTTAATTCCTCCACATCCCTGCTTCTTATCCTTTCCCACAAACTCCTCCCTTTCCAATCTCTTCCCAACATCCTCTTTTCCAAAGGGAAGAAAAGGGCTGTGAGCACATCACTGAAAGCCTCAAGCAACTGGCAAGTCGGAGCAACAGGGACTTTCTTTTCAATCTAGTTCCAGCACATCAGGAAGGTGATCCACTATTCTCCTGGAGCAGGTGGGCATTCAGAACCCCGCTAACAATACCACTCAGGGGAGAAACAGAATCTCAGGTGGGATGACTGAACTATGAGAAAGAGGGTTGGAAAGAGGGAAACGATAACCTCAAAAAAGTGTCACGCTCATATGGCAAGCTGTTCAACAAAAAGGAAAATCCTTCGACCTACCTCTCAGGGTTAGGAGTACTTACTAAATTAATATAAAAATTGCCTGGAATGCAGAAGTCACTTAAAAAACATGTAACATAATTTTTAGTAAATTTGCAAACTCCTAAGTTAACTGTTTCTTCTTTAAAGACACCCAAGATAAGTTCTTCTCCTAGCTCCCCTAACAACATTCTCATGTGGAGTCACCAACGTCCCCGAGTGCTCACTTCACACAGAAGTGAGATGCATTGACCTGTAGCATGTAGCACCCTCCTTCTTTGACTGTGAGATTCAGAATAAACTTCTAACCCGTCTTAACCTATTCACAGGACGTGAGGAACAGCACAGCAATCCTCCCAATATGGAACAGGCACATGGACACACAAGGTTCCGGGAGAATTCTGCTCACTTCTAAGTGGCTGGTCGAAGTCAGTTCATGAGGCACATACTTTTCTAGTTTGTGATCACATTTGCTTTCCTATGTGGTTCCGTAACATTTGGGGGTTTGGATAATTAATAAAGACCCTTTTTAAAATAAGCTAGTTATACTTTTGACTAACTATATTACTCAACGATAATTTAAATCTAACTGAAAATATTAATGTCTCATTATTAAACTATTATTAATCTATTAATGTCTCTACTATTAAATACCACCATGGCACTGTGTACTTGAGTAAAACTATCCTCTAACAAAAATAACTTACTGACACTGTCACTGGGTTGAAGAATGCTTAGATCCTATTACAGAAATCAGCTGTATGACTGGATTAGGTTGCTCTGTAAA